CTATGATAAGTAGATAACCAACTTTCCCAGAAAGTAGATATTTCCCATTTTCTGTGATACAAATTTCCCGTTTTCTATGATAATCTACTTCACAAAATTAGGTAATATTTCCCCCAAAGTCGATAATCTACTGCCCTGAAAAGTCGATAATCTACTTTCCCAAAAAGTAGATAATCTACTTTTCGGAAAAGTAGATAACCAACTTTCCCGGAAAGTAGATATTTCCCATTTTCTATGATACAAATTTCCCGTTTTCTATAATAAGTAGATAACCAACTTACCCAGAAAGTAGATATTTCCCATTTTCTGTGATACAAATTTCCCGTTTTCTATGATAATCTACTTCACAAAATTAGGTAATATTTCCCCAAAAGTCGATAATCTACTGCCCTGAAAAGTCGATAATCTACTTTCCCAAAAAGTAGATAATCTACTTTTCGGAAAAGTAGATAACCAACTTTCCCGGAAAGTAGATATTTCCCGTTTTCTGTGATACAAATTTCCCGTTTTCTATGATAATCTACTTCACAAAATTAGGTAATATTTCCAAAAGTCGATAATCTACTTTCCCAAAGTATAATCTACTTTTCGGAAAAGTAGATAACCAACTTTCCCGGAAAGTAGATATTTCCCATTTTCTGTGATACAAATTTCCCGTTTTCTATGATAATCTACTTCACAAAATTAGGTAATATTTCCCAAAAAGTCGATAATCTACTTTCCCAAAAAGTAGATAATCTACTTTTCGGAAAAGTAGATAACCAACTTTCCCGGAAAGTAGATATTTCCCATTTTCTGTGATACAAATTTCCCGTTTTCTATGATAATCTACTTCACAAAATTAGGTAATATTTCCCCAAAAGTCGATAATCTACTGCCCTGAAAAGTCGATAATCTACTTTCCCAAAATAATACATAATCTACTTTTCGGAAAAGTAGATAACCAACTTTCCCGGAAAGTAGATATTTCCCATTTTCTGTGATACAAATTTCCCGTTTTCTATGATAATCTACTTCACAAAATTAGGTAATATTTCCCCCAAAGTCGATAATCTACTGCCCTGAAAAGTCGATAATCTACTTTCCCAAAAAGTAGATAATCTACTTTTCGGAAAAGTAGATAACCAACTTTCCCGGAAAGTAGATATTTCCCATTTTCTATGATACAAATTTCCCGTTTTCTATAATAAGTAGATAACCAACTTTCCCAGAAAGTAGATATTTCCCGTTTTCTGTGATACAAATTTCCCGTTTTCTATGATAATCTACTTCACAAAATTAGGTAATATTTCCCAAAAAGTCGATAATCTACTTTCCCAAAAAGTAGATAATCTACTTTTCGGAAAAGTAGATAACCAACTTTCCCGGAAAGTAGATATTTCCCATTTTCTGTGATACAAATTTCCCGTTTTCTATGATAATCTACTTCACAAAATTAGGTAATATTTCCCAAAAAGTCGATAATCTACTTTCCCAAAAAGTAGATAATCTACTTTTCGGAAAAGTAGATAACCAACTTTCCCGGAAAGTAGATATTTCCCATTTTCTGTGATACAAATTTCCCGTTTTCTATGATAATCTACTTCACAAAATTAGGTAATATTTCCCCAAAAGTCGATAATCTACTGCCCTGAAAAGTCGATAATCTACTTTCCCAAAAAGTAGATAATCTACTTTTCGGAAAAGTAGATAACCAACTTTCCCGGAAAGTAGATATTTCCCATTTTCTGTGATACAAATTTCCCGTTTTCTATGATAATCTACTTCACAAAATTAGGTAATATTTCCCCAAAAGTCGATAATCTACTGCCCTGAAAAGTCGATAATCTACTTTCCCAAAAAGTAGATAATCTACTTTTCGGAAAAGTAGATAACCAACTTTCCCGGAAAGTAGATATTTCCCATTTTCTATGATACAAATTTCCCGTTTTCTATGATAATATACTTCACAAAATTAGGTAATATTTCCCCAAAAGTCGATAATCTACTGCCCTGAAAAGTCGATAATCTACTTTCCCAAAAAGTAGATAATCTACTTTTCGGAAAAGTAGATAACCAACTTTCCCGGAAAGTAGATATTTCCCATTTTCTATGATACAAATTTCCCGTTTTCTATGATAAGTAGATAACCAACTTTCCCAGAAAGTAGATATTTCCCATTTTCTGTGATACAAATTTCCCGTTTTCTATGATAATCTACTTTGGAAAATTAAGCAATATTTACAAAAAAGTCCATAATCTACTGATTGGTGGACTAAAATGAAGTCCACCAAATAACAACCAATAGGAGAACAGAGTAGTCAGTCAGCACAATACCCCAACTTATGTTTTCCTGTTGTATATTTATTCTTTACATTGTTCAGGAAGGGATGATACTGGAAATGTGATGGGCGGTGCACTTATTCAATGTCATATCTCCCTCCATACCATACCGTAGGGTTACAATTATTTCCTGAGCTAGAGCTGGGTAGAAAAAATGCATCATAATAGCTGGCTCAGGTTTACGTTACTTAAATCAGAATCTACTAGCTCACTTTCCCTTTACTGATATATATTTTTCCCTGCAATGCTGTGATGGCTGCTTCACAATAGTATTTATTCACTCAAGAGCCAATATTTACATAATCAATACGGGCACTTTTTAATTACTCCATGGACACATATTCAGGTATAATTGGCTCTTTCTTGGCTTCACTGCAGATGTCTTTTAGAACAGAACAACCATCAAGAATAAATTTTGAGGTTTGAGAGTCATTATCTTTATCGTCTCCCCTTTCGTATTAATGTTGCTTCTCTTTTTAGTTTTTATTTATTTATTGTGTGAAATGAATGATTTGTATATTTGTTTTCATAGTGTTTTCCAGCATTGTCAGTTATGTAAACCTCAGACTTTGTTAAACAGTATACCACAAATACATAAGTTTGACGATACACAAACTTACCACCTTTTAACATTCTAATGATTCTGAAATAAGAATGCACCAGTGTTTTGGTTTTATTTTAAGGAACAACTTTGTATCAACAAGTTCACACACACACACACACACAGTCTCCTGGTACAAGTGCATAAGGATACTCAGATCCTGGAGGAGGTTCCCTTCAGCTCTCCACTGGGGATAATATATGGATTCATGACCTTAGTTCCATTGAGCAGCCAACCCTAAACACACAAAAGATGGTCTAAATTGGGGAGAGAGAGAGAGAAAAGTGCCATGTGTATGTTAGAGAAAGAGACAGTGAGGTGAAGATTGAGGAAATCTCAGGTGATGGAGATTGGGTGACCGGTAATAAAGTCACAGGAAAAAAGTCACAGGAAAAAAGTCACATTTAAGGTAATAAAACTAAAAATATTTTAAAACAGTTATTAACTGACAATACATGACTTTTACATATTGACAACACAATTTATATATGATGCACGTAGGTTAGGTTGGGTTAGGTGACCTTTTTCTGTAACTTTTTTCTGACTTTTTTTCCTGTGACTTTTTTTCTGTGACTTTTTTTCCTGTGACTTTTTTACCTGGATTCGGAGGTTGATAAAGGTGAGTGAGATAACATTATTTGGATATTAAGAAGAATGAGGATGGTGAGGAATGGTGAAGTGTCATGTGAGCACTGAGGAGATGATAGAAGTGAGACAATGTTATGGGACGTTCAGAAAATAACAAAGTGAAAGTTAATTCTAACCAATAATACAACAAAACAAAAAATAATTCTAACCTATAATGCAACATAAAACAACAAGGAATTCTAACCTATAATATGCATAAAACAAAAGGTAATTCTAACCTAAAATACAACATAAAACAACAAGGAATTCTAACCTATAATATACATAAAACAAAAGGTAATTCTAAACTATAATACAACAAAACAAAAGGTAATTCTAAACTATAATACAACAAAACAAAAGGTAATTCTAACCTATAATGCAACATAAAACAACAAGGAATTCTAACCTATAATATACATTAAACAAAATGTAATTCTAACCTATAATGCAACATAAAACAAAAGGTAATTCTAAACTATAATACAACAAAACAAAAGGTAATTCAAACCTATAATATACATAAAACAAAATGTAATTCTAACCTATAATACAACAAAACAAAAGGTTATTCTAACCTATAATATACATAAAACAACAAGGAATTCTAACCTATAATACAACAAAACAAAAGGTAATTCTAACCTATAATATACATAAAACAAAAGGTAATTCTAACCTATAATATACATATAACAAAAGGTACTTCTAACCTATAATGCAACAAAACAAAAGGTACTTCTAACCTACATATAACAAAAGGTTATTCTAACCTATAACATACATAAAACAACAAGGAATTCTAACCTATAATATACATAAAACAAAATGTAATTCTAAACTATAATACAACAAAACAAAAGGTAATTCTAACCTATAATGCAACATAAAACAAAAGGTAATTCTAACCTATAATGCAACATAAAACAAAAGGTAATTCTAACCTATAATACAACAAAACAAAAGGTAATTCTAACCTATAATGCAACATAAAACAAAAGGTAATTCTAACCTATAATACAACAAAACAAAAGGTAATTCAAACCTATAATATACATAAAACAAAATGTAATTCTAACCTATAATACAACAAAACAAAAGGTTATTCTAACCTATAATATACATAAAACAAAAGGTAATTCTAACCTATAATATACATAAAACAAAAGGTACTTCTAACCTATAATATACATATAACAAAAGGTACTTCTAACCTATAATGCAACAAAACAAAAGGTACTTCTAACCTACATATAACAAAAGGTTATTCTAACCTATAACATACATAAAACAACAAGGAATTCTAACCTATATTATACATAAAACAAAAGGTAATTCTAAACTATAATACATCAAAACAAAAGTTAATTCTAACCTATAATACAACATAAAACAAAGGTACAGTAATTCTAACCAATAATACTATATGTAAACAACAACCAATTCTAACCTATGTAGAAATCGTTCAAAGTGTAGAAGTCTGGACCAGAATATCTTCCTGCTCCTTCCTCGTCTCCTTTTACCTTTGGCTTCGGAACGCGGGTTCTTGATAATACGCGTCCACCCAATCCCCCGGGTCTAACCTGACGAGGAAGGCGAGTGTGGTCACGTGTGTGCTTATATAGTGATATGAATCTATGTAAAGTGAGACTGGTGATACATACAATATTGTTTTAGAAAGTCTGTGATGCATAATTTCATACAGTTATTCATTAAAACTACATTGTGCAGTTTTTCTACAAGTTTGGGCAGTAGAAAGACTAGTTAATAATCCAACCATCAATATTAGTATTTTTTAGTTTATGAGATTTTTCACATTATTAAATGATTCAAAGAGAACAATTTCTGTGTTTTGTGTCAATTTAATCTGTTTAACCACTTCCTTTAAAGTGCATATTACGGAAATTCTGACAAACCAAACGTAAGATTAGGAAAAGCTTTAACATAAAAGAAAAATCTTACTAATTCTGTGAGCTCAAGCGTGTCATCTATGACGTGGTATGTGAAGATGAAGCTACGATCACATTCTGTTTCAAGGGGAGACTCCAGCGTGGCCGAGAACCTGAGAACCTGACACAGTAAAATGGTTTATTCTGTTAACTATTTATACACGTAGAGTCAGGGCCAAAAGTGTGTGTGAAGCAACATTGAATCCAAATGAGACAAAACCACACACCCGCAGCAGATGACAATCAGGAGATGTAACTTCAGAAACCCTTTCTCGTAACACAGTTTCACTGCACCACAAGAACTTTTGACCCTGACTGTATCACATATGAACATTGATCTTGAAATGCCATTCTAAAATGAGCAGCATGAGTTGAGTGACTCATGTACAGAATTAAAGTGCTTACGGTAAGAGGTTTAACCTAAGGGTTACCAGGACCCCCTAACTGCTGCACAATACAGTGTATTACTTTACTGTACTGTAAAACTAAAAAATAATGAAAGGATCTCTCATAGTTCAACAGTATCTCTCCCTGTGAGTTTAGAATGCTGTGTCATAGCACACGCTCTAGTGACCCAATAAACTATAAAATATGTCTCGGTCTCAGTCAACCATCACGCACGCACGCACGCACGCACGCACGCACGCACGCACGCACGCACGCACGCACGCACGCACGCACGCATACGCACACACACACACACACACACACACACACACACACACCTCTGTAACTCTATACAAAATTAACACACTGCCACTAAAGGTGTAAGCCACCCTCCAGTAAGTGCTGGCTAACAAGCCGATCAGTGGCGAAGAGGATAAAAGTAAAGTAAAAAGTAAATGGGCCAGAACCTCATTTCTCACCACATGTGTCCCACCTAACAACAGGTTTGCCAAAGTTTCAGACACATGGTAATACTTTTAATGTCTCACATACTGACCAGTGTAGGCTTGCAAAGTTTAATTTGATTTAGAGAGCAGAAACTGTTCAGCATTTTACAAGATTTGACCACTAGTATTTCCTAATTATTCAAACTTTTAAAATACTTCTGTAAAGACTGCGTGTGAGCAAACAGTAGTTACAGCACAGGAACCTAACCTCATGACCCACCTGGTCTCTATTGCAAATAACACCACCAGACTGAGAACAGACAAAATTTTATACAAAACTAAAATGGATTGATACACCATAAGAGAAATAACTCACTGTGGCGTTCTCAGAGTGTAATAGTCCAGGTCGGGGCTTGGGTCGTGGAACAATGTCTGATTGGGTCTTACCACTGGAGCCTGACTCATCTGGCTGCAAATTAAGTGCAAAAACGAACATTCACTTTTTTCCAGGAGGATGTCCAATATTTATTTGGGATCATATGCAGAATTAAACACAATTATAACATTTCAATATCAACAATTATAATATCACTTGAAAGTAAATTATGACAGTCGTAAATACTATGATACTTGTAAAAATATTTTACAGTCATCCCTTGGTAATAGCCCACTTGGTTATCGCGATTTTCGTTATAATGCCTCCATCAAAATCTGCACACCTGCTGTTATAGCGCAATTTTCAAGCTGAGAATTTCGTTATCACGCAGTTGCCTCCAGGTGTTTTAACCCATTTGCTTCACCTACATCTATTGAGGATAAAATCTTTCACCTACAAATTGACAATAACACATTTGCAGTAATCAGACATATCTAAGTTGCCTCAACAATTGCAACCCCAGTTGCAATTTCAAATTCTGTGTCATTACTAAGGAATAACGAAGTCTCGGGTGCACTTTAAGATTGTGAGAAAATGGAGGACTCAGGCGTCCTGAAGCAATGAGCAGACAGACTCGTCAGACGGGGGACTCAAATAAAGAAAGCATAGCTTCATGTTTTGTGGACTACAGTATTGAGCATACCCTTTTCATCACTTTGTAATAAACCTAGCCATGCCTATGTGTTTTTCTGATATTCACCATAACATTATCTATATATTTAGTGGGTATAAATCAGTGGTGTCAAACTCAATACTTTTCGAGGGCCAATTCTTATTTTAGTTACCCTCTTCAGGGCCAACACAAGTGCTATATCACATATTTGCAGGATTGAAGTTTACAGCTTCACACATTGCCTTACCTGGCTTACCAGGAATACCTCACTTGGGTTTGTCCAATTCATTTTACTAAATAAACATGATTATATCTATTTCTTTCATAATTTCACGGGATGATAAATTTTACCATCATCCCGCGGGCCACATTTGGCCCGCAGGCCATGAGTTTGACACCCCTGTTCTAAATGGTCGTAAAATGGGAAAATTGGGGTTGGGTCTTGGGTGTCTGGAACCAATTATAATAAATCCCATAGGTTCTGTACTTTCGTTATCGCGTTTTTCATTATCACGCACTAGGCGCGGTCCCAATTAGGCGTGATAACCACGGGATGACTGTATATTGTTCTAACCTTAGTCGTCTCAATAATCTTCATGGGTGGGACATTATCGATGCCATAATGGTCCAAAAGGAATCTCTGAGTTTGGTCATCACACCCCGTCACCATCACCCTACACCATGAAGATAACTATTGTTTATGAAATTTAAATTTTGGTACAAAGATCATTGACCTATGTACAGTACAGCATACTGGCAGTGCTATGATTGTGCTGCTCTACATACCAAATAATTTACATGTTACACTACTCCCCAGGTGATCATACTACTGCTAGTACACTGTATTACCTATACATGTATACAAATTTTTTGACCACAGATCATTAATTAGCATGTTCAGGAGTACAGTACTGTACCTACACTCCTTGATAATCTTTTAGCTGATAGACACTTGTCTCTTGAATTTGGAAATTAATGTGTTTAATTACGTTAGTACATCCAGAATAACACAAAACCACCAAAAAGTGTCACTGTAAAATTATAGCTAGCAACTAATTAGTGTTACAAACTAACTGAAGTTTTACAAGAGCCATAACGACAACTCTCCCAGTCTGTTTCCCATACATCATTCTCTCCCAGAATTCACTCTTAAATGAAACATTTTTACATAGAAACTCTCACAAATATTTTATCCTTCGCCACAAATATACTTTTCTAATCCATGTGGTACTATACAGCACAGTATATCAAAATCTGTCACATCAGTTACATCCCATTTTGAACAACACTGACTGAATGATGTCAAGTTGTGGCCACTTACCTCCTTCCAAAGACTGTGACGGTGGTCGGGGGAATTAAGTGACGAGGAGTCAGCCACTCCCTCACCTCCCCTTCTTCGCCTATGTCCACAAACATTGCTGAATAAAGTACAGTATGTATATATTTATTTATTTATTTATTGAAGGCTATTACTTAGTGTAAATTTTCACAATGTGGACATACCCCCCAGGAAAATGTTTTACACACTAAGTGGGTTCCCCATTTAACTACAGTACTGTGTTAAGAACCTGTCACAACTGACTATAACAAGAGGGGCGTCCAGACCTAAGTTTATGTATAAAGTCTGCTATCCACCAGCCAACTTACCTCTCCTGGTGTCCCTAAGAGGCACCTTGACTGGCCTGAGTATAATGGGACTAAACTTCTTAATCTCCGTGTGATCGAAGTAAGATGGTTGACGCATCTCCACGGTGAGATCTGCCGGGCGGTACAACAACACTGCAGGGCTTGCTCTTAGCTGCCTACCCTCCACTTCCTCCACCATAGCATCAAACCTTAAATAAAAGAAGCATCAACAGCACCCAATCTTTTTCTCACCCCACTCTGTCATTAACCCTCTTCAATAAATAGTTTACACTTTATTAATAAGGTAATCCTCATCCTTTCCACTTACTTTCAATACTTTTTTCATACTTAGTTCTCTTTTCTTCTTCTCTTATCAGTCAGTTCTCTTGTACAGTACTCTACTAAGAGTCATTTAAACAATTACTAAACAAAATCCTATATAACTTACTTAAGCACAAGGCCCTTAAACCTCAGTGGGACGGCAGGTGCAGAGTGTGGTCGAAGGTCTGATGTTCTGGTGGGGGATTCAGCACGAGACTGTCTGAGTAAGTTGTATGGGTCTGTAGGTATTGGCAGCGGGTTGTTCAGTTGTGTTCCCTCACTCAGTAGGTATTCCTGAACAAAATAAAGAACTTTGTTAAAACATGATCCAAAAGCCCTAAATTTCTTTCGGGCCATTCCCTTGAAAATTATTATTTAAATGCAGAACCGACCCTGACATTCCTTTTTGTCAGGGTCCAGCATGTAGTGTACTCATGGTTGGTGACTCCAGTACAGTACTCAAGGCAGCTAGAACAGGGGAAGATGTGGGCAAAATGTGCTTCAAGTGCCAGTGCAACACAGTAGATGTGTCCCAAAATGAGAGAGAAAACCTAATAAAAGTTGTTGGAGAAGAAGCAAAGACTTGTCAATAAGTACAGATGTAAAATGTTGTACCAAACACCTACTACAAATTAAACTGGCATAATTGATCCTCATTTCCCCCCTGGGTATAAAATATAAAATTACTGTATATGACTCACACAGTACATATTTACATGCTTTTATTAACACTGTACTGTACATACCCTATACATTGATTAAACGAGGTCTTTATTATGACTGTTTAGTACCTTGGTGAAGGGATCACAGTCACATATGACAAAGTGGCGGCCATAGAGTGAGAGAGTCATGCCAAGGTTGAGATGTGTCCAGTGCCAGAAGCCACCATCAGGGTGAGGCACACGTTGACGGCTCAGGAGACGTCCCTGATCCAAACCCGAATTCTGTGAAGAAGATACGAATAATCTACACCAGAACGTGTGCCGGTGTTGGAATAACATGTAATAAAATCAACTTACAGCAGGAACAGTTACAAGACACAACTTTAATAAACATGAATGAATGAACACGTACCGGTGTTCTTGGTTCAGTGACATACAAGGCATCATCAACCAGGTAATAGCAGATAACGACAGGACGAATCCGGTAAACTTGTGCTGCTCCACCTTCCACGTGTTCGGTGAAATATCCTCGGAACCGCAGAACCTGATAACCACAGACGATGAAAGTAAATTCTTGTTGAGGTCAAACATAAACGGGTGAAACAAGTACAGTATGCCCCTCTACCTGTACATTCAGTATAGAAAACTTCTTTATCAATTTGTTTCTGTGTATGACATGTTTCAATTTACTGTATAGTGAATACTCATACCTGTAGTGTCATTAACAACAGAGATAGCTCAAAACACTAACATTATCACAAAGGTTTCATCAAAATAAACAAAAGGGTAATTGTAATTTTATACACACATCAAGAGAAAATTTTCCAACATCCACTTGTGTTTTCCACCACACTCCCCATCTGTCCAAGTGAGTCATATTAATAAATGTGAGGTGAAGCCTGTTGATACAACTGAAGGAATCCATACAGCATATTCTTAAACCTAACTATCTTTATATGTGTCTCTTAATATATACTACTTTGCTATTTATCCATTTATCTACCTAATAATCTAAAATATTTCAAACTTAAGAGCAATTTAATTCCCTAACACACTCCCCTTTACTGCTAACCTCATGTATGATCTTTTCCTAATCATCTACAACAACTACCAAGTGACCCTCTCCGAACCTGTTAAGTTTCTGACACCCAGGAGCAACACAGACACAATTGATGATAAATTATACATACTATCTAAAAAAAACACAACAGAGAAGCACATCAACAACTATCCACTTTAGGAAAGATAAACATAAGACAAGAATCAAGTTTTGTACCGGCAAGAGAAGACGGGAAGGTCAAAATAGGCAATGAAAAGGGAGAAAAAGAGACCTACTATAGCATTACCATAGATGAACAAAGTGAATGCATTGGCTACCTAAAGGATATAAATACAGGATAATACTATGGAGCCACAGATACTCACTAATAGCTTGAATATCACTAATAAAATAAAGTACAATAAGAGTGTAGCCAGGAAGACACATGCAGTAGTAAGTTATCATCCTATATAAGTCATCACAACTCGGGTTCATCTCAGGTCTCCGGTGGTGGTGTGTGTGTGTGTTGTGGGCAGGAACATGTACAAGAGTCATCGTTCACCTTCTTATCCAACACCGCCCAATCTGGTAAAAACTTGGGAGGGGTTTTTGATCGACGGCGGGTGCTGAACTGCAGTTGTCGCTCCTTCCTACGTGAATGATAGTAATGTGATGATTTGAGACGTGTAATGGCAGCTTGTACTGTATTAAATATCTTCACTGGTGGATTTTAAGATTATTAAGGACATTATATTTATCCCCTTCCTCCCACACACACACACACCTGGTTAAGTCCCTCAAATCTTCCTCAGACAAGAGTGGTGTCGGTGTAGGAGCAACAAGTGGGGCGCCTTTCTTCCATCCCAGGCTCTGACGTATGGGCCTCTGCAGCTTCTGTGACGAGAGGAAAGGGGGAGTGAGTGAGCCTAACCAAGCCTAACCAAACCTAGCCTAACCTTAAACTAACATAACTTAACCTAAACAGCTATACCCTCAAGTCAGGTTAGTTCAGGTTAGGTTAGGTTGTTCAGGCTACGTTAGATTGGTAAGGATAGATTAGATTAGTTTTCCATTAATATATATCAGAGAAGCAAGAGAATGCATCATAGGGGACTGCATTATGAGGGAGGGGGTGTAGAGAAGGGAAAATTACCAATAAAGTCCTCGAATGTGACAAGGGGGGAGGGGGTGTAAGATGCTCTCCCCTCAAGCTATACTCACCGTTGGGTCAGAGAAGGTAAAGCCAGGTATCAGCGGTAGATCGGCCATATCTTTATCCAAGTTAAGCGTCTAATTTATGCTGTCATCTCTGGAGAATAAAAATTACATCTACATTATAAATTGTAGGAGTTTTCTTTTTTAATACAATACTGTCCAGCGTGTAAATTGTGGACTATACTATACATATTTATTTTATTATTGTCAATCAGTTTGTTGTGCAATACTGGCATCAAAGTACTCTGTTGCATATAGTCATTACCAGTACAGTAACACTTCTCCATCCACTCCCAGGTTATTTCACCTAAATATTAAACACCGTAACACTACAGCCGCCTAATTAACACAGTTGTCAGGCTAGGTGTTATGTTAAGATATGTAATTTCAGTGTATGTCTAACACAAGAGCAATGACCTATTAATTTATGATGATATTGACAAGGTAATATTGATATCGTTTACATACGAAGTACTAAGCTGTCCCAGGTGTGAAAATTATCAGAAATCAACAAAGAATAATTATTTTCCTTCAATATATAAGAATTATTACCTAAGTTTATAAGTGGCGAAAATTATATTAAAAATAATGAAGGTTAGTGTCAAGGGGCAGTGTGGATGCGCCTCATAATATTCTTCTATTGATACTAGACAAAACACTAAAACATAAATTATCAAACAACAAAAACACAGTTAATTAGCTACATAGTGTGTACCTACAGGGGGATAGAAGTAATAATGTAGACGTGACCAACTACAGTCCACCTCCTAGTGTGGTCCTCAGGAGACTAAACCACTCTTGCCAGCCACCGTTACCATGGCGACGGTGACGCTATTGCCATCCATACGCCCGTTACCATGACGACGGGGACGCTGCTATCTATACGCCCGTTACCATGACGACGGGGACGCTGCTATCTATACGCCCGTTACCATGACGACGGGGACGCTGCTATCTATACGCCCGTTAACATGACGACGGGGGTGTTATCGCTAGTTATACGTCACACTGGTCATATTTTGCCCTGAATATTCCTCTAATAAATAAATGTAATGTGTACAGGAGCAATTAGGGGATACCATGTTTCTAATCTAACAACCAAACCATGTACATTTATTTAAACCTGGCAGATTATTCATGATTACCATTGTTAGTCATCAGATTTAGTACCATGAATAATAATAAGTTTCAGGGATAATAGTAAATAAATTGGTTCTTTGTTGTCATTCTGGATCACCTGAAGTATCACCACCACTGCTAATTTCACCTAAAGATTAATCACTCGAATGGTAACCAAATCTAACCCCAATATTAACCAACCTAATGCTAATCTAATCTAACCTAACCTAATAATGGTTCCCCTCATGTAACGTGGATGGCCGGCTGAAGGGCCACCGAGGAGTGAATTTGTTTAAGGTGTAGAAGCTGTCGCCAACAAAAAACCACACCGTGAGTTAACGAGTTGCACGACCCAGTGTCAAGGAATAGTCCGAGAAGACCGGACAACTCGCCAACTGCACTGGCTAACCATTACCCCGGACCACGATCCGCAAACCAATTGACATCCAGGTTCCCAATTATTGCTGGGTAGACAGAGGCAAATGGTGTAAAGAAACTTGCCCATAGTTTCACCCTGCCCGGGGAACAAACCCGGGTCCACTCACTAGCGAGGCGAGCATACTGACCATTACACCACTGGTCGCCAACCTATCCTAACCAAACCTACAAAACCCTGACCTATCCTACACAGCCCTCATTAACCTAAACAACCCTAACCAAACCTATACAGCCCTAGCTATACCAAAACAACCCTAACCAAACCTGAACTAACCAAACCTAACCTAACCAATCCTGAATTACTGTAACCAAACCAAACCTACCCAACCTAACCTAAACAAATGTAACTTTCCCTACCCTACCCTCATCAAACCTAACCCTCCTGGAATAAACAGCTGATAGCTTTGTTGACTATTTAGCTTACCTGCACTGTCTCGGCACACAGGTAACTGTATACATCCACTGTCTACCTGCACCGTATACTGTACCTATATTGTCTATATTCGTGCTGCACTGTATAACTGCATAGTTTATACAAATATTTATTTAATTGTAAGCCTATATGACAACTTTACTCAATAAATATTATTAGTATTAACCTAACTTACCCTAACCAAACCTAACTGACCCTAATCAATCCTAACCTAACCTAACCAAACCTAACCAAATGTACCATAACCAAACCTAACTTACCCAAACCAACCCTAACTTCATGCCCCAAATAGCATTAGGGTGGTTAATCTTTAGGTAAAATAAGCTGGGGTGGTGCTTCTTCCGGTGAGCCGGTGAAATTGACCTTGACAAACTTTGCCACATATTCAGATAAATTCAAGAGGCCGTACATACCCAGTACTTACCAACAGTGTGTAAGAGGCCTCGTACATAGAATTTAATATAAAAATAAACTAGAGTACAGTACACTACAGTAAAGTAACACTCACCAATTCCACGTCAGCAGCAGTCATCGTGTGTCCTCTCCAAGGCTGGAGGAGTAAGGGCCCAGCACATCACTCATTCTCAGGGTTGGAAAATGAGGCGACACCATTCAGTGTTGATGCTTTCACCTCCTCCCACAATGCACTGATGTTGTTCATCACCTTCTTAACATTATAGTTGTGCCAAAACTCCTTGATGGTTGGCTTTTCCTTTCTATCTGTTTCTGTGATGAGTTGCTGCATCTCATGTAGCAGATAATAAGCCTTGAAGGTGCCGATGACACCCTGATCCACGGACAAGAACACATCCGATGCACATTAGTTCGGGCTCACGAAGAAAGAGTTTAGTAGCAGCATGCAGGTAATAACTCCCTGCACAAGGAACAATATATATGTTTCTGCAGATGGTGGTCATTTTGGGATGACAAATCAAGAGAAAGTTGCACACAGAGCTGCAGGGGAGTGATTTTTCTTTCAATATTCTGACACAACAAACATGAGACCAGGAGAGTCCAAACATATTAAAAAGAAGGGGTGTTAAAAAACTTAAATCACTAAACTAAAGAAACATAAGTTGGGAAATCAGATATCAAGTGATGCCTGACAGTACTGTACTTCCAAGATACCTGGGATCTTTCTTACACCTTGTCTCACACCATCATCTCTCCCTCTTAAGCACCAACACCTTGCTTGTTAGGATTCATTTTAGCTTCCCAACCTCACACATCTTTCCAAATTCTTAAAAAATATAAAAATATACATTAACAAATAAACATTATGAACTCAGTATGGCAGGTTAATAAAACAAGAAGCTGCTACAGTATTGCTTCAGAAAATGCATTAAAACATTTCTCATAAAGTTAAGATTATCAAGGGTCATTTTTATAACCAAAGACTCAATTAAATACAACATTTTAATAATCTTTAACATTATTCATTTTCCTTTAACAGATGTCATGACTGATAACGCATTACATTAACAGTAAAATATACATAAATATTTAACATTATTTTAAAAACTTTGAAAAATCCCTCATGTGGGACCCTTGAAAAATGAAGACTTGATCTATAAAACCCGCTTATATTGGCACCAGCTAGGCGTAAGCTATAAATATGTTGCCTGGGACAAATGGCTTACAAAATGACAGATAAGAAGTCATGGTTTGATCCAGGACAATAGGCTGTGGCTACCAATTGCCATGGCCAGCAAGGGGGAGGGGGGACAGTAAGTAGCAAATAAAAATTTTATTCTTGACAGCTTCTAAAACCTCCCCTCATACTATATGCATAAGAACTTCAGAATTAACACCTCAGTGGAAAAAAAGGTAAATTAGAGACTTAAAGAGACATCGTGTTAAATAATGTTAAAAGAACGATTACGGATTGATTACAGAGGGATTTCTTTTATATGTAATACTGTACAGGTAGTTACAGTCTCAATAAATCTGGTGAATCAACTTGGTAAACACAGTGAAATGCGATGTGGTGTTAGAATCAGTGTAGAGTTTTCCGATTCACTTCTGTACAGGTTCCAATGTACTTTATATGCAAGTTGAAGATGTGAGGAAATAAAGCGCTTGTATTGTTCCTATTTGTGTATTACGTTAACACTCTACCTAGACTTCCCTCCTGACATCACTTTCTTTTTAAGGTTTATGCTGCCATGAATCCATCATATTGTACACATGTGGGAGTAAAATAAGAGACAACAGATATATATATATACAACTCTCTCTAAACCATACTTGTGTTGAACAATATAACCACTCTAATATATATTACTATACAATATAAAATTGTGTTTAGAATTCCCTATGATTATGCCATAAGGTTTTGGATTACTTTTATATTTCATCGACAAATCGACTTACACCACTTTCCTTTCACTTTTGTTTCCTGTGCAGAAAACCCCCCAAAATAAACAGAATACATATTACTTATTCCTCTTAAATGGAAACTGTTAAGTCACTTTGAATTCCAGATCAGCGATAAGTGGAATGTGGTCTGAGGGAAAAGTGATGCTGGGTAAGGCGATGTGCTCTGTCACTTCCTCGTGAGTAGGCATGGGTATGACCTGAAAAGATATTAATTACGGGTTAAATGGAAGCTTTAGTTTTACATTCTATTCGTCATGTAAATGTTCAATGAACATGAACAGGCCAAAGTCAGTCTATTTCTTCAACAGCTGTACAATATCTAGGCCCACAGCTGTACGGTCGCTACTGATAAAACAGACTGAAATACAATGCCTATAAACTAACATGACAACAGCACTTCTGGCTTCCACCACCTGCCGCATCTTCTGGTCACATGTGAGGTTGGCATCACTTGCAAATCATAAAAGTAATTATCCTAATTCTAGACATAAACAACACACAATTAAACTACTTAATACAACTCAATTTTTATTTCTTTTAAATCTTCTTTTATTTCTTAGTTTTACTTTTCTCTAAATTTTCCTGCTTTCCAGTTGCTCTCCTGCCATTGTATATTAACGGAGGTACAGCTTACACCTCACAAGTGCCTCACTCTCTTAGCTAACAAGTCAGTGATAACAACTACAGTACACTTAAGTGGTAGTCAAGCCAAGATACCTGCACAGTACACACCTGCTTAACCGTAAACTTGTCGGTTTGATAAAATATATAATCTAAACAGCCGTAGAAGCCAGTGGTGTAGTTGGTATATGGGGGACAACCACAGGCACTCTCCAGCTCCAGGTCATGACTCAGGCTAATACCAGTCACATGTTCACTCTCCTCTGAAAAAGAAAAAAGAAAAAATCAAGACTTAAGTGTTGAGTTACTCCAGTCTTAATAAAGCACCAGAATTACCATAAGCTCAACTCCAGACCTTTTTTACTAGGTACCGGATATCTATGCTGGATAAAAATTTGGAAAAAATGAGGGACTGATCCTGAATTCCATTTCATATCCAAGCATGGATCACATAACTCATTTACAACATGAGCAAATCTATGGATTAAAACTCCATGGTCCCAAAGACCCCTAATTTGTGTGACTGGGACTACAGGTACTGCTGTATAATCCAGAGTTACAAAATAATCAGAAACCCACAAAAACATCATCTTTCCCAACAAAATTTTGGTCCCTGAGAGCAACAAAGTGTTAAACAAATACAGGCATCCCTCAAATTACATAATGGTTCTTAAGAGTTCTATGCTACCAGAAAATATAACCTTATCTTACTTTTACTCCAGTCTATGTCATCAAAATCCACAAACTGTGATGTCATGAGACGGTAAACCTCAAACTCGGGTGTACTGTTGAAGTCCCCACAGAAGATTAATGCCACGTCCTTATCAGGATACTGAAGAAAAAAAAATATCACGGTAAATAAAAATAATTGTAAGTGTTGATTTTTGTTCTTTATAAAAAACACATACTGGAACAATCATGTAGTTAACTATAATACAAAACAATAAATAAATAGCATTATACTACAGTACTAATTAATATAACATAACCTACCTTACCTAATCTATATTATGGATACTGTCTATTTATTTATTTTATTATACCTGTAGCAAGATAAAGGATAACAAAAAGGTCATGATGATGATTTGGCAAAAACATCATTCATGTTTTAATATTTAATTGGACGATTATCCCTATTCAGCGTGACAATAATATCAAAATACTGTACGTACTGTATAAATATACCATACCTTGGTCTGATAAAGAGTCATAACTTGCTTTAAAATCTGAATGCAAATGCCCGCCTGCAGAAGACGAATGTGATCAGCATCTGGGTGAAAGTAGAGATGGGTGACACCAACTACAATCACCCTCAAGGGGTTCTCCACACTCTCCAGCACACACACCTGGAGGAAAGACATTTTCTCTTCAGGTACTGTTTAAAGACACGGAGTCTAACACTTTAACAATTCTCCGAACATCATCAACAGTGCTCGTAATAGACCCATCTCTCCTCTAACACTTCAATACCAATTTCATAACTAACTAATATGTCTTCAGCGATACACCAACACTTCCCCATCATATCTTTAACAGTCTAATGCACCTCCAACACTAAACACAACTACATCTTTACATGCCATCCTCAACAACTCTCTTCTATTATCCCTTTAAGTCATTCTTGTTTTCCAAGTTCTCCATCACATCACCTCACCACTGAGTATCTTACAGGTTCTTGGGTAGAGGTTCAAACAGTCACTTGGGTTCAAACACATCCACAAAATTAAATAAATCTAAATCAATCAAACCAAACTAGAAACAAAACAAAACAGTGACACTTTAACATAATTTTAATCACTTAGAAATGGATGATAAAATTTTTGGGAGAAATAAATGATGAAATAAACAAGAAATACATGGAAGTGTTCCCACCTGTAAAGTAGTGCTACGCTGTGACATTTTCTCAGCCATGTCTGGGTTAGTCTGCACCCTCTCCCATATACCGGCAAACAATATGTTGCTCTGTAGCTCTTTACTCAGAACTATGCGAGTCGTCTCTAAAATTCTGAGGAAAAGTGAGATGCCAAACATTAACTCTATTTACATCAGCGGGTATAAATGACTCGTCTAAAATTCTGAGGAAAAATTAAATACCAAACATCAAGATTAATTATGTCAGTCTAAATTAGGAGCAATACAGTACAGATCATCACACTACATACATAATAAACACCTTTTGGTACACAAGGAGATAATACACTATGCCTCCAAAAGGTTTCATTTGTCTGACTCTACACAGTATCAAACCTCCACATAAACATATAATTTACACATCAAGTACCTTTTAATTACTCTCTAGCTACCTTACCTTAGCTTACTTTGCCTGAAGAACACAGCAGCACCTTCAGTAACTTGTCCTCCTTTTGCAGCATAAAAACCCTCGAGACCTTCACTCTTCAGGGCTGGTATCAGGTCTCGATGGAATACCTTCTCATCCACTTCTTGTAAGCATATCAGATCACCATTGTAACCTGAGAAGGAATACAGTATAAAGCTATTAAGTACTGTATTTTCTATATACTGTATATAAAACATACATACACTGTCCAATATTCCTTTTATTTTTTAAGTATGTACAGAAAACAAAATATTTCAACCCTGTGATTCTTACCTAATATTTCTTTGATGAGGAGCTGTTTACGGTAGTCCATATCAACAGCATATGGGGGGCAAGTAGGAAACAGGTAAGTTCTGGCGTGATCCGTGTCAGCGTACAGTTCGGCGAGGATATTGTAGGAGATGACCCGGAAACTGAAATGACAAGAATATCGAGGATTCATCAAGGGGAAAGGACAATCCATACTCAGCCATTTATGTCATAATTAGCTGCCAGTTCAGTTTTGTTCAGTAAAATGGTCATACAAGTTTACACTGATTCAGCAAGTGTATAAGCCATTCAGCAAGTACAATACATGGTATAGAGACAATGCAGATGCAGTACTCATCTGGATATGGTACCTAACCTGTCCTGACCTAACCTAACCTGACTTGATCTAACCTAACCTAAATATCTAGTAGACTGCACACTGCAGTATAACTTATTTTTCTTGATATCCACTTTGCAGATGCTGTACTACCAGTGAGAACCCCTTACCATCACCCATCTGTAATCTCATCGTAAGCTCCGTCTCTATGCTTGACTATACCTGTTTTCTGCAGCCATATCTTTGGTAAACTGATGCCTCCGCTCAAAGGGACATTCTCCGGGGCCGGCAGAAACCAAAACTGTTGAAACCACCTCTGTATCTTCTCCCCTCCGCTCCCCCATCCTGGGAGTAACAATAACCTAAGGAAGTAGACAGAATGATAAATATAGTAATGTAACCTTCATTATAATATTTCAAGATTCATTAAATTCCTGTACCTAAGGAGATAATGTACAATACTATCTTATCCAGTAAGGTAATCTCCAACAGACACAAATTATTGATATACAGTAAATATATAAATCAACAACCATGAAGCTCTCAAAATGACAATAAATTTATGACCATCAGAAATATAATCCCAATATTTACTTACTGGTGCCATCAGGGTTATGTTCAAAAAATATATTAGAATGATCAAAGTACTACACCTGGGCTTCCTAGTTTATTTTTCCCGTTTCTGTCAACTGTACTCTAAAAATAGTATATTACCTGGATGTCTACTAAGTTAATGACCACTGAAAGTTACTATACCTGAAGATTACCATAATATGCCACCTGGACACAGAAACCATTTTTTTTTCTCCAGAAACAGTGATCTGAGATGAGGTCTGGCCTAACCTACCTAACTTAACCTAACCTAACCTGGGATGGAAATTCTTCAGGTGATATTATAACATGACTGAATTAGGTACAACCCTTTCAAACATTTACCAAACTATAATCTTTCATTAGCAAACATAAAGTACAGTACAGTAATTCTTCTGTAACCATTAACAACCAGATATTGTTGGATAGTTACCTTGAGAAGTCTCCCAACATCACCACTTGTAGTTCTGCAGGCTAGTCCTTCACCAATTTCAATCCATTTTATTTTCCCTAGATTAGTTTGAGCAATTTTATCACTTTCAAACTTTATATCACTTTTATACCACCTCAATATACACATTTCCTTCTCTGCAAACATCACCTCAAATTTGTTGGGATAGACAGCATATCCAGCCATAAAATTTTTAGATAGGTCTACAGATTTAACAATAGGTGGGTTAACATCAATTATATACCGGGTGTTACCTATAACTAAATTATGTTTCTCTGAGTTAACAATAAATGAATCATAGCATGTCATATCACCTCTTGCATCTCCTTCCTCATCCACTTGTACCATCCTGACTGAGAGTTCACCAACATCAACATAATTCTTCTTTTTCTTCTTTATTAGAGATTTTAGGATATTCACACTAATCCTGGTTAAGGTATTTGTTAACAGGTCTTCTGTGGACCGCTTCAGGTTAAAACGTCTATCAATACTTCGGTTTTCATCTTTATACCTAAAAGCTAATCCTACCGTCAGTGTGTCACTCTCATGGGTCACCACCATTCTCTCCACCACAGACATGTTGTTAATAACTCTTGGTGACCTGTAATGGCTTAGTCTGTGACCCAACACCCAGATGAGGTGTTCACATCAGCTGCTCAGTCTGTCCTCCTCACCAATCATCCGGATTTATGTTCACAAATATCCGGATTTTGATCATAAGTAATCCACACATATGTCTGGTAAATCTGAAGGTTGTGAACATTGTACTATGTTTTCTATGCACATTATCCACAATATTTTTACTAATAATTCATGTATTTTATCTCCTCCACAGCCCTAAAACAGACTTGTGGTAGTCTTGTGCATCTTTCCGGATATTCTGAAGGGACTAACACTCCTGGCTAAACCCTCAACTCCATGACTTGTACTTGGAGGCCTTGGTGTGAAGAAGACACTTGTGTATAATGAAGAACATCTACTAATCGGAAGCTTGTAACTGGGACGGGTCTCTTATGTAGGACTTAACAGGCTCACCCATGATGTCAGCTGTATCGTATCACCGCCCAATATCCTTCAAAATCTTATTAAAGTAAGATTTTTTAATACGGCGGCTATTACTCAAGATGGCAGCTATTACTCAAGATGGCGGTGATTTTTCAAGCCGCCATCTTGAGTAATAGCTGCCATATTCAAAAAACTTGAAAGTCAAATAATTGCTAGTGTTAATTATATAGAAAAATAATATCCACTCCAAGTTGTTCTAAATCATTCATAGTTCCCTATTAATCTTTATGTTATTAATACGAGTTTGAAAGATATTGGGCGGTGATATAATAAAGTTATGGATGAGCCTGTTAGGTCCTGCCCTTAGTCACAACTGCCACTGAGGTAGAGAAGTGATAGCTGTGGTCAGAAGCTAGTGGGCCATACAGGTCAACACTGACAGTCAGCTCATGTTAGCGGTAGACAGAGTTGACTCATGCAACAGATACACCTTTGCATCGGTCACATTTTTTTGAGCCATGCAAGTGTATCAGTCTGGCCCTGAAACTTGGCAGGTTTTGTCCTCTTGTACTGACCAAAGACATATTGAAGGTGAAATTATGACGTAGATAATACTCAGTGACGCAGTGTAGATTTACAGTGTACGTACAGTGCTCAAGAGACAGGGCAGGTACACACTGAGCTTAAAGACATACATAACCGTATATACATAATATACTAGACAACATAAGTACACATTCCATTTAATAAACAATACGAGTTTAAAAATAATAAATACACACATACATTTACATATAAATAATGATAAATAAGAACTTGACCTGAGCACTAACTAACCTAGAAGTAATTAAATACCAACTATCATTAGATATTTAATAACAAACAAGTCATAAGTAATAATATCCCAGTAAATAGAAGTGTATAAATATCTCCCTAATTAACTAAAAACTGATTAAATGAGAGAGTGCGCATGGCCAGCCTCAGTTACCTCACCAGGGACAGCATTGTAGTGGTTGTTTTCTCCCGCCATTTCCCGGTACATGTAGTTGAGTGTGCAGTAAGCAAATCCTAATTGAACATTTATCTGGCATTATGTCCTCCATTATTATAGACAAAGATGCCTTCTTCCGCCGGATGAATAAGGTTTACACGGCTTGGAAGGTAAGATATGAAGTTTGTGTTAGGGGAGGCCACAAAGGGGACCCAGAGCCTTGTTTTTATCTATTATATTAACTAATTTATGGCTGTATGAAGTAGTTTGTGTACTGTTAGTATAGGTAGACACTATAAAAGGTTATATATATCACCAGTTATGGGATGAGTCTTTAAAGAGGTTTGATTACTGTGGTGATGGAGAGAAAATTAAGGAATTAGATGAAATGGATAATTTAATGAACTTGACAAGCCTCGTAATGTAGTGAGGGATTAATTAGTGTGTAGATATATTAATACTGGGTTGTTATATGTGTTATGGTTACCTGGTGTGTCTATAGAACCAGTAAAGGTCATCCTCCAAGGTTTAAGTGTTAGTACAGGAGACTGGAGTGCTGTAGTGAGTTAAGTGTGATCTTGATATACCTTAAGACGTAATAGTTACAGAATTACTTGGTTTAATGATTATTTTGACAAAGTTCCTGGAAATAAAGGTTAATGTGTTGTAACTGTAGGATGGTTTTGCCCATACTTCTTGTTAGTTACTCTGGTTACTGAAGTTTTGTACATAATTGAGAAAATGGTTGGTAGTACTAGACAAGAGTGGTCCAGCAACCTGATGACATTTGAATTTGTTACCACCAACTGAATCCCGGGAATTTTAATTTTGACGGTGGATATTTTGCCGTGACCAGCTTAGTTCCTATTAATACTATTTTACCGTGAGTGAGCTCTGATTGTTTAAGTACTTTCTGTTTAATATGGCTGGGTCCGCCCCCCGGCTAGGAAGTTGGGTAAGGTTAGGTAGGTTGGTTAGGTCAGGTTCTGTTAGGTTTAAGTAAATGTCGCCTCTTTTATAATGAAAAGTTTCCATGCACAACAGAATTATGGTTAGGTATTTTTACAGCTTTATAACATCAATTCACAGCGAAATAAATGCTTCATGCCGCCAGAGTCACGGTCACATAATTTTTGCATTGTTTGCCAGTAATGGACAATTAGGCTATCTGAGTGCACTCACGGTAAAATAGCGTGGTGAATTTTTCTTTATTCACCGATCTTTCTCTCGCTGTTATTAATATGTATTTCGTAATGTTTAGACAACTCTAAGACATTTTTCTAATATCATTTCCATCGGAAATTAAGGATAACTGAGGTATTAATTTTTCAGTATTACTACATTCGCTCTGTACAAGTATTGCCACGTCTTGCTTACTTATGGTGTAGAAGGTCTGACACCTGCTCATGCATCACTCCAGACCTCCGTCTTCATTTCTTAAGCATCTACAGCGCATGTGCGAAGGGGGAGCGTTGGGAGTGGAGATTCTAATTTTTGGTACCAGATATGGCTGAACAGGGGGAAGGGATGTGCCGACATTGTGATAGATATTATTTTACGTCAATTGCCGATTTTTATTAGAAAATAGTGAGGTAATTTTTTTTTTTTTTTAGAAAACAATGCGTATTTGTAATAATCAGTGTACACTGCGTGAAGAACGACACATTTGGCGGTGTCATCAGTTTTCTTCAGCCGAACAGAAATGGAAGAGGTGCAACCCTGGTTAGGTTAGATGATTCATTTTCGTTTTCTACCCCACCCAAAAACCCTGATTTCCCAGGCTCTCCCCCCATTATTGTTGGGGGGAGACTTGTGCATAAGTAGAAATTGACCAATAGCGTTATTAGGAACCAAGCTGGTCACGGCAAAATATCCACTGCGATTTATTTTTGTAATCAATAGTTTTCCCTGAGGTAGGGAAGGGCCCCATGCATGTGCATTGTTGAACAGCATTGCAACATACGAACGGAAAAATTACGAAAAATGAAATAACTCCGTTCTAGGTCGTATGCAAGGGAAACGTCATGGAAGTATAATGTCATGGAATTATCTAAACAATAGATTGTAGCGATAAAATTTCTGATATTTGGTTGGTGGCAAAAAATGCAATAATACTGAAGTTTTTCGAGGAGAAATGGATTTTTTGTTGTTCCACCATTACTGTTTTTTTTTTTTTTTTTTTTCCGTCCGGGTAGGAGCTGTGTTTACTGTACCATTGCTACAATCTCTAATTTATTGTTCATAAAATTAGAAAACTAACCCATCAAACCTAAACAACTTACTGCAGCTAATTCTTTTTTTGTTCTTTTAAAAGATAATAACATTCCTCTGCAAAAAAGAACCATTCCTATAGTCTAAATATGGTGCTTATAGCAAGGTCGGGTTTGTCTTCGTCCTCCGCCCATATCACACTTTAAAAAAAATTCACACAAAAATTAAATTCCTTCTGCATAGTTTGTACATTTCTCAAGGTAAAACCTTATATCTTCACTGGATAAATCTAATTAGGTTACGACTATGGTGGACCACTCTCGTCAAGTATTACTAAATGATCTTGCCAAGTGATGAATAATATATAACAGTATTGTACTGCTAAACTATACATTTTTATTTTGTGAATTTATTAATAAGATCTTATACTGGTTGACAATCCCTTATCCAAAATCCTTGGGGCCAGAGGCATTTTGGACTTCGGAATTTTTCGGTTTTTGGAATGGTTAGGGTTTTTTTTTATTATTATTATTATTATTATTATTATTAGCCCACCCGGGCATAGGTCACTGACCCACATCGGGGCCTGGGGGGCGAAAATATAATAAAAATTATAATGATAATAATAATAATAATATTAATAATAATTCATAGGTCTAGGTCGTGTTTCTAACTTTTGATCTTTTTTTCATTCTTGTACGTATTTCTTTATTATTATTATTATTATTATTGTTATTATTGTTGTTGTTATCATTATTATTTTATTTTGGTGTATTTTTATTAAAAAAATTTATTTGCTATTAATAATGATAATTATTATTATAATTATTATTACTATTACTATTACATTTTCGCCCCCCAGGCCCCGATGTGGGTCAGTGATCTATAACCGAGTGGGCTAATCCCCGTTAAAAAAAAAATGCCCCACAAAAAAAACTCGGTTTTCAGAGCTTTTCGGTTTTCGGAATTTCGGATAAAGGGTTGTCAACCTGTATTACTAAATTGTGTTTGTAAGCAATGAAACTGGTGTTTGTCTTTATACAGTTCTTGAATACCAAAATGTCCAATATTAGTTTGGTGCTAACCAAACTAATATTGGACATAATATAATTGAAAAGGCGATCATACATTTGGATGGATAACACCACTTGTTCCCTGTGGATGTAGCACTTGATTAAATTTAAAGAGTTGCATTGTACCCGAGACATCCTAAGTTGGCCCAGCTGTGAATGGGTGCCCAACTCTCCGGGCATGGAAGTGAATGCATTCTTTTAGTTTATTAATGAGTGTGCTGCCTCTATGACATTTTATTCCTATGGGACACACATTCATAATACTGTACATATTAATAATGAACTGACGTATCTGTTTCTTTTTGTTCAACAGAAGGCAGAAAGCAACAAGGAAGATGGCATTGGCAAAGTTGATTCTCTGGTCTCACATGTGGGAGCTGACCAGGAAGTTATATATTCAAAATCAACTGCTACACAGACTTGGCTCTTTGGTTATGAGCTGACAGACACTATCATGGTTTGTTGTGAAAAAGCTGTGTACTTTCTAGCCAGCAAGAAAAAGGTAAGAACTCTGTGAAAACAACTATTCTAGAACTGTACTACTGTTTATATGTTAACTTGCACTGATCTCAATTTTGTCATATGTGGAGCTTCTTACACAAACTTGAATAATGAATTAACACCACTCATTAGCTCTCCTTCTTCCTGCCTACACTCGGATATGAAGTTAAACCACTACCAAACCTAACCTAACCAACTGCAGTCAGTTGTTTATTTGTTGTGTTAATGCTCGGGAGTTTTTATCGAAGATTTATTAATTCTCTCGGTTATGCTTATTACTGTTTTTGTTTCAGATTCAAATTCTTGAAGGTTTGGAGAAGAATAAGGATGAGAACAGCATAGTACCGCCAGTTAAGTTACTGGTCAGAGATAAAGTAAGTCGCCATAACTCTTGCTGGTCGATCAGTTAGGTTACTGTGTCTATGCCATAATATTGTCGGGGAAATGATCATACAGGCAAAGCTTTCCTTTATTACTGATAAGATAATACTGGATGTCTATTATTTCAGTTAGTAAGTGGCTTAAAATATCAAACCTTTGTTATATTTTCTGCATGTTTGATTTTTTGTATTTTCCTTTCCAGAATGACAAAGACAAGGCCAACATCAGCAAGCTTATTGAGGCCATCAAGGGTAGCAAGAATGGATCAAAGATCGGTGTGTATGCAAAGGACAAGTTTACATCAGACCTCATTGATGCCTGGAGAAAAGCCGTGAAGGAAGGGAACTTTGAACAGGTGCGACATTGACTTTGTTTTGTTGATTTAACATTTACATAAGAGAGAGAGAAAGTTTTATGGGTGTATCTTGACAAGTTTAGGGAGGGGAGGCGGACCTGTACAGTACTCTTATTTGTTACATAATGACCTGTCCTATTTACAGTTTGATATGAGCTCACACATGGCCATTGTGATGTCGGCAAAGGAGGAATCCGAGATCATCACCATTAAGAAAGCCTGCAATGCAACGGTGGATGTGTTTTCAAAGTACCTCAAGGAACAGATCATGGATATTATTGACAGAGATAAGAAGGCAAGTGAACGATAGTCTTTTTTTTTCTACAGGTGTGTTACTCTAGGCAATACAGTGTTTTTTAATTGATTTAATTTAATTTCTTTTTTTCCACATCATAAAAAATGGGATTTGTCTTAGTGGATGGTTGAATGAGGAGGTAAATAACTAAGTTTAATGTATCCTGGATTGTTGCAGGTAAAACACGCCAAACTTGCAGAGGGCGTAGAACAAGCCATGTCAGACAAGAAGTACGTGGGAAATTATGATACGCAGCAGATAGAGCCGTGTTATCCGCCAATTATCCAGTCAGGAGGCAACTATGCTCTCAAGTTCAGTGTGTCCAGGTATGAATGGATCTCGTCTTGTAGTTACTGTACTTAACGTTTAATATTTATGAGTGACCAAATTACCATAATTTCTCTTTGCTACTATAACGTGCGGTCTACAAGATATTTAGGTTAGGTCAGGTAAAGTTGGGTTAGGTTTTGTTAGGTTAAATTAGGTCATTGTCAGTTTAGGTTAGGTTAGACTAAAGATGTGTTAGTAGACCACACACACTATAGTAGCACTGACTTCTTCCTCTGGGATAAAATTAAAGAAATTGACTATTTGTAAAGAATATCCTGTACCCTAATTATCTGTGGAGTTCATCAACGCACCTTGTTTATATGTGTATCTTTATCATTGACACACCCTGTTCCTTTAGTCACACCATATTCCTTCAGTCTCACACACACATCCTATTTCTTCAGTCACACACCTCATACCTTCAGTCACACACCCTATTTCTTCAGTCATACACCTCATACCTTCAGTCACACACCCTATTTCTTCAGTTACACACACTATTTCTTCAGTCACACACCCTATTTCTTCAGTCACACACACCCTATTCTTCAGTCCTCTCCTACAAGCATCATAATCAACTTGTACTTACTTGTTGCAGCGATAAGAGTCCCATGCATTTTGGTGCCATTGTGTGCTGCATGGGTGTACGCTACAAGAACTATTGCTCCAATATTTGTCGAACGTTTATGGTCAACCCGCCGGAGAAGATGCAGAAGGAGTATGAGCTGCTTTTAGAACTCTTTGATAAGCTCATCAGTACCCTCAAGGTAAGTGGTTTCTTTCCCGCTTACGTTCATAGAGGATCTTCCGTAAATTCTGTGGAATACATAACGGATAAGACAAATTTGAACTCGATTTCACTTTTCTCAATGTACTGGAACCGTAATAGATGACTTTGTTGTGTAATATTAATTATCTTTTTTTTTTTTTTTTCTTTCCTTTACTGTATGAGATTGAATTTATGTATTCTTTCATATAATTTCTATGTCATGGGGAGAAGATTGGTGTGTGTGTGTACGTGTGTAATGATGAATGTCACGTCTCAAGATCTAACTCCTCCTCCCTCGTGTTCCAGGCTGGTGTCAAACTGTGTGATGTGTACGAAGAAGTCTATAAGCACGCCAAGAGCAAGAAACCTGATTTGGTGGATAGGCTAACGAAGGCAGTTGGGTGAGCACCTTGCAGACTGTTCCTTTAAACTATGAGAAGATTTTGGGGAGACATTGAAATTTTGGATAATGTTTTGTGTCTTGGAGATTAAGGTTTACTGGGCTTCTTGTAATTTCCTCTCGGTAAAAGATCAGTATGTATGCCGGTCACCTAAGATTTTAGTGTTACGTTTGCAACCTTGCTGGGAGGATGACCCACAATTGGTAATCTTGCTTATTTCTCCATTCTGTAGTCTAAATAGTTTTATCATCAATTGCTAATGGTATCATATGGGTTAGCAAGAAATTAGCTGTAATAAATCTCCGTACATAAGAGCGTAAACAAGCATGTCTATTTGAATAATATCTATATACTGTATTTTTATTTAGATTTGGTACTGGTATCGAGTTCCGCGAGTCTGCCCTTCTCATTGGCCCAAAGACGACAATTACTGCGAAGAAAGGACAAGTGTTCAATGCAAATCTTGGGTTCTCTGACCTTAAAAATAATACTGCCAGTGACGAGGGAAGCAAGAAGTACGCTCTCTTCATCGGCGACACAGTAGTTGTAAATGAGGTGAGTTATACGACTGCAATATTTTCCCAGTTTTCATAAATATTAATTTTTATAACCTGACAACAGTACTGAGGAGACTGGTTTATTGTGTCTGTCAGAGTACAGGTCACAATAAGAGTAAATGGGAAAGAAAGTGAGACATTTTAAATAAATAATTACTTGTCCAAATGACATCTCAAAGGTTTTGATTACTTTTCTAATGCTAATTACTCACCACCTGTGGTTTTTCAGAGGTGTTGGTGGTGATAAAGTATCTAGAGAAAGATAATATTTGTATTTGAGTGAAGTGAGCAAGAGAAGGGCAGGTGGCTGACAAAGAGGACAGTTGTAGGACAGTGTACATGTGTGAGAGGGAAACTAGTTGGTAAACCTGATGTTTCGTAGGAGAAAACTATCAAGAAATAGTCAACTTACTGGAAACTGAAAGACGTGTTCCTTTATTTCCTTCAGGATCTGCCCGCCACGATCTTGACGGCGTCCAGCAAAAAGAAACTAAAGAATGTCGGTGTCTTCCTGAAGGTAAGGAAACCAACAGAGCAAGGTGGTGCCTGGTGTTACTTATGTAGCCTGTCCTAGAAGCTATGTTTTTCATTTAGTATCATGAATTTATATGGTCTCTGTGTATAGGGATTTTGTTTCTGTAACTTTGACCAAATGATAATCTTTTCATCTTCCATTTTACTTTATTCTTTTTATCCAGTCTATTCCATTTTGCCTTCTAGTGCCAAGCAACTGAGATGCTTCCTTTACCCATTTGAAGTTTTATATATATATATATATATATATATATATATATATATATTTAACTCAAAGTAGCATAGCAAAGGATGTTTAGCTTTGGAGTAAATGATTTTATCCAACTTACAGGATGATGATGATGGTGATGATGACGAAGAAGAAGACACTAAGGAAGATACGTCAGAGCTCCTGGGTAGAGGGAAGCGTACTGCCATCCTCGACTCCAAGCTTCGGGTGAGTTATCCGGACTCTCAGTTGTCAGTGTTTCACGAGTTATCATAAGTGCAGGAAGTTAAACATTTATTTTTATCATAATTGGCAATTATTGTAGATTCTCTCTCCCTAAACTAAAAATGAAGGTGGGTCCCGTAGGCCTGATACCCCAGGGTCAGTGTAGGTACAGCGCTGGAGACTAAGCCTTCAGTAAAGAAGGGGAGTTAAGCCGCCGCTGCATTTCACTTCCTCGCCTGTAAAGTTAGGTGCCCCTTCTGCTGCCGAGTCAACTGGGGGCACCTCCCTCAGTGGTGGGCCACGGTGCTCAAACCGGCAACTCTTGGGTCAGGAGGCGAGTGCTTTATCCACTCGGCCACTGCACCACTAAACTAAGCCCAGGTAATTGTAAAACTGAAGCTGTGTAAAGATGGAGTTGCTTGATCCTTATTTTGTAGGTTTTATTTTGATAAACATTACTTGAGTAAAAACAATAATTGAAATGTCTACAGTATTTTTATTATGGGATACAGTTCAGTATCTGTTTTAGTTCAGTGACCCAATTAACTTTAGAAGGGCAAAGGTCAGAGTCACACGGACCCGAGAATAAAAATATTGGTTTCTTTGTGTTAGTGTAACTTTTTTATTATTGATCTCTAAAAGTTAATGTGAGGTAGGAAGAGCCAGTTGTGGGTTATAAGTTGTTTATGGTTTCATGGGTTGTAGTGGTATAACTTTTTTACCCATGTGAATTGCAGTATAACATTTTTGCTTCTGATAATTTTGTTTTGTTTTTCAGTTCAATAGTTTCTGTTTTGTTTACTCCTATTGTGTATAATACAGATGGTTTACTCTGGAGTGATGGTGCCAGCTGCTGCTAAGTTGTGTACCTTCTTTAAACAATTATTGCAAGATAATTATTCTAAGGAAGAATCTTGAGACAAACTGTACCAAGGTTGCATATGTGTCTGGAGGTTGTCATGAGCTACTGCTCCTCTAAACAGTGTTAAAGTTTGTCCGTATCTAATATACTATAGGACTAGGCGTGTGTCTGTTTGTGTATCTGTTCTGGGCAGCCTAAACGGCACAATCGTTTTTCATCAAACTTGGTGGAAAAATCGCAAAAAATTCGTGGAGTGGAACAAACCTGGTCACATGTCGATGGTTTCTTTAGGAAGGCATTAATTAACAATTTATTTACGATGGAAAACGATGCAAGTCTGCGGACTTGGCGCACCCTAATTAACCATGCAAGTCTACAGACTTGGCACACCCTCATTCGCTGTCACGAGCGTTCAAACTCTCACAAGGGCACGAACGTGCCCGCGATCACTTGTGATTGTCTAGTTTGAATGAATCACCTTGTTTCAGTGTTTGGCAACCATGCTGGCTTATGTGATAGTGATTAAGATAGTAAGAGATGAATTGGTTGCTGTTTTTAAGGTAATGTGTCCATCATGCTGATTAGGTGTTTCACACAATGTATAGAATCTAGTAGAACTGTCCTATGGGTGATCCTTGTACTGTAGCTTTATGACTATACTAGACAGGTGTCCTCCATTAGCAAGGTTAATTATTTCCTTGAGAACTTCCTGCAAAATGAAGAAAACACTAAATGATAATTGATTTATCTTAGCAGTACTGTAGATATAATGTGGGTGAATGAATTCCTGAAAAAATGGGGATATAGAGACTGAAAATGTGCTGTGTAGTTTGGTATAAATTAGATGCTCAGACATTAAGAAACTGTGTTATGGCAAGTCTTTGGAAAATTATATATATAAAATCATTTAGTTAACACTTATCAATAGCATGATAAAACTCTGTTGTGGTTGTTGAGGGTTAGTACAGTACAGTAGTTGGCTTGAGCTGTTGTTAGAGAGTCAACATCAGTGCCTCTGTGTAGAAGTTGTTGGAGGGATGGTTTTGTACAGAACATAACTACTGTGAGATAATCTGAGCATGTTGTATATCTCATGGGTGTGTCGTTATGTTACAGAACTGTTAACCCCTTGTGTATGGAATCCTCTCTGAGCTCAGTAAAATTATCTGGGGTTGAAATAAGATTGGTTTAAATGTAGTACAGTACTGTGTCTGTATTGTGAGGTGTAGGGACTTGCTTTTCCTCACCACAATCATTTGGTGTTGTTGCTGGTGATGGCATTCATTTGCTGGAATAGACAATTTGAGTTTGTTCAGGGGATGTTGGTTCCTATGGTAGCTCTAACCTACTCTAAATAAATGTTTTTAAATACATATTTACCGATATTTAGGGATAATAAAATTGGTTTCCTTTAGGTGAGGTATTTATTACTTGGCCTCTCTGATTTTTAGCATTTCATTTATTATCTTTACAAGGAGAAAATTACCATAAACGCATCTGTGAGTGAAGTACAGAGTGGGGATGCTATAGAACATGTGCAGTAACGTTCACATTATACAAAATTTTCATTGAAATTTGTAGTAGCTACAGTATTGTATTTGCCTTCACCAGTCTTGGGGAAACAGTTGTACATGTGGTGGTTCTTTAGGGTTTGGTCTGTGTGTTTGGGATCATTTTTTTTTTTTGTGTGTTTGGTATGCTATGCATGCAAGCACATGTACAGTCGCCTGCACTTCTACTTGGTACAGTGGCTTGCACATTTGTGAGATGTGACAACTCTGTGTTTGTTTACATGGTATTAAAACTCCCGGCATGGCCTTAAGGAACCTCACAGACTAAGGATAGTAGATAGACATTCCACATAGTTGCCACATCTCACAAAATATGCCAGTCACTGTACCAGGTATCAGTGCAGCCATCTGTACAGTTATGACTGTGATGCACATTATACAAAAGTGTTATATGTGTATCTACGGTTTGGACTGCGTATAACCTAGTGTGTGTGGGTGAGGTGAGTCATGTATTACTAAGGTGGTGAGTTTAAAGCTGAGGAATGCTTGACCTTCCCATCACCAGTACAAGTTGAAGGCAGTGAGTATAACCATCACACTAGTACAATATGTCTCCACAAGTTCACAAAAGTAAATTTCCAAATTTGTCTTCAGTTGCAGTCACGAGCAGTAACTCCTCGGCTTGTTCACATCTCCCTCCCAGAAACTAAACTCACCCTAACCTTCTTACCTCTTGGATTAGTTATGACTGCAGTGAAGGGTGATTTTTGCCTTTATATATGTTGATGAGTCTTACCAGTCTTAAGTTTAATGACTCAGTTTGATAATACTATACTGTAACTATAAGAACATGAGTCACCACTTCCAGGCTCGGTTATAAAATGGGATATCGGGATCAGTCGGTCCTTCATTTCTCACTTATGACATTTATTGTAAACATCATTTTCTGAAACTTTTCCAGAACTTTCTAAAATATGGAAAATTTTAATAAATACTGTACTGTAGTTAAACTTGACCTTAATGTGAAATAATGGTAGTGTCCCTCTTTTTTACATAATGAATACTATTTCCTTTTGTTACATGTGGGTGTAGCATCAAACAGTGAGTATATATACTTGTCTTAACTCTTGTCTGCATGAAGTAGACTAGTAACATTAAAACTTCTCATGAATATTCTTTTCTGGCTGACCAGACTCATAAAAGTGCAGTGATGTAGATATTTTAGTTTAATTTTGGCTCAGACCACAGAACATCACCCTGACTGGCCTGACTTAGTGTACTGTATGAGGAGAGGCAGGCAGTGGATGAGTAAAGTCTTATGATATAAATGTGATGTGGAATGTTAATTCAACGAGTTTTCTTGAGTATGGTTTGGGAGAAGGTAGAATATTAGATGGTGTGGTTGACGATGTGACAGTACATGAGGTTTCAGAGCTGTTGTGAATGTCGTCCACCTTTGTACGCGAGTTCTTTCTTGTATCCGAGCTATAAGAGAAGACTTTTAGGGTTACTTACCAATGGTGGAACAGTCCGTTATGGGGTAACTTGTACAGTATTTATCGGGAAAAATTGGGTTGTTGAAATTCATTTTGTTTGGGTTGTACTTAATAGGTTGACATTTAAAGATGAACTCAAGACATCCTATTTAGAATTCTATTATTTTGTAACACGTACTGTGCCCTGTACTGGTATTTTAAGTTATGTGTTATCTGAATATTTTATTTTTTGCTTTATATTCCCCTGCTAGTGTTTTTAACTGAATTTCACACCACTTGTAACAAATTTATAGTTAATAGATGGATAAAGCTGTTGTACCAAGATGGTGTGACTCTTAATGCCTTGTGTACAGAGTCCTCTCTAATGCTGAATAAAATCATTTGGTGTTAGCCACATGAAATATCAAAGGTGGCATCCTCATAGTGAAGAGGTTAAGTAGTTTATATATCTCATTATTCATCCACAGTTAATAAAACCAGCTCGTGTAACAGACCTCCCTAGTCCCTGCCCTGTGGTACAAAATGTGTACATATAACAGGTTTCGTTCAGTACTGTACTTGGACCTGGGTCAAGTAACCTTTTTATTTCCCTGCTTGACTCTTATTCTCTTATCCTGACTTCCAGTAATTACATCACTTTCTTATCATAACTTTTGTTTGTTAGGAAAAACCTGTGAAAGGGATGGAGTCCTTGTATATTCCAGGCCTTGATAAGGTGCTATAAATTGACTCCCTTGAGTGGATTTTCAGAACTGTATGACGTTCAGTCAGAACAATTATCCTTGATGTACTCCAGAACAATAATTTGACTCGCCATTCCCTCAACTTTCTAAAAGTTGAACCTAGAGGAACTTGTAAATGTATGTGATGCCATCTCTAGGTACAGTACTGCACTTCACAGGTTGGTGGGGACTGGTAGGTGTACAGTATGTGTGGTACATTACAATAGTACAACCTATGAATAGTTCATTAGTATTTGAAAATCCACACAAACTTTACAATGCTGCAGCTTAGAACACTGTCTTGTTATATTGCTCATTATTTTGGAGAAAATTTTTACTTTAGAAAAAATTAATAGAATCTTTAATAAAAAATGGTGCAACAATTCCACGTGAAATGCAAGTCATCTTTCTCTCGGCCGCGCGCTCGGTGAACGAGAACGGCATAAACCGATTACCGCTCAGGCTTACCAGTGCACGTTGTTGTCACTATTAAACTGAAAATGTATCGTGTTTTGTGAAGGATGTTCCCCAATAGGTGAATACTATATCGTAATGTAAAAATGGAATTGTGTTGTGCAAGTGTGCGTTAACTAGGAAAAACCCGTATAGTGGTAAGTGTCGCCCAGCGTGGGGATTTAAGGGTCTCGGGATTCAAGGAAGGGAGGAGGATGCTTGTGGAAAAATAAATTTATTGATCATGGCTTTTAACATGTGAGGGTCTTCTAGCTGGTGGAGATGATGGTTGTGGGTTATTGGCATCTTCCCCTGGGGACAAAACTAAAAACAAAGCCATAAAACAGTTAAAACAAGTATAATGGTATACTGTATTAAACACACCTCAAGCTGCTTTGTCACTTGTGTTGTGTTGTTCTTGCTCGGAGTTTCTCGTATGGTGCGAGCAAGAGACCGACTTCTTAATACGTTACAATTGACCCCGTGTGGTCAGTGCTCCCCTCCCCCCCTGCCCTGAGGTGAATGAAATGTGGTGTTAGTGTATATCATATCTCAGTGAATTCTGGTCAGTCTTAACAATAGATGCCATATCGCGCTCTCTTGTGTCATATTGTGCTTAAGTTTTCGGCTATATATATATATATATATATATATATATATATATATATATATATATATATATATATATATATATATATATATATATATATATATATATATATATATATATATATATATATATATATATATATATATATATATATATATAAACCTGCTTTGGTCTGTCTATATGTCTTATCTATATCTCTTTAAATTTAGGATTTTTGCATGATTATTTTTACTCCTCATACACATTGTGCTGTACCTCTATCAGACTAAAGCTTGGGAGATCTTCATGGGGGTAAACAGGGATGGTGTTGGGTTCATAAACTATAAGATTCTATGGTTAACATTCCAACAAACATATGTGCCCTCTCTAATACGCTTCCTTAGTGTATTGTGTCTTTTTTTATGCCACTGGATGAAATTTAGAACCTTCAATATACAATATGATTAGGTGGTCATGTACTATCACTCAAAACACTATCTCTACAAAATTGTGTTGAGAAAATGTGACACAGCAGAAGAAGGATGTTGGCAACCCTACCGAGACAAGAGGAGTGGCAGTGTTCATTCTGGAATTCATCGATCCCCTCCAAGTAGAGATAGTTTTTTGGGTGACTGTACACGGGTGAGAAGGATTAAAATGATGCTGTACAGGTATATCTAATTTGACATTAATAGTCTCCTTGAGCTATGAGTGATTGATTTATGTTGACATGATAAGCACTTACACACACACACATGGCTGACCAGTACCTACCACCTGAGGCAGTGTCACCTATTGTCCACAACACACACACACACACACTTGTCAAGAGTTTTAAGCTCCAGCACATTATCACTACCACCACCAGAGACTATAACTGGATCACCCCTCATAATAACCCCTTATGTTTTGTGTCACCACTCAGCTGAATAAAATTATCTGGTGGTGGTCAAAGAACATATTAAAATAGGCTAGTGGAGATAGTCTACTAACCCCTTATGTCTGGGCTCCCTGCTTGAGCTGAATAAAATCATCTGTTATTAGCCCCATACTGAAGGAGTTGAGAAAGCCACAAACAGGAGCGGAACTGGACCATAATACACGGCACAACTGACAAAACACAGAATCAAACCCACCTGTGTGCTGCATCCTAGTGGAGCCCTTACACTCAGCTTTTGTTTCACGGGCTAATTGTCCGTTTGTGTTCTCGGCTAGAAAAAAAAAATCTTGATCTCATTCTTTGACTTACTTTCTCAGCATTGGAGAGAAACATGTTATTTTGTCTTATATACTTTGACAGCAGAAATCATAGCTATACCTTACAAAAATACACTTAAACTAATCTCTGTAGTATAGTCAAGGATGGTAATTTCTCTCTCGTCTTGGTACAGTACACAGAAGGCCAATATGGAGAGGTGGAAGGTGGTTCACGGGGGTCGGTATTCACACAACTCATTATTGTCACCGGCCGCGGTGCGTGATGTAGTGTACAGCACCTACACATTTAAAACTAAACTATGGGACAATAACTAAACATTATATTTTCTTTATTTACTTATTAGATTTATTAACAGCAATTGACTGTAGCTTTAAATTTTTACTATTTACGTTGTGTAGTCGGGTAATGTTTCGTGATGTGTGCTGTACATCTCCTGCACATTTACAATTGGATATGACTGTCAAGAGGGGTAGGGGATGCAGGTTGGCCAAGTGACATTAGGTTGGCCAGGTAGGACATTTTGGTATGGCCAGGTGGAACATTTTGGAACAGTTAGCACCGTCTGTCAGCAGAATTTGGGGGTGACAGACTGGTATCTTGTATAACGAATTGCTTTTACATATTTAGAAGGTTTTTTTTTTATTATTATTTTCTATTTAAACTCATCATTATATGTTAGTCATGGCTCGTTTGTTCTTGGGGTCATAATTATGGTTTGATATAATGTGTTGGATCTTAGGAAAGGTAAGAATTAAAAAGAAATTAAGAATAAAGTATAACGAACAGTATTGCGGAGTTAAACGATGTTGTTCTTACGGCCGTGGACTTGTGCACGGAATAATCCAACTAACGGGGTATTATTCTTGTAGTCAGAACAGTCGACAGAGGAGAAGCGTAAGGAGCACCAAAAAGAACTGGCGGTGGCGATGAATGAAGCAGCCAAGGAGCGTCTAGCACTACTCAAGGGAAAGAAGGAGGACCAGAAAGTGCGTAAATCTACCGTGTCGTATCGGTCGTCGAACCTCATTCCGCGGGAACCTGAAATTGCAGAGCTCAAGATATATGTTGGTAAGTCCTTTGGGGTGTGTGTCAGTTAGTGAAGTGTACAGTACATGTATTAAGGGTTTTTTTTAACACACACCTCTTTTAATTTTCAATTCATGGTCCAGACATTACGTTTTGTTTCAGACCGCAAGTACGAGACGGTGATATTGCCCATCTATGGCATGCCAGTACCATTCCATATCTCTATGATCAAGAACATCTCCCAGAGTGTGGAGGGAGACTACACCTATCTACGTATCAACTTCTTCCACCCGGGCTCCAGCATCGGGAAAAGTGATGGCATTTTCCCCAACCCAGACGCCGTGTTCCTAAAAGAGGTGTAAGTATTCGAGAAAAACCTTAAATTTTTTCACATATTGTCGTCTTGGTTTCTTTGGTACAGTGATTATATATTTTTTATACAACCTGAAGACTTTTTTGACTTGTATGATAAGGTTAGTACTAGAGGGAACCATCAAGTGAATAGCTGTGACAAGTATGTGAGGATTTTTAGTGGAATTAAAAGTTGCACGAATAGATTTGTTACCAGATGAAGCTGCGTGTATTTGCCCTCAACGAAAAATAATTGATGCGATATTGAAGTCCTAGATAATATAAGTTTACTTTGTTTGGTCTTTCAGTACGTATCGCAGCACTAACACCAAGGAGCCGGGAGAACTCTCGGCGCCATCCTCCAACCTCAACACTGCGTTCCGACTCATCAAGGAGGTGCAGAAGAAGTTCAAGACACGAGAGGCGGAGGAGAAGGAGAAGGAAGATCTCGTTAAGCAAGACACACTCATCGTATCCAACAACAAATCCAATCCTAAGTTAAAGGACCTTTATATCCGGCCGAACATCGTACAAAAGAGAATAAACGGGACGCTGGAAGCTCACACTAACGGCTTCAGGTGAGTGCCGGAGACCAACCCCGAGATGTGTTTGATGGAGGAGGACTTCTACTCGATGGAGATTATGTGGCACAGGAAAAACATTGTGGTAGAGTCCCAGAATGTTAGTTGGAGTTGGCCGAGAATTCCAGAATGTTAGGTGCAGTTGGCCGAGGTTTTACCAATTTTATTATTAAGTCTGTAGGCCAAATATTGCTTCTGTATATATTTTCTAAAGCCATGCACTTGATAGACTTGTGTGGGTTGTGGTAATTGATCTGTGCTGTTGTTGAAAAAAAACATTTATATTACCTTCTCATAAATTGGTCGTAATCTAGTGAGGGAATTTAGTAATTATTTCATCTGGCTGTTGTTTCCACAGTGCTGTCTTAATTACCCGTTGTCTCTATTAAATTTATATAATTATCTCTCATTCTCTCTCTCTCTCTAAATAAATAATTAAATAGAGTAGCTAACTGTTGTATTCCTCCCTCCGTCAGGTATACAAGTGTCCGGGGTGATAAGGTGGACATTCTCTACAACAACATCAAGAACGCCTTCTTCCAACCATGCGAGGGAGAAATGATTATCCTGCTTCATTTTCATCTCCGGGTAGGTTACTCCTTGTGGGGGGGAAGGTGGTGTGTAATTATTAGATATGTGACCTGAAGTTTTCTGCTAGCCATGATGCTCACATCCTCATTGGTCACTTACACTAGAGTGGTGCTGTTATGATTAAAGTATTGGAGATGGGCTGCAGTACTGTACACATTACAGTAAGGTCTAGAACCATGGTGACTTGGCTATTAATGTCTGGATGACAAATGGGTGTAATTTTTTATCTTTGAAATTTAATCTTTACAATTTAAGATAACAGTAATTATAACATGATCTCTATGTCTTGATACATTTTCAGTTAGACACTGTTGCATTTAGGGCCTGGGTAGCCAAGGGAGGAGGGGCCTGATGGGACTACTGGTTTGCATTAGCTCGCAGTGGAACCTGGGATGATGGACTGTTTGTTGAGCTCTCATTTCTTATACAGTATATATATGTTTACACACTCATGTACAGAAGTTGTTGCATAATATTTGTTATTTCTGAATACAGGAGAGAGTTTGAATTTCGATCTGTTGATAAAACTTACTTACACTGGGTTAGTTACCATGGTGTGTGGCTGCCATACTGAGCATTATAACATGGCTCTACTGTAGTACTTGATGTAGAGTTGTGTGATACTGCCACTGCCTTACACAGTTCTACCCCAAGTATATTGTATAGGTCACAGCACACATGCAAATACATTCATAAAAAAATTGGTGATTATCAGGAACTCGCACCTCTCCTATGATCTCACTGCCCACGGACTAATTTGGACTTCGCTAGTATGAGGGAACTAAAAAAATAATTACTCATGGCTCATGGTGTTCACTTGTGTTAATATTTGACCACACAGAGACTCGGAAGTTGAACTTAATAACACACTGGCTACTTTATCCATTACTGTATAAATATCATGTCACCATCCCAACTGTTTTTCTAAGAATGTGTATGTACAGTTTGCATGTTTATATACAATTTATAAGGCCTTTAGATATTCCTGTGTCTGCAAGTGAAGGGATTCATACTGTGGACACTTATGGAACTCTCTTGTCACTAATAAATCTTCCTTTGTCTCTCCCTCTAGCATGCAATAATGTTTGGCAAGAAGAAACATGTTGATGTACAGTTTTACACAGAAGTGGGTGAAATAACCACAGATCTGGGTAAACACCAACACATGCACGACCGTGATGATCTGTCGGCTGAGCAGGCTGAGCGAGAGTTGCGCCACAAACTGACCTCTGCGTTCAAGAGCTTTACAGAGAAGGTATGCACCCTCACATAGTAAGAGAGTGAGCATATGGGTGTTAGTGACTTGTGTGTGTTAAAGAGATGGACTATGACACTGGTAATTGTGACGACTAAATGTTTATCTTTTCTCAGGTTGAAACTATGACAAAACATCAAATAGAATTCGACACTCCATTCCGTGAACTTGGATTCCCTGGTGCTCCCTTCCGCTCTACAGTACTTCTGCAGCCCACCTCAGGTATGGTAGCCATGTACAGGGTTTTGCTGAAAAAATAAGTAACCTATTGTTTGTTATCAGTATTTGGGAATGAATAGTTCACTAATTAGCAGTGTGGTACTTGAATTGAACCATTGTTGCCAAATATGAAACTCTTGTGGTTTTCTTCATATTAGGCTGTGTTGTAAACTTGACGGAGTGGCCTCCATTTGTCATCGTGCTGGATGAAGTCGAGTTGGTTCACTTTGAGCGAGTACAGTTCCACCTGAAGAACTTTGACATGGTGTTTGTCTTCAAGGATTACTCCAAAAAAACCTCAATGATTAATGCCATCCCAATGCAGATGCTTGACCATGTGAAGGAGTGGCTAAAGTAAGTGTTCCTTCTAACCCCTAAAGTTGGCCCGGCCCCACTTGTGTAAATTAGACTGGTGTTTACGTTTCACTAACCCAACTGGTAGATCAGAGATTATTGTTGGAAGTAATGTACTGTGCTATTCTTATCCGGACTGTACTGTATATAAAACCAACATAATGACTTAATAGTATTGCTTATAAAGAATATTTGAGAGGGAGACATTGTGGGTACTGTAAGTATTATCACTGATATGAGATACAATTGAATGTAGAATAGATTAATATTTTTGAACTGTAGATGAATCTCTCAATAAAACAAAATAGGAATATAATATATGTGATATATTTATGTGTGTGTGAGTGACTGTTGTGATCTTTTTTGTCAGCTCTTGTGACATCCGGTACTCTGAAGGCGTGCAATCTCTCAACTGGGCCAAGGTCATGAAAACAATTATCGATGACCCTGATGGCTTCTTTGAACAGGTACGGTTAGAAAAAATTCACTGTTTGTATTGAAAATTATAATTGTTTTCAAAATTCCGGAAGACTTAGTGTTATAAAATATTGTTATAACTCGGGTCAGGATCTCATGACTATAGTCTGTCATCGGGTAGTCTTATGGATGTAACCCCAAGCCTAGGGTCCCCGACTTATGATTGGATCAAAAGCCAAATAGACTTTGTAAATTATCCTTCATACTGAGAACCTAAATGATGTTCACTTAATAAGGTGACCTGAAGATGGACAAGATATGAGAGTTTGTGTGAACATAAGTCATTTATTTAGCTCCCCATCACTCACTCTCTTGTGCTTAAGTTTTGATTATAGATAAGCAAGTCTTCTCAGAACCTTTCTTCCCTATTCTTCTCACTCATTGGTTCAGGATTGGTCATTAGGCAGTAAAATAAAAATTGAAATGTACTTAATGTTTTAGGGAGGATGGTCTTTCCTGGATCCCGACTCCGACGCAGAGAACGAACAAGAGGAGGAGGAAGACTCGGAGGACGACGGCGCGTACGCCCCAACCGACGAAGAGCTCGGGTCCGAGGAGGAGAGTGAGGACTATTCTGAGGGTGACTCGGAAGCCTCTGACTCCGAATATAGTGAAGGTGAATTAATTTTATAATAACTAGTCTGGGGAGTTTGTTTCTGAAGTTTTGTATTAGTTTAAAAAGAAGGACTTGATATGTAGGAAGTTCACTGAGAGAAGAGGCTTGTGGAGAGATGTGTAGTAAGTAGAATAAATATAGTGTGGTGAAGTTTTTTATGTACAGTTTGATAGAGAGTTACAGACTTAATAATTAGTGTACATGTTCATATTTTTACCTTTTGATTGAATATATATTTATTACAGGTATATAACTCGTGGGGGTGTTAACGTTAGTAAGGGAAGGATGTTATATATTAAATCATTAGTTGAGGAAATGGATGTGACTAATTGAGTTGGACTAAACACTATCCTGGGAGTTGATATGTTCCGTGGACTAGCTGAATTATTTGTGTGTGTCTTGTGAACGCTGCCTCATTAAGTATAATGTAACTGCAGACTTGGGAACGAGTGAAGAGTCGGGCAAGGATTGGTCGGACCTCGAGAGAGAAGCCGCCGAGGCCGATAAAGACGCCAACGACTTCCAGGATGAGTATACCAAACAGAAGAAGGGAGGAGGTGGCGGCGGCAGCAGTTATCGCGACAAATACAACGACCGAAAGAGGTGACACCCAGCGGGAAATACTGTAGTTACATAGCGTACATAAGTGATTCACTCAGTAAGAACAGTCAAAGCCGTGTAGTCTGGCTTACTTAATAATTTTTTGTGAGTGATAAACCATAGAATTATTACTAATCTTTAAGGTTTTTGTATATTACAATTTTATCGCTATATTGTGTTTCAGGTTAAACCGCAAGTCCTCTCTCAAACTCGGCAAGGACAGACACATGAGCAAGTAAACAATTTATGGGCTAGTTCCCTCATAGGCTCGTTACACATATCATTATCACCATTTGTCAAAGCTTTATAATAGCTGGATGGATTTCTCCTTTCTTAGCACAAATGGCATTTCATATTGATTTCAGTAATATCATCATTAACCTACATAATTCAATAATAGATAGAGAATGGGTTCTTTTCTGTTATAATGAGTAATATCAAATATTCTGGCGTAAATATTTCGTAAGGCTTTCAAGGGTACGATACAGTAATGTGCTTCACTCATGAATAAGAAGCTTCCAGTTGTAAAAGATTTTTCCTCTCGCGAGAACTATCAGAAGCCGCTTACAAACAATCTCTGTGTTACACCTGGCAGCTAACATTATTACAATACTGTCTTATGTTGATTAGATTTATTAATTTTTTAAGACCAAATTGCTGTTGCATTTAAGTTCATTTGCTTAGCTCATGATCATTCATTGTATTTGCACAAAAGAATGCTTCATAAAACATAGCTAATTCTATACATTTGTCAGTTCCCTGTCAATACCCTGTAAGAAACCCTGGTTATGGTTTGTGATTCAGAGGCAAGGTTCAGAGAATCTCAGTCACTGCTGCAGAGAGAGCTCTTGTTTATTACTTGTTTATAATACTGAAAACTGCAGATTCATAATAAAACAACTTATAACTGAAGCAGTGAGTTGGGTGACTCATATTCTGCATCAACAAGCTTGTAAGTTGATCCCAGGCTTCTTAGAAACCTTTCAGTTGTGCAGAGATCCTACAAAACTAGTAAGGAAGGGACAGCTATCTCCTGTTTCAACTGTAACCTTTATGAATAGAGAAGATCTGTGGTGAAGCAGCACACAGTACAGTACTGAAGGCCCAAAAGCTGTCAGCCTACACCACCGAGCTACATTGCTTGATGGAGCGTTAAGGCTCTCACAAATCAAACTCCTGGTGATGGGCCTCGAACTTTCTCACTCTTGTCATCTCTTTGATCTTGTAAAGGCAATTTATGCTTAATTTGATGAGCAAACCAAATTAATCAAGATTTGGTTGTTGTTTTTTAACCATGGGTCATAAGGTAGACCCTTTTGGGCATTACTCTGTTGTGAAAACCATGATTCCCATTGGACGTTAGAGGGTGTCCCTCTCAGGATAACCCGAATAATCTGTTTGGATAGTTGGCCTGTACGGCACCTGTGAACCTTTGGTGGTCTATCCTCAATACTGTACTAGGATTTGAGTTCGTTATTAATGAGGGATTGATCCAGAAATCCCAGTTTATAGTGAGTGGGACATGCAACTTGGATCCTATCCTCTTCCTTGGGTATGTTGAGGAGCTAAGATGTAAAGCGTTTGGTGTAGGATGGCAGAGTAGACTGATGACAGTGTATTCCTCAAAGCTGCCCATTATTTATTGAGCCTGTAGTATAAATGTGAGAGATCCAATCTTTGGGTTATTAATTTTAAAAAATTTCTGGAGTGTAGCCCAAGTGACGTAATCTGCACACCTGGAGGTCAACGCACAAGCTTGTCAACACTGTACACAAGCCGCCCAATCCACTCTCAGTATCAAATAGGTTTCAGGATCAGTTCTTCATTTCTAGTTTGATTCCCTTTACCAGGTGGCTCTTGTTAATGTGCAAGCTGTTCCTGGGTCTAGTACAGTAAACAATAGCCCCAACTGACAGCTGGGGCTGATCTTATGATGATCACTCATCCCTCTCCTTTGTAACTTTCTCACTTAAATGTTTGTCCTTGAGAGACAAAAGGTATAATTGTAACAGACATCAATACATAGTCAGTTAACACGTTGCATCTTTTTGCTTTCAGTCAGTCTGCCATATCAGATTCAGGTTGTGGCTGACTATCTGAGAAAATAGTTCTCTTCAAGCACTGCCTACTGAGCTTGTGTTTTACTATATAGTGTAATGCCTCGTTTTATGGATATCAGTAAGATAATGGCTCACTAACCTGATTACCTTCAATCACACCTAATGTGTATGTATACAGTACAGTACATGCAAAAGAAACTCTTACTACATTCAGAAAGACATAAGTTTGGTATAGGTATTTAATTTTATTCAATGAAACTGTATTAGACAAAGAGTACACCTCAAGTGTCCTTTGGGGTTGTGGGTAGTCAGCTGGAAACTAATCCAAAATGGCTTTAGAAGCACGACGGTAACACATAGCTCACATGAAATGTGTTTACAAGGGAAATACTACAGTTGTAAAAGAGGAGGGGTGAAGATCCCAGTTGGGGTTGCTGGTTATTGTCTTAGACTTCTCAAAATGGTTTGTGTATTTCCCAGCGGTGCTTTGCTACAGGCTTAGCTAGAAAATAGCATTTCAGAGTCATTCCTCCATTTTTGGAGTTTGATTGGCTTTGAAGTTAATTCTTTGAAAGTGTTAACCAAACCATAACATTTTTAATATTCGTTACCTGGCAACATCAAGGGCCAATAGTCATTGAAAGTCAGATTAAGTATATATCATAAATATGTGGTTATCTGCAGGTAATTTTTGAGTGAGATTTAATTTACAAATAATATGAGTATTTATTAAGTGATTGAGTTTATCCAGCAAAATTTTATTTACATTGTGCTAGATGACTCACAGGTCATGCTGGGGAGCTGCATGACCAAAGGCATGTAAATGTGCATGCAACCAACCACCTTTATACATGAGATCACTTTTAACAAGGACTACTTGTCCTGTTACAAGTGTAAATCTTTGAACACATATGACCATTTGTTTTTGTTTGAGGCACCACCATATACAGTATATGGAGTATCTTTGGATTGTGTGCACTCAAATAGTTTATGTGGCAACACCATAAAAGTTAAATTACACCTTGGATATGTGTGTGAGCTGGGAATTTGAATGTCTCTGTTAATGCCAGATACAGTATTACCAAACAGATGTTTTTAATTCATCAAAATCTTTGTTGGAACAATATTAAAAACCATTTAGGTACAAGCATGGCTAAAGATTCAGTGAATAACATACTGTATGAATTGAGTTTGTCCCTGGCAGTGTTTTTGATGTCCCAGTTTTATTATGCCACTTCATTTTATCCATGTCAGTTAACAGATTCCATGTGAGATGTATTTTCTGTGTTGTGTTGGTGAGGGAAGAAAATAATTGTCTTTTACCACACAACATCGTCATAAAAAAGTAAAAAAACAACCTGCATGCTGGGCTTATGTGCTTTAAAGGTATTAACTTTGTAGTTTAGGAAGTAAATGCATGATCATGAGTACACAAGTAAAGTTCAAGTGTATAGTTTGTGTTTAACAATTGGTGTCTTGAGCATGAAGAAGCTTTAGTTTCAAGACATACAGCGCTGTACTGTACTCAGTCGCCAGGAAGATAATGCTGCTGCTGTTCCTGACAGTCAGCATTATTTTCTCTTGGTTATGTCTGTAATTATCATCATACAAGTTAAGGGAAATATAGACTCTCCCATTACTCTTAAGTTTTGTTTAAGGTTTGATCTCTTAATTCAAATGCTGCTGCCGTTTTATCCTCGGCAGCTCGGAAAAATCTGACAGTAGGTTATAGCAAGTTTATAAATCTACGGTAATTAATTATTTAGGCATTTATAATAAAAATGAGGAAGTCGTATTTTTTGTCTCCTGTCGGAATTGTATTACTTAAAGCTTCCAATGATACACAGGACAAATCTTTAATTAATGTACAGTAGGGTTTTGTATTGGAAATCTTAAAGGTATTCTCATATCTACTTTGAACTGTAGTGTAGAAATGATTGACAGTCTTGTTCATTCATATTGGATAACCCATTTATTGATATAATTTATATTTTAAATTATCGCAGTAAATCTAGTTTCTAATATTATATTCGTTACTCACTCTGCAGGGTGCTTCTTATTGAATAATTTCCAAATTCTTTATTTGGGTAATACTACAGGCACAAACCTATTACAGAGAAGCCACATCACACCTTGAAGATTACTTAATATTATCTATGTACTGTTCTCTCTATCAATTCTTTTCAGCTTCATTAGTTCTCCACCTTACACAACATTTAAGAGTGTACTGTACGGTGTAGATAATGTTAACTGAAGTCTTGAGAGAGGGGATTGTTGTCCCAGATAGTGTTGTCTTAACCAGGTCTAACAAAAGGTTAATGTCTGCTTTCTCATCAGTGTGTTTTAACTCCTGTGGTTGAAGGTTTTATTTACTTTTCTCATCTTTCAGAGTCTAATACTTTTCTTCCTTCGTATGCAGTATTGTCGTATGTTGGTGATTTTTATAGAATATCCAGAAAGGCTAATTTCTATTTGCAGTTTTTGTTTCCAAGGTGACCTATACATGGTTCTTGACCCACATTCAGAATCCCAGTCATCCCCAACATTATTATTATTATCATTATCATCCACTTGTTTATTTCTGTACTGGAAGAAAAGGTGGAGAGAGTTGGTTAGTTTTGTTGTTACCTTGGTATCATTGTTGGCATGTGTTTCAGTTTAAGTATTGCTCCAAACATTTTAATAACTTGAATAAGGCAGCTGTGCTGTTTGCCCGTACTTCTGTATATGGTTTTTACTGTATAACTGAAGCGTTTTAATTTATTTACAACTTAGTGTTAATTAATGACCTTTGAAATAATTAAAATGTATTTATAATATTTAAGGAGTCAGTTATGCTGTGCCTTGTAAGTTTTAGATCACCTTTATATACGTCTTATTAAAATTATCATCTATCTTTACCATATAAGCACGTTAGTTTCCAGTTAAAAAAATATATATATTGATTTACGTCAAAAAGTACGCCTTGGTTTTCAGCACTTGGGGTAAAAAAAAAAATTGGATTTGGTTTAAATTTCATACAAAGGAACTGCTTTACATGCTGATTAAGGATCTTGGTTCACAATCTAAATATTCAAGTCATTAGTGTTAATTAATTACCTTTGAAATAATTCATGGTATTTAGAATGCTGTATTTAAAAAGACAATTATGCTGTGTCATTGAAGGGGGTGAGTGGTGGGGCTAGTGGAGGGGGTTGTGTTGGGTTATACGTGATGTCTTGTGGGAACAGGAAATTGACTGTTGTCTTGCATGTTGTGGATCTTGGTAAAGTCTTTCTGATGGATGTATTTAAAGGGTGAAATATTACAATAAAGAATTTGGAATAAGTCATCCTGCAGTAGATGTAAGAGACATATCCACCAAAAAAAGAATTAAACTGGTCCAAACGAATAATATAAACAGACTGTTGTAACTTATATTTTATAGCTACAGGTAATATTTATGGGTAGCACTAACTATAACCTGTGTCTTCAAGTCATTACTCTCCCTGTGTTAGGTCAGTGTTATTAGATTATACGACTTTATAATTCACTTTTAGAATTATAGAGATATTAGTTGTTACTGAAGCATATTGTAATAATTTTGGGTGTTTTTTATTTCAGTTCCAAACACAAATCTAGGCATGACAGGTGAGTTTGTAATTATTATCATTATAGGGGAATCCCTCATGTCTCAACCCAGATTTGTAGTTATAAAGAGTAACATCATTTAGGAGTTAAACTTAAAGACCACGTTATTCTCTCATGAAGCCGCATTGCTGCTAGACATTTGAGCCATTTCACTTCTCTGATAAAGACTAATGCAATGTCTCCCTGAGTTCATCCTCAGTACATTAGCATGGTAGGATAACTATGTCACTTGGTAGCTGAGGACGTAATAGCAAGTCATATAACACCGTGCATTTGTGATGGTGGGAGTGTCCTTAAGGGATGACGATTAATAATTATGGTGAGTCGTAGGAGTTATAATTCTATTGTAGTGTAGTTCATCTGCTCTCCATTATTTTTGGGAACTAGGGATCATTGGTAACATTTATTTGCAGCACAAGATCTGAAGACTGTAAGAAAGGCCTTGTTGTGTATCCTTCTCTCTCAAGTAGTGTAGGGTATTCAGTACAGTACAGGGTGTTAAGGTTTAGTCTATAGTACAGTTTGTGCAGGATGACAGTAATCAAAAACTAATGTGTGAATTTGCTTCTACACTCACAGCAGTAAACACAAGACCTCGCACAAATCCCCACACAAGTCGTCCTCCCACAAATCGTCTCACAAGTCTCCGAACAAAGGTAAAGATAAGGGTCGGCATCACACCAGCTCCAGCAAACACTCGGACAAGAAGAGGTCTCGAGAAGACTCCGGTGATCGCCACCACAGCAAAAAGAAGAGCAGGTGAGTGATTCCCTTAAAGTTTCTCTTGTTTAACTAAGATAGATATTTATGATCCTTGGATGATATCTGTGCTGCAGCGTGACTTGTCCCTCTAAATATACTTGAATATAAAGATAACTCAAGATTAGTAGGATTATATTGCCTCCTGGGTGCTTCTGAAATATAAGAGAGCGAGTGATTGCTTTAGGTTGGAGGGGTAGTGTCAGGCATCCATGTGTTTTCCCTTGATTCCCCCAGGCCAGGTTAAGCAGTGATAGCTACTCCTCAGTTACTTGTGGATATCATTTGGGGGTGACCTAGATATCACCTGTTGCTTTCATCTCTCCATATTTTTCCCCCACAGGATATACCACTTTCCTATTCATTAGCAAATTTTCTCTTCTTTATCCTTTTGGTAATGTCACAATGTGCTTAGTACTGTACCATCTTCTTCCTCAGGTGTCTACACTCACAATATTTTACTCAATGGTTGCTATTTTGTTTCTGAAGTTCTCAATCATGAACTGTTTACATTTTACTGGAATTTTAGTGTATTCCACACACTAGCTGGTTGGCTCAGTCAACAAAATAGAAATACAGTATATCCTCTATAATTTTTTCCTTGTAATAAAATTGCATAAAGTTCAAATAAAGGGTTTTTACAGTAAATGGGAATGAAAACTTGTAAAGCAGCACTATAGGAAAACTTTGTGATTGCAAGAGTATGTTATCGGATGTGTATGGGGGACATAGTTTGAACTTAAAGAATTTATAATTCATTGTTTTTTATGGACCAAATATTATTCTATAATCTGTCTACTCCACAAAATGTTTTTATATCTTGTCTGTCACCTGTATTTTTTTCTCATGTCAACAGGATTAAAAAGGTTTTTACCAAATTTCACATCAATAGTGTATTTATTTTTCTACTTCCACAGGAAGTAAATATGGTTAGGTCAGGCTGTTAAACAGCTATTTCCTGCCATGAAGAGGAGGGAGAGGAGAAGAAACAAAATATAAGTGTTGGAATTCACTAGTTATATGGTGATGCTACACACTACGACATTACCTGTAGATCTGGACCTACTTCCTAGACATAGGATAGCTACCCAGGATGCTGAGGAAGAAGCATGACTGCTCACATTCCATTGGTGTTGGGAGGTGCGACTCCTACCTTTCACTCGTGGATTTTTGCAACATGTGAACCTACAAATTAGCTGGTGACTTTGGTGTTGTCGTGAGTGCCCAGTGCTCTTACCTTGCCGCTGTCTGAAAGGAAGGTTTTCGGTGGAATTTCAACTCGAACAAATGATTGCCGTAGCGTAAATATGACGTACAATTATGAGATAGTACACATTCATTCATTTCTTCAGCCCTGTGTTTGGATCCTCTAGTAAATTCTTGTATAGAAATGGTCCAAGTTGTAATGTATTTCATCATTAAATATACATGATTGTTATATAATGGGATCTTTATTATAAATTCATGTAAGTAAATTATAAGTTTTATGTCAAATCTCAAAGAAAAATCAGCACTTGGCGAGACTTAAGGTTAGGTTGGATGTAGTAGTTTTGTATACTTAACTCTGAATGTATTTTTCACCGATGACACATTGAAACAAGAACTGCAATACCTCCGAAGATTGGGTTTCCAGCGAGAAAATGTCAAAAAAAACCTTTCTTCTAAATTTTAAAAACTTCAGAGCATAAAGAATGGATATTTTGTTTTTTGTGGAGTTATAAAACAAAATAACAGTGTTTTCTTTCATATGAATTTGCTGAAAGGGTATTAGTTTTAATTATTTTTATACCAGATGGACACTTATTTTATTTTTGTTTGTTTTTAAAAAGGTGTTAGTTCTTTTGAAAACAGAGAAGAAAAGATCATTCACTCAGCTCCTTACAAGTAACCACAGATATGTACTCTCTTTAGTTTACAGTCGCTAAGCTTAAGTGTCTTCGTGGGGGTACCAAGGTTTGCTTCTTCACATCCACAAACACTTCCTCGTGTAAGTAATATATATTTGCAAGACCATGAAAAATGTGACGAGCCAACCCTTGCTTAACCCTATGAAGACCACCCGGTGTACATCATAAATCTTTAGTAATGATTGCTATAGATCCAGTGTACTAATTGAGATTTATCGCAAATTCGGGTTTTTGAAGCATTAATGATGTTTATCTAGCAAGGTTACTGGAGAAGAGGACATTTTTTTCAGGTATGTAGGTGAGTGAACTAATACTGTATTGCATTTTATATTCAATCCTTGTGAAATACATTAAAATTGTTTTCGTAGATTGGATATTTTTTGTTAGTGCCTTTATAGACATCTAATGAGAGGAAAAGACAAAGTGATGCTGCATAGACGATGATGGAATGGATACTGGACATTGGATCCCACAGCCAGGTAGTACATGATCTCTCTAAGGTACTAAGGAAAACATCCAATATTCCTCTTAATCTCTTAACATCACGGCATAGATCGAGTATTATGCGTAGTGATATCAAGGCGTTGTGAGGATATGTAAGAGGTAGAAAGAATATTCAAATAAGGTGGTAATTAATCACATGAAGATGATATGAAGGTCTTTGATGATATGTGTGGCTGGAAAAATGGACTGGGTGGCCCTCGATTGTCTATACTTGTATGTACGGCAGCGCAGCTTAGAGGGAATATTAACAGCAATCTTAAAAAAATAATAATAATAATAATATAGAGGAATAAATGTGTTAAATATCTCTCAAAGAACACAAGTGGAAAATTTCTGACTTATGACAGCAGATACATAGTCGGGATGTATTGAAATTGGATGAAGTAAATTGGAAACTCAAATGCTGCCTTATGTTTATACAGTAGAACGTCGATATTACGAGATGCATTCCAAGAGACGTCACTTTAAACCGAATTCGCACTAAATCAAAATGTTGTTTCAATGGAATAATTTAGTTTGGTACTTGAGAGAAACACAAAATACTAAAAAGACTGACAGTCTACCCAGATGCACCTCAGCCCATCTCCTAGAATAAACAAAACAATGTATTTTGTAGTATTATGTTAAAACAAACACTCGTAAGTCAACACAGCTAACATTAAGGGATGCTTATTTATTTATCAGTCCCTAAGAGTGACTTAAGTTTTCTCTTATAAAATGTCACTGAACTGACCTGGGAGAATATTATTAACATTGCTGGAATTCTTATAAGATAGTGATTAGTTTGAATGCTGTATATACATGCTATAGTTTGCATTAGACATATAAATTTTAGTTTTAACTAATTTTATTACAAAGGGCTAAAAATTTTATCTCTTGCAAAATATATGACGTTTATATTCAAATTATTCGCTGTATTGCAAGGATTCTGGCATTGCAAATTGTATTCTAACTTTAGACTGTGGTATTATATAAGATAAAAACTGTAAGCCTATAACCATCCAACCCTGGCTGAAGATGGGGGGGTAGGGGTGACAGTGACACGTTTGACAGTTGGGGCGGAAGGTCTAGTGAAGTATTTATTTGTTTATTTATGTCCTTTAGATCGAGTTTTTGTTTATAAAATGTCAAGTGACCGGGGAGAATATAATTTACATTGCTGGAATTCTTATAAGATAGTGATTAATTTGAATATAATTATGCTATAGTTTGCACTAGACAAAAAATTTAGTAATCATTTAGTACATTATTTTGAGTACATGTACAGTAAGCTTTGCCCATAGGACAGTGTAGCGTGCCCAGAGAAACATTAGGCGCGAATTTTAAAATATGATGTGCCAGATTGACTCGCACAAAATTGGAAAGATTCGCGTTAAATTAAAACATTGTCCTTAATTGTGGGTGTCTCTTTAAATCAATAATCTTAAATTGAATTGCTTTAAATCGACGTTCTACTGTATAGGGAAATGAAGCATTTGTTAAGTGTGCATTAGGTTGAGAAAGTTGTACAATGTTGAGGATGTTTATTATCTTAGTTATGGATGGTGCATCATAATTATCATCACTCATTGTCATCATCATTTTCCGAATTATCGTCATCGTAATTATAAAAGTTCTAGAAATCTGACCATAATGTAGAATTCTTAAAACATTAATTCAAAACATGTTCCTATTATGTTTAGATTTGGTTTTCTATTTACAGGAAAATGTTGTAATCAGGATAATGAGGAAAACAAGACAATGATTGATGTAGCGATAACATAAGGTGGGATCCAGCATCTTGGAGTGTACAGACTGTGATAAGGTGAGCCAAGTCAGAGGTAGTGCCTGGCGCTTCTACGGGAAACACTTGCGGGGGATTCAGGCATGGGCAACCCGCAGCCATGGGGCCCGGACCATGTGTTTGGGCGGCCAGTAGAATGATTGAGAAATTCTATGCAGCCAGTTTATGGTTGAGTAAAGCAACATTTATTTAAAGAATAATATTCACACACAATTCATTACTGTTTCATCACCTAAGAGTAAGAAACTACAAAAATGTAACAGTGAAATAAGTATACTGTATAGAGTCAACAATATAAACATTTTAACTTGTGTGAGTTTACAGGCCAACATCAGCACGGTCTGTTTGGTGGATTAGCTGCTATATGGCAGTGGGTCACTTGGGAATTAACTAAGGTTGGGTAAGTCCAAGTGGGGTCACGGGCGGTGGTCACACAGGGTTGAGCTAATTAGGTGCTTCCAGAATAACACAGAAACACCTAAATCGCACCTCGGAAACCCATAGTTGGCGAGTACAGTAAGTCCTCACTTAACGTCGTCCCGCTAAACGTTATTTCTGTACTACGTCGCTAAACTTTAGAGAGCAAAGATTTTTTAACATCCCGGTGATCTGATACTACGTCGTTTTGCATCATCAGGGACTACTTTCTACGGCGCATCACCCGCTCTTGTCTGGCCGCATTACTCTCTCTCGGCTCGGATCGCTGCCCTCACTCGCCGAACATCACAGTGTTCCCAAGCGACGTCAAGCCAATCTCTGTTACGACTTCACATCATTCGTGTGCTTAAGTGCTTTTGCTCTAAAACTGTACTATAACCACTCGAAATGGCTTCCAAGGGCCCATCAAGTGCTACTGATGCTAGTGTAGTGAAAAGGCAATGGATGTATTAAACCGATTTGAAAAAGGGGAACGTGCTGTGGACATAGCCGCTGTGCTAGGTCTAACCCCCACAACGGTGTGTACTATCCGGACCAACGCTGACAAGATTAAGGTTAGTGCTGGAAGTGGTTCTTCTCTGATTGCAACTAAGACAACTCGTACTAGAAGCACTGTGATAGAAAAAGTGGAAGATGCTGGCTATGTGGATGGAGGACCAGACTCAATGCAATGCCCCTGTGAGCCTTATGGTTATCCAGCATAAGGCCAGATCCTTGTTTGACGACATAAAGGCAGAAGAGGGTGAAGGATTGAAGGAAGAGACCTTTACGGCCAGCCGAGGCTGGTTTCAACGATTTAAACATAGGTATAACTTCCATAATATTAAGATGACTGGTGAAGCTGCCAGTTCAGATACGGTTGCTGCCGAGACATTCCCGCCAGAATTCAAACTGATTATCTAGCAAGGAGGCTACACATCGAAGCAAGTCTTCAATGTGGATGAGACTGGTCTCTTTTGGAAGACGATGACTGAGAGGACCTATATCTCCAAGGAGGAGAAAAGAGCGCCAGGTTTTAAAGTGGCAAAAGACCGCTTGGTGCGAACGCTGCTGGTGACTTCAAGCTGAAGCCTATGCTGATTTCTCACGCTGCCAATCCATGGGCCCTGAAAGGTTACTCTAAGGATCACCTTACTGTGATCTACAGGGCAAGGTTAACCGGCACCATATTTAGCCAGTGGTTAAACATGTAAGCCGTCCCTGCACTGAAGGAATACTTCAAAATTCTTATGATCCTTGACAGTGCTCCAGCTCATCCTCCTTATCTCGACGACTTGCATGACTGTGTAAAAGTTTTATTCCTGCCTCCCAACACGACAGCACTGATGCAGCCTATGGACCAAGGCATCATCGCCACATTCAAGGTGTATTATTTACTCCATACCATGGCCCAGTTGCTCAAGTCTACAGATGGAGAAAATAAACCTACGATCCGAGAATATTGGAGTGGCTTCAACATTCTTCATGCAATTGACAACATTGGCAAGGCATGGGAAGCGGTCTCAGAAAGTTGCCTGAATGGTGTGTGTCGTAAACTGTGGCCCGAGTGCGTCAACAGTTTTACGGGATTCACGGACTTAGTCCCAGCTGTGAGTAGGGATATCCTCAGCTTGATTAGACAGGCAGGCTTTGATGAGCTGGAATCAGAGGATATTGAGGACGTCCTGGCATCCCATACAGAAGAGCTCACCAACGAAGATCTGCAACAACAAACAGAACACAGTCCTGTTGAAGACGACGACTACGAAGAACCTCAACGAACGCTAACTTCCAAGAGGATGACAGAATCGTTCAACATGTTCTAGCAAGCAATGCAAATCCTTACAGATGACGACCCAAACAGAGAATGTAGCTCAAAGGTTCAACGCAGCATTGAGGACAGTCTTTGTTACATAGAGATCTATAAGGAGAAGATGAGTAGCATCAAGCAGTCAACACTGGATTCAGTTGTTCATCACAGAACAGCAGAAGCAGCTTCTTCACAACAGCTGGCAGCCAAGGAGGAGCACAAAGCAGCCGAAGAGGAGCAAACTTCAATGGAGGAAGAGCAAACAGCGGTGGAGGAACCCCAGTCATAACAGGAGGAGGCAGCCGCAGAGTCTCAGTGACTCACCACCCTCCTTCACTCCACTACCCACCACACACTCACTCTACCTCCTCCGCCCATCGATGAGTACCAATACAAACTTAGTACAGTACTGTAGTTCTATGTACAGTACTGTATATTGTATATACTATTTTCTAAAGAAATGGCAATGGTTTTCTGCATATGTAATGTTTTCATGGGGCAAAGGGGGGCTCGGGAGCGTAACTCCCGTATTTTATCTATTCCTTATGGGGAAAATCGATCCGGTTAACGTTGTCTTGTATAATGTCTCGTTTTTAGGAAAGTAACCCTGAAGTTAAGCGAGGACTTAATGTAATTGAGATTTTTAAAACTTAATTAAAATATTTCAAGCGTCATTACAGCCACTAATAACCCCTCAATCAATTTGTGGACCATAGATTTGAAATTAGCATACTCAGGAGTACCTATACTGCAATTTTAAAAGAAATCAAATTTTTGGCCAAAATATTAAGGCTAATGCCTTGGTAATTTTTCGACCAAAATATGCTTTTCTCTTGGAATTGGATTATAAAAGGCTTAACTAATTAAATACTTCCAGAATAACAAATAAACACCAAAATTGTACCTCAGAAACCCATAGTTGGTGAGTAATTAGTGTTGAAATAATGTAATTAATATCTTGCAGGCATCATTACATAAAACAAACAGTTGGGAAAAATTATTTTATTGATCACCGATATACAATTATTTCTTACGTCAAATTTGAAATACCCGTGTAGAGTACAGTGTGATCCTCCAAATGGATATAAAAACATTACTAAATAATTCATCTATAATATACAGTGTTCCCCTCCATTATATGTTTATTTGTGGGAGGGGCATCATCTGGGATTTGGTCAAAAGTATTAAAATTACTCCATAAAAAATTAAAACAGTCTATGCCAGATATCTTTTATTGTGGAAAACAATATTTAATACTTTATATATAAATTTAATGTACATACTGTTTAGCCGTTTGTGTACGTATACTAAGAGGACTTAACAACTAGCGGATTGGAAACTCTGAAGATGTTGGGCAGCATGGCGGCCAGGTGTTGGAATAAATCCTCGGAGATGCCCTGCAAATTTATAAAGAGCTGTAAGTTGCCGAGGCTCTTCAGTACTGTATGTATCTGACACTTGGATGACTTACCGGTATGTACTTCAATAGTTACATGGCTTAATTACGTAGAGTCCACAGCAAATATTACCCGTTTCTTATACAGTACCACAATGGATCATGAGTCATCTAAGGGTAATAATTATTGAATGTTTTTTTATATATATCAAAGACATTATGGAATATTATAATCTGGTGAAAAGTCGTGTTCCCACTCATTTAAACTGTTGGTGAAAAGTCTTATAAAACTACAACATAAACAACATTTTCCAATAACAATCATAATTACCTTTGGCACGAGAAACTGCATGTTTTTCATTTCAGCTCCGCCCCATGATGCCATCTCCATCATGAAACCCTTGACACACTTGTACACTAACTCTGCACGTTTCTGGCACCAAGACATAGTCATTTCCTTGATTAAAAAGGTAAAAAAGTAATTAGTTTAAAGATAATGTACAAAAGAGTTCAATTATATTTTTGTTCTTTTCTATATGTTCATACTTCAATTTATGTGTAGATACGGAACAACACTTCAGCCTACAGCTTATTAAACTCCTGTCTCAAAAGATTCATAAGTTAACTTTTGCTTTTCAAATTTCAATCATTCATTTCTCAGTTTGTCTTATGTATTCTGTGATTTTTATTGGAATTAAAATTTTTACTTGTCATTACTGTATGTGCTTCCAATAGAGACAAGACTACAGGCATAAATGCTGATGAATATTAGACCCAAGACTGATCCCTGTGGTACTGCTAACTCCACAGAGGCAGGTTAGGAATCATCATCAAAATGAGAAACTTAAGCTATGGTTGGGGTGAACTTTTCTAGGAGCACGGCCCTCTGTACTGTATAGAGAAGGGACACCAGTACTGTATCTCCATTAACTATATATTGCAGTCAAACAATTGATTTATATCTTAACTTATAATATTAAACACTATATGAAAGGGTAAGTAATGTTTCCACTCACCTCAGACATGGTGTTTGTAAGAAGAAGAGGAATGGTGAGTGTGGTGATGTCTCCAAGGCAGGCCACCTGTGGGTGACAACAACATAATCATCACCGTGACTCTCTATATAAGTTACACCATTTACAGTAATATCTCTTATACCTTTTTATTATGTTACCTCACGTCTTTTAGTTAGCCTCCACGGCCTGTGGAAACTTAACAGCAAAATTGTTGAGGATATAAATTATAATCAGCTTCTATTATTTAAATTAATAACTGTAGTAGACAACTAAATTATTCACAAATTTACCTTTAGAACATTTCTAAGTCCCAGGATGACAGGATGGCGGGAATTGATGTCCCCCGAGTGTAGCGAGTCGTCAACAATCATGTGGAAGACTACGTGAACATCAGCAAGATTGGAGTGTCGAGTTATGTAGAAATCCCCTGCTTTAAGATATTGCGGGACTGGGGGTGGAGGCTGGAATAAATTATTAGTTGAAGTTTAATACAGAGCTCAACACACAAACTGACCTCCAGAAACATATATTCCTGCATAGTATTATTTTGAAATAAAAAAGTAATGGTGTATTATTATGTCTTAATAACCTTAATTTGTCACTTTATAATTACAGTACTGTATTAATATACTCTTTAGTATCTTGTTTAGAAGGCTACATAGAACTGCAGACAACAAAAACACACAAGTGAAGCCACCAAGAATGTGTCTTGTGTTCAAATATTATGAGATGCTGGAATAATAATTTAGACAATTTCCTTAATATCATCAGTCATAATGCAAAGTTTCAATTGTTTTTCAAAATAAATATAGTGTACTGTACTGTAGAGTAAACCTACTGGAGCATCTTCATCACAGTCATATTGTGGAGGTGGGTGGTCACGGCGCCACTGTACAACCTGAGGAACAGTATCTCGGACAGACTCCAGCTGGTCTTCTAAATCTGGGAAGTGGAGTTCTGTTGATCTGCTACACACACGCCCAAAGTCTGGTTAAGAGTAAAGAAAGTGTACGGAACAGTAAAATCAGCTTAAACAAAGCTGTACGGGATACATACACCGAAAACACTGTTTCAAGGGAGGACAGTCATTTAACAAGTTATGAATATCCTAAACTTATTTAAATGAAATTTTTTTTCGGGTAATAATGCTTAGTGAAGTTGTACGCTCTGCTCTTGCTGTTATATCTTCATACTTTCATTTTAGTTACCTGTCCCTCCCAGTTATATAAGGTGAAAGAGACTTACGCCCGTATTAAACAACATCTTCCCTTGAAGAGGGTCGTCGTGTTTCAACCCGAGTTATAAACTAAATGAGTCCTGAGGGACACCACAGTACAGTACTTAATGGGGTGGTGTGGCGGTAAAATTAACTAATTCCCATAAAATTAATTTACAATACTATTGGAATTAGTTTATTTTACCGCCACACCACCCCGTTAAGTACTGTACTGCAATGTCCCTCAAGACTCATTTGTTTAATAATATGGGCGTTAGTATTCTCGTTACTTTTGTTAGAATATAATCACAAGAGAATCCCCCAGACCATGCTTAAGACATTCCAGATGAGCAGTTGTCCAGTAATTCAACAAATTACTGCATTAGTCATTACTGAGGGGAGAAACTGTGTAATATCCATCATCTGAAGAAATCCCTTATCCTACACCCCTTGAAGGTTCTCATCACAAGGGACAAAAGACCTCCTATTGTATTATAATAAACATAAAGAAAGTTACCACGTTTTATTCCAGAGTAGGTGTTAATGCGGTCGTCCACTAGCAGCACCAGGCCGTTCAGGTTATGGGAGTACAGGCTCATTGATGTCTGAATCCTCTGTGGTGGGATGTCACTGAAATATTCCCTCACTCATTACTATCTACACGGTCATCATATACTTCTGTACAAGACCATATATAAGTGATACAATAATATCAACAAGTCAGACCATATCTACAACAAATACAATGGTACTGTAGTTAATAAAGGTGATTTAGATCCTTGGGTTATATGAACTGGTAATGCTGACCTGTGATGAATTACAATGAGCAGTCTTCTACAATTCTCAATATAAGAATAAAATACTGTAAGAAGTCATTGGTTTTTATACCCTAAAGCAATAAATGTCGGAACACTATAGTATGTATTGGGTGTACAGAATCATATATAAACAAACCTTGCTTCATGTGATTGATATTTGCAAAGCTGAAGTACGTGTGCCGAGAGAAGACGTAAATTGTGCATCTGCTTCATCTGTGCCCCGAGGTGGATGGTAAAACTCTCCTCTTGTGTTGGGTCTGCTGTCTCAACCACCACAGAATCCGAACCCATCATTATAAAATCTCTATTGAGGGAATCAAATTAGAAATATAGGTTGACAGAGTGATTTACTGTTGTAATTATATTAACAGTAACACAAAAAAAGCATATATCAGTTAAATTTGAGGAGGAATTCTGGACACCCCATTTTAAGACTAAAGATAAACTGAATGATTTACAACTCAATAATCAATCAAGATGTTTCTTTTGTTGTGTTTGGATACATCAGTGAGGTATAGTACCATCAAAATAGGTAATCTTTCCATCATTGAGAGAAAAGGAGGAGGTGGAGAGATGTTTTCTTACTGGTGAGTTCAGTGAATGTCAAGAGGCACATGGAGGACCTAGCTAACAGTTCAGTGGCACATCCATCTTAAAAGCTAATAGGCTTTTTCATGATAATTATTTCCAATTTTGAACTATGAGACCTGGTAATGGCTGGAAGAGAAGCTGTTATAACGGCACCTTATTACTGTAGCCACATATGACAAGGCAGCTTTAGCACGACAGATAATTGAGTTTCCAAAGTCATGAGTCCTTAACAATATCCATCATCATATAAGGGAGCCTTACACACAACACTCATTACTCTTTTAAAGGTAATACTTATTATAATAGGGGAAGGTTGAGCTATTGTTTAAACAGCATCCAGTAAGCAAAAGGGGGTTGTGGTATGCTAGGTACAGTGCTTAAACAGATTATATATACTGTACTGCAATTTATTAAAGGAAAATATAGTCATTAATGATTGATAAAACTAACTTCATTTACATTAGGCAACAAGATCTAATATATTCAATTTATTAATTTGTATAAGCTTTATGTTTCCTTTGACTGATACAAGCTGCCAATAGTGTTCAAGCCTTCAGTATATTTACATGAACGACATAAAACATACTTGGGAGTCACTGGTGTGGTCACTTCTCGCCCGGCAAACGACTCCATGACGAAATTCATAAACTCCCGTTTCTGATTTTCTCTCAGGACTGAAATAGTTGAATCCCACTGAACCTCCATTAACTGAGAGTCTTCAAGGTGATGGGCAGCGAGGTCATTCACGTCGTCGTCCGTTAGATTCACTCCAACTCTACTCACTGTGTTGCTCATCTCCTTTGTCTGCCTGTTGATGTTAAAACTAGTTACTTGTCTACTAAGTCACCTAAACATACATTACTGCACTGTTCTGTTTCATGTTATTTCTATGCTCTACATGGTCATAGCCCATTCATACAGTAAGATAGGCTTTGTATGATCATCTCTTCATAAAACAAGTGCTCAAATTGATTCATTATACATCATAATATCATCGTTATTTAATCTTGCCCTTATTATACTATTTTAAATATTGACAGTCAAACACACAAAGAAATTTGAATTAAAAAATACATTCTCTCAAAATTCTACAATCAACACAAGATACATGAAGACAATCAAAGAATAGAGCACATAATACCTTTCACTGATTTCCTTCATGGCGTATTCCCTCTGAGACACGAGGGAACTCATGGCCCCAGCAAAAGAATGTTCCAAGCTGAGCAAGTTGACCACCATAGGGGAGTGGACTAGTGAGTGATACATTGTGGCCAACATCTCATTCTCACATCCTTCATCCTCTTGTCTTTTACTCAACTTCAAAGGGAAAATAGTACAACCATTATAAATACATAGATCTCCCAATGGCAGAAAATAGAAATTGAAAATCTTTGCATGGGCCATTTAGTGGAGATATAGAGGAACAAAACCCAGAAACAATGTGAAAATGGCCGTTTGGGTAAATATAACAGGCTAATTCACAAACACCTTAAAACAACTAAGATAATGAGACAAAACAGCTATCTAAAGAAGTGTGGAGTGACCAGATTGACCACCTGTTTAGTGTGAGGGTATGGCTGATCAGTGTGAAGGTATGGCTGGTCAGTGTGAGGGTATGGCTGATCAGTGTGAAGGTATGGCTGGTCAGTGTGAGGGTATGGCTGATCAGTGTGAAGGTATGGCTGGTCAGTGTGAGGGTATGGCTGATCAGTGTGAAGGTATGGCTGATCAGTGTGAGGGTATGGCTGATCAGTGTGAGGGTATGGCTGATCAGTGTGAGGGTATGGCTGGTCAGTGTGAAGGTATGGCTGGTCAGTCAGTGTGAGGGTATGGCTAATCAGTGTGAGGGTACAGCTGGTTGTCTTTACCGTACAACTGATGACAGGGAACTAGGGATAAAGCAGAAACTTGAACAAATGAGAAATTCCAACAATATCATTACCTGTATTTGTGAATATTTGTTCGTCCACGCAGAAGCAACGTCGTCAATATTCACTTTTCCATCTCGTAGACTTTGGATGGCACGTTGGTCTTGTTGGCGGTAATATCCCTCGGTCTTGTCCTGGATAAACACCTGAAGCTTCTCACTCAACTCTGGAACATTCATCAAACACCACTTAATCCAAAAAGCTGTTACCAGAGTCTTTGATGTTATGTACACAATACCCAGCATCTGTAACAATGTATACAAGAGAGTAAGTTGTGTAGCTGTACACAAGACAGTTGTGTACAGTACTCACTAAGCTGTACACAAGACAGTAAGTAGTGTACAGTACTCACTAAGCTGTACACGAGACAGTAAGTTGTGTACAGTACTCACTAAGCTGTACACAAGACAGTAAGTTGTGTACAGTACTCACTAAGCTGTACACAAGACAGTAAGTTGTGTACAGTACTCACTAAGCTGTACACAAGACAGTAAGTAGTGTACAGTACTCACTAAGCTGTACACTAAGTAGTGTACAGTACTCACTAAGCTGTACACAGACAGTACAGTACTCACTAAGCTGTACACAAGACAGTACACACACAAGACAGTAAGTAGTGTACAGTACTCACTAAGCTGTACACAAGACAGTAAGTAGTGTACAGTACTCACTAAGCTGTACACGAGACAGTAAGTTGTGTACAGTACTCACTAAGCTGTACACAAGACAGTAAGTTGTGTACAGTACTCACTAAGCTGTACACAAGACTGTAAGTTGTGTACAGTACTCACTAAGCTGTAAGATGCCAGTACAGTACATTGAGATTTGAGCTTAATTCCAAAATACAACATCATTATTTTATTCAAGTAACAAAAATAATACAGTATTGTATTGTATTGTGGTCTTACCAGTGTGAAGGTAGATAGGTAGGTTGTGGTGCAGGACCAGACGGTGGGCCAACTCAACGTGGCTGATGCCCGAGGGGATGGTTATGGGTACACAGACCATCATCACCCGAGGATGTGTTCCAAGTGTCACCTCACACATACAGTCTTCACTTCTAGTAGAACCCATCATTTTAAGTAACCTGAAATACATATTATTCTTTAATATATGATCTGAATAATTCCAAAATTGTACAGGAAGAATTTTGAAAGTATGAAATGCTGTATTTCCAAGGATGAAACAAAGCATTCAACATGCATACAGTGGATGATGGCATCACAGCACGTCAACGTAGATTAGTGCTCGGGGTGGAAGAAGCACAAAAACAATATTACGCAAATTGGAAATGTTGATCACTTCAAGAGGTAAGAAAACATTTATCTGCTGGGTAGGTGAGGTTGTCTGTCAGCCATGTTGAACTGTAGTACTGTACCTACTATTATTATTATACTATTTTAGGAACATAATTACTATGAAAATAGAAACTTATATGGTGGACACAGGGAACTTGTCGGCATCACTTATCAGATGTAATGGAAAATGATCACAAAGTCAAATTACGGTCAACGTTTACTTAAGTGCTGTGAGCGATTTTGCCAGCAAAAACATTTTTTTTCCTGCATGAATTTTGTTGCTTTTTTATTGAAGATATTTTTTTCTGGGAAAAAAACAAAAAACTAATGTTTTCATTATTTAACCTAACCTAACATAACCTGACCTAACCCCCCTAGTGGGAGGGGGCTTTGCCCCCCTTGAGTGGTTATATAATGCCAGTATTTAACTTATCCTTATTTAACCTAATGTAATGTATTCCCATATTGGGGAAACACTATTTTTTCAGAGTTGGGTCATGTATTATTGCATGGTAATGTGATTCAGACGACCCTCACACTACACACGCCCCCTCTCATGGCTCACCGACGGTATTATAGTATAAATTATAAAAAAGAAACACTTCCCCAAAAGAGAACACCGTCACTAGCAATTAACAACAAAAATTATGGTGTAAAAGCAGTGTATTCTTGTTACAATCATTTGGAGTCCTGTATTACTCTACACATTAACCCAAATTACACCAAGTGTTTGCCTCGAGCATTTTTTGTCATTTTATCGGTAATATTGCCGTTTACAGCAACCGCAGAATTCCGAAAATTCACAACACTCAATCGATAGAACTATTTTTTCTATGATCATTTTCTTATATTACAGTAATGTCACAAATTGAAGAAGTTATTGAATTTTAAAAAGTATAAAGTCAGAGTACCCGTTGCCCCTACGCTGTTGCTCAAATTGTTTGTGTTCGTACGTTCACTTACCTCCTGTGCAGGTGTCGGGGGGCGTCGCCAATCAAACTTAGGGGGAGGGGCGGCAGCCAATCAAATCCAATAAAAAATCTCAACATTTGATTCAACCAATTAGTGTTCAATATTCAGCGTGGGCGGTAGGATGCGGGACATTCTTAATCAGTTGCAACATGGAGCCATTATGTGCTGGGTGCGATTTCGATTATTGGAAGTTTTAGAGAACAGCGGAACCCAAGAGGCCTTCTGGTCCCTGACTCAGACTCTGACTCGGAGTAAGGTAAGAAACACTGTAACGGCTATTCATATTCTCAAGGAGGCTGACCGCGCGACTATAGGGCTATTATTTTGTGTTTGTGGGAACAGGGGCGAAGCCCCCGGCTAAGGTCAGCGGGGGTCCGGGGGCGGAGCCCCTGGCTAGGGAGGGTTTAGTTTGGTTATATGGTATAAGTTAGCAAGCAAAGAGTACCGGGAATTCAAAACACGCAATTGATGGAACTATTATGAAGGGGGAGGGGGTAAATTCAAAACAAGTGATTTCCGATAAAAACGAATGTCAGATTTGAACCAATCGCCTCAAAATACATCAGACAAACACACCTCTTTAACCAGACTCTTTGGTGCTGTAATCTGCAATATAACCATTTTATCAAGCTAAGAAAGTTTTTATCATCAATGGAGAAATTTCCTCAAGTTGATATGAAGGTCATAACACAGTCGTGAAGTATTACCTTCTTGTTTTGATTATTCTACACAGTAAAGGCTGTTATTGAAGGTAGAGGTGTGGTAAAGGTGTCCCTGCTAACAGCCTCTAGTGTCAAGTGTCGTCCTCTACAACACCCAACTTGTCTTAATCTTTTTCTTCAGTCGTTGAGGAAGAACATGCCAGTGTTGGTTCTCCTGTAGCGGTGTAACAGACGGTAACAACAGACGGTAACAGACGGTAACAACAGACGGTAAGAGCCCCAGGAGGCGTCGCCCCTGTCACCCGTCAGCTGATCACCCTAAACAATCCCCAAATAATTAAATACAATAAAATGTCTTAAAAATAACTAACTGAAAGAAATACTAATATTTTACCTCTACTGTTACTAAAAATATTATTTCAAACAACAACAAACATCAGTTCAGGTATATATGCTTCAGTTTATATATTCATTTGTGTATTTGGTTTATTATTATTATTTGTTCCAATACTTCAGTAAGGTATGATGGCGGACGGTGTAGAGGATCATCTAGGAGTGTCTTCACCTAAAGTCACTCCTGGCGAGGCTGTAGGAGATGAACTAAAGGATGATACTCCTGGGGTGAGCGGGGAGGTTATGCTGGTCAACACAGACAGTTTTGAGGAGTGTCACCATGAACTGGACACTCAGTTTAGTGGTGGTGAGGATGGTCCGGTCCCTAACTCCCCCATCAGGAAGGTCCAGCAGGAACAGGTGGGTGGACACACTATTCTTTCCCTATACTATATTGAGGTTTATAAAGGGACATAGAGCATAATAAAAGAGAAAAACCGGTACATTACGTTACTTTACTGTTTCTGTACCATGTGGGGTGTAGTGGAGATATTGATATTTTATACTGTAGGTGTGTGTATATGTTCCTTGTCAGACCTCAACTACTCCTTCATGGTACAGTTGTATTATCACTTATTAACCAGCCACTTGAGGACTTTTTCACTAGAAGGTTAATGAGCGATATTTAAGGATGTAATATTATACATGTATGTAATATTTGTTGTGGCGAGCATGTGGTCAGAAGATTTTGATGGTGATAGCAATTAAATTTATTCCAGATTTTAACACAGGAAAATGAACTTGTTGGAGGAATGGGCAAGGTAGCTGTGACAGAGGATGAAGACAAAACCGACTCAGAAGACAGACTACAAGAACTGGTCCCTTCAGCCGCATACGTTGAGGAGGAAAATCTCGACGAAGAGTATCTGCAAAACCCAGAATGGATCCGGAAGGAGAAACATGTCTTTATTTTGAGTGAATCGGGCAAACCTATTTACACTAGGTATACCACAATGTCTAATATGTTTGCAGGACTTGAATGAGTATTATGAGTGGGTGAGTGGGTATTGTGAGTGAGTGGGTGGGTGGGTATTATGAGTGAGTGGGTATTATGAGTGAGTGGGTACTATGATTTGATAATTTTCTTAGCACCAGACAATATATATGTGGAAACGGTAGCAAATGTATATGTGTAGTTGTTAGCTCGGTATAGATATTTTTATTAATATTTAAACTTAAAGTCTTTGGTGGTACTGCACACACACTATCTGAGGCTATAATAATGAACCTCCTTCCTTAGCATAGTGTTTATTATTATTGTATTTTATCACTTTTTTTTCAGATATGGGAAAGAAGACAGATTAGTGACACTGTTTGGGCTGATGCAGGCACTCGTATCCTTTGTGGCGGACAGTGATGATGTGATTCGGTGCATCGTTGCGGGAGACCACAAGTTTGTGTTTTTAGTGAAGTCTCCTCTAATACTGGTGGCCGTATCTCACTCTGTTGCGAGTATAGCACAGCTTCTAATGCAGCTTACGTAAGTACTGTACTGTGTGGAGACTTATTTTTCTGTATCTTATGAATAACAACAGGGAAACTAGGGGTCACTCTCCTTGGCTCTCACTTATTTTACCATCCTGCTGCAATAGTCACAAGGAATCAAAATTGTGTTCTCTTTGCAGGTATGTCCAGAATCAGATTGTCAGTGTACTAACAGCTTCTGCCCTGACACGAATGTTTGAAAAGCGACGCAATTACGACTTCCGTCATTTATTAGGAGGAACTGATCGATTACTGGACAACTTGTTGAACATGTTGGACTCTCATCCTTCTTTCCTCCTGGGAGCCATTCAGTGCCTCCCACTGGCTACCTCTGTCCGGGACACTATTACACAGACCATCATCCAGTACTGCTCCAAGATTAAGGTGATTTATTTGTATTTCTAGATGGAATAACTAAAATTTGTAAGATCTTAGGGTGTGTGATTTCCAGGAGGAAGAGATAAAGAGGAAGTGTACAGTGAAGGCTCTTGTACAGTATGATAAGACTTCATTTTCAAAGGATTTTATGTGACCCACTTTCACATTTAATGTCCTTAAAATCTTGGATTTAAATTTTTTGCCGTTCCCGCAAATCACATTTATTGAAAGTAAACATCTTAAATAATAAGTGAACTCTATTCAGTCCCACACATGTACTGTACAGACTAAACACACACTGCTGGAGATGAAATTTTCCAGTCTATCAGTGGTGTATGTTGTAGCTCATAGATTCATTAAATGTCAAATATGAGATGGAAAAATACATTACGTACAACAAGATCATGATTTAGTGTACAGCAGTGTATATAAGAGAGTGGCTGATTGGAAAACACTAAGAAAAGTGAACGTTTTTTATTACATTAAGCAAGTAATGACGATGAAATGTTTTGACGTTGACAGAATCTGGTGTTTGGTTTAATCATCTGTCAGAATCAACTCATCTCTCTTGTCCGTATGAAGAAATTCCTCCTCCATCCAGCAGATCTACATTTACTGTTTAACCTTGTAAATGCCACTGAGTCTTTGAAGACAAGTGAGAACTGGATGCCCATCTGTTTGCCCAAGTTTGACCCAAAGTAAGTACAGTAGTATCTGTGTACAGTATATATCACTGTGACTTCTTGTCTTTTTTAAACCTTCCGTTGTGGCTGATCTGTCAGGTGTACCTCCAGTGCAGCTTTTGGGATATAATGGATTTATTTCCCATATATGGCACAGCTGCAGTGAAAGGGTCAATAGCTTGATGATTTTGGGTGTTCTATATCAGATCAAATGACAGTAAAGAATGTACATACAATACAGTATATTAATAATATTACTGTACTGTATTTGTATTTTTCAGTGGATACTTATACGGCCATGTTTCATACCTGGCGGATGATTGTGAGGCCTGCCTCTTATTGCTCTCCGTCGACAGAGAGCAGTTCTTCACACTGTCTGAGGCAAAACAAAAGATTGTTGATGTAAGTATATATTTAATTTCAGATCTGTTGTAAAATGTTAGACTGGAGTACAGTACAGTATTAAATGGTCTTACCAGTGAAGGAACAACCTTTATGTGGAATAGCATAGTGTCGAGAGGGGTGGGTTAAATTACTAACTGCAACATTTTAAGACTTGGATTACAGTATCAGGCATCTATCTGGCCACTAAGTGTTATACCAGTAAAAAATTATATATGTACATCAATTAAATGTTAAAACAGCAATGTGTATTATTAGTGGTAAAGTAAGATGACTTATATATTTCTTTTACATTAAAAAATTTTCAGTTGGGTTATATTTTCTCTCAATTATTCCAGCGGTTGCGGAGACACCATTGTCTAGAAGGAATAAATACGGCAATTCGTACATCTTTTTACACGGTGAAGGCAATTGGGGCACCTGAACTAAGACACTTCCTCTACAAGTCCAAGACAACTGCACAGTTCACTTGCCCAGAGTACACAGCTCCGTAAGTCTATAAATATCAGTTTATGTAAAAGTGTTGTTGTTTTGGAAAGATTTTAGCAATGCATGCCTGTGGGGAAACCCTGGATGGAGTGTGTTCCTGTTGATGCTGCCTGGGTGAGTTCTTTGTTTAAAGATTATTTTTTTCTGTTATTCTGATTAATTCACACCAATTGAGCGCCCCCCCCCCCAATATTATCACTTAAAGTTATATAGAGTTTGGGCTGGATTTCTTTTTAGCACCGAAGGAGATAAAACAGGGTTCATGAAGTAATTGTCCCCCGAGGAAAATATTACGTGGACGTTGGTGTGCTAATGGCACATTAGGCTCTTGGTGGAATTGACTAAATGATGCTTTGGTAACAGATGTGTTACTCTTCTGAATATTGCATCCCTCCACAGAACATTGTACCTTATGACACCCATCATAGCAGGATGTGTCATTGGGTGTTCACTGGTTCCATCACTTCAGTCTCTGTCAACTAAATGTGATTTCTTGCCCCCACAATTTTCTTAGGTATCACACAGAGGCGGAGCAGCGACGTCTGTTTGGGTTGTATCAGCTGCTACACCACCGTGTACACTCAGTGTCTAGACCTCTGAAAATGGTCTATATGGTCATGGACACACAGACTCTCTTGGGATGGGTGAGTTTACCAAGTTCCACCGTTTTACTCTTTAAATATACCTTCAACTTTCTCCTGTTAGTTATTCTTAATGTTTTACAGTTTGTCTACATAAAACAGCCTTTTTTATGTAGACATGTTATGCCTCTTGCTGGAGGCCACACCCCCTCCATTGGCTTCAATTCCCCTACTACAGTACTCTATGGAGACATTGCACAGTTAAAGGCACTAATTTTCAGTAACCAAAGAAAAGGGATTGATATACAGGCTTTCTCACCAGAGTAGTAGTATTTTTTTTCTCAGGGTGATAAGGGCCTGTCGAATAGTCAAGGTTTCCTCTTGGGTCACCTAAATGGTTCTTGGACAGTTTTGGTAAATGAAAGATTTTAGGTGATCCCAGAGGAAGACATCGGGAGGAGTGAGGTCCAGAGTTATTGGTGGCCATTGTTTGGTCTTTGTTGAGAGTTCTTCACCTGGCAGAAAAGAACATTAATTATCCTAAAGTGCACAACCTATGAGAGACAACCTGTACATTGCACAGTTGCAGAAATGTGTTCTACACCCCTTGTGGTAACCCGTGTCTCCAAACAGCCAACCTTTATGACCTATAGGAAACCTATCCACCAGTCACTTCTGTAGTGACACAACCCATATCCATTCATAAAAAATGATACTACTGTGATGTTGCCGTTTGGAGATGTGGGTTATCACTGGACGTAGGAGCACATTTCTGCAACTGTACCAAGTGTGACAAACTAAAGCTTATTTAGTGTGTACAGTATAGTGTACTGTATATTGTGTTAAGTCTTCAATTATATTGTTTCAGGTAACGAGGGAGTTTGAGTTGTATGCTGCATTAGAGCCGCTGGTGACCAAGCATAATGCAATTATCTATGTCAATAAACTGCTTAGATGGATCAAATCTGATGAGAACAAATTGTTCATACTGAACTCTCCTACATTTTAACTTATTACATTTTGTGTCCATTAATGTACGTTAGTACAAACTTGATCTCCTTTCCTTAATTTCTTTATTGTCTACAGTTTATTTGTATTTAACTTAAAAATCTAAGACATTTGTAAATAGATGTATGCATTGCAAAGTTAATTTTATGAGAATATACATTCCCAGATAATATTTGGTGTTATTCTTCACATCAACTGTTTACTTGGTAGTAACATTTAACACAGAGGAGTCAACTTACAAGACAACAAGTGGAGCCAAGAATTACCTACAGATGTACATCACTACAGAACAGTTAACGTTCCAGTATACAGTATAACGAGGGGTCTTACCAAAGTGATGGTCATTGGTAGACAATCTCTCACACTTGAAATGTAAGTTGCAGACACTTGTTAAGAGAGACTTGTTACAGAAGGTGAAATTTGCCTTATTGCAACTTGTCTATAGTACAACCAAAAGTAATACAGTATTGCTGTCGTCTTGCCAAGGGGGTTAAGTCTTGTCACTCTGGCAATAATAAAAATATATAAATAAAAAAAGTCCTACTGTCTCAGAAAAATTCCATTGGTGTTGCAGGTGTAATTACTTGCTTCTAGTTTTTCTAAAGACTTTTTTATATATTATTCTAGGTGCACTTTACTGTATGATAACAATTAAACAGGGTAAAAAAAAAAGTTGGATTTGGCACAATTACTTGTCCTAATGACTTGGATTTTCATTTGTCTTGCTACCCTATTTACTCACTTCCTATAATTTTTGTTTTACTCTTAAGCTGCCACACTGTTGTCACTCCACAATTACGATGCTTTTAAAAAGGTAATATTTAGTGATGTATTTCTTGTCTTGATAGCCATTTTCACATAATGAGTATATTAGACTTTACTCTTTAACTTTGTAACTCAAGCCTAGGGTCAGTTTGTAGCAAGGCAGCCAATTCACTGACGGGTGGCACAAAAAATCATTCCTTTTCTTTAGTATTTAATTATCTTCTTTATATTCTAATATTTTAAGGGATAATAACTATTCTCTGTCAATCTCTGATAATTTCCACACCTGGAGAAGCAAAAACTAGCTTGTAAAATGCTCTGATTATGAGAACACAATCATGATGAACAAGTTCCGGGACGTAAACTCCTCACTGTGGAGGATGTTGCTAAAATTTGGTAACCTTTTTCTTGTTCTCTATGATGATATATTACCATAACACTTCACAAGCTAGTTTTTTTATTTTCCCAAAGTGTAGAAATTAGAGACTAGCAGTTAATAGTTACTACCCCTTAAAATATGATAGATTAAATACTAAAGTACTGTAATGACCCTTCTCGTATCTGTCCACCAGCCAATCATCTGCCTTGTTACAAACAGACTATGCCTCAGTTACAAAGTTTGAGTTAACAGACAATGGATAGATTTTCATCCTATTCCACCATTAGAAGAACTTGTTGGTTATCCATTTAGTGTTGAATGGATCACATAAAAAATTACTGAAGCATTTATTTGTACAAAATTTACACAGAAAGCTATGTTACATAACTGACAAAAGTCAATACAAAACATATACTCATTAATGGTAAGTATGAATAAAATGAATGACAAAATAATGAAATGCTAACACATATCTGGATTACTTATCTGGATTTTACTATAATGCAAATATTAATACCTTTATAATATTTAAATAATCACAAAGGAATGTCTATTTTAATGAAAATTTGTATTAATGCACAACAACAAAGGAAGAGAGTGGCTGAGACTTACACTGTATTAAGACATTTTCTATCAAAAATACTAATCAATCTGGGGTAGAGTATCAAGGCTCTCTGGCCAGTACAGTATGAACACAGCTGTTGTTAATACAGTGCATGGAGAGTAAACAATAGAAACCGTTGTGCTCTGTAGTGTATGGAGAAGGTAGACACAACTGCGTTGCCACTGCAAAAATCATTATTTTTCAAATCAATAGGAATGTTGATAGTATACTGTACAGTCAGCAAAAATGTTAATAAAATGCTGTGGAACAGCTGGACACGACATATTTCAGAATGGGCACTACGGCTCGTGTCATCTCAGAATGGTTGGTTGGGAAGTGACTCTTATTATATGATGCTCGTCTTTATTGTACGTACAGGTGAAAAGAAGTACGTACAGGGTAATTTAATTTATTGTACAATAAAACTTTCTCGGAGAGTAATGTTCAGATTTCTCGTTAGTTTTGTTCAACCGTATGATGTTTAGAACTTTTGAAAACTTTGCCGACTGTACTAGTACAGTAAACTCATAAATGTGAACCAAGTAATGTACAGTACTGGTGGTACAATAAATGTTATGATCTTGCTGGATAAAGTAAACCTCAGGATAACAGACAGCATAAACCTATGGACAAACCCCCAGGTGAGAGGAGTTGTCTGACAGTTCATTACTGCAGGTACTGTAAGTGGTAGCAGAGCGGAGCTTCTTGTGCTTTCTCTAGGTAGTCCTTTATCCCGAGGGTTTACTGTACAGTGCTGTAATAACTTTACTCTTGATGACATCTTTTGAGCTTTTCAAGGAGTAAACTGAAGGTCAGGTGCGAGTCCTTATTGCGTAATACAAAAGTTTCTATTATATACTAATTATATCATGAACTTCAAATATCTTCAAGGTTTCTCTAATAGTACAGTATATTAAAAACTGCTAGAAAATGGTAAATTTTATTCAAGCTCACTTGAAAAACTGATGATGCCACTTGTACTTTGGTCTCACAACTAGAATAACTGTTACTTCAATACATTCATATTTCCTTGATAATGCAAACAACAAAATGAAGATATTACCCAGATGATGCACCAGTGCATCACCATTTTATCAATTTCTTACATAATAACCCAGCATACAGTGTTCAATACTGACCTTATATTTATTTTTGTAAATTAATTTTTGACCTAACCTGCTATTTCTGTTACATGTAGTTTGTGAAGAGGTGGTGGGATGGGGTGGGGTAGGCTTAATAATAGTATGGCTCCTGGAGTGGATGGAATCAGCGTGGAAATGTTATGGGTGGGACGAGGAACAGTGAGAGCGGAAGACAAGTGAGTACAATAGAGACTGCCTGACAGAGAAGAGTATCAAATGTTTGGCTGACAGCATATTATATAGTTCCCTTCTATAAAAGGAAAAGTAAGATGAATGAATGCATTAACTATAAAGGAATAACTGTTAGATATACAAAGGATAAGAAAAAGTGTTTGCCTTAAGGAAGTGTATTTGAAAATATTTTGGAAAAGGAAAATAATTTGTTTAGTATTTTTGGTTCAAGAAAAAACATGAATGTCTACAGAAAGGCAACATGGAAGGATTAAATATGTACAGTTGCCTCTAGATAAACATACCTCGGTCTAGGAGTGTGTGTGAGCACATTTACAAGATGTCGTGGGCATGAAACCGTGGATTACCCTGTTTGTTGATTCCCCGTAGTTCAGTCCTAGTCACTCGGCTGTGGATACACAACAATGCTGCATAACACATTATAGGGTGTGTTTATCTGTTCACCCCCGATGTTGCTTGTATCTTATCACAAACAAGGTAATCTCACTGTTTCACACCCGTATTCATTCAGACCCGACTATGGCTCTGCGATGCCACATCTCATACCCGAGACCTCACACTCCCAGGCTGTGGTTCGTTCGTGTGGAGGCAACTGAACGTAATAAATGGAAAATAATTGTTGAATACCTCTTGGGAGGAAGACGGGTAAAGGAAGTAATGTAATGTAAGTGAGGAGAACCGGTCAGCCAGGAAATAACAGAGCATATGAGTGACAGGAGAGCATAGTACCGATTCATTTATGGGGATGGCACAATATATTATTTCTTACATCATCAAGAACATATTACTGTACAAGGTCATCATATAAGAATGCCCACATTTTAATATAATGCAAAACCATTTAAATTTAGGGCATTCTTTTTCAATGCCCCTAATGCCCTGTATTATTATTATTATGATCAGTGCAGCAAAAATAATCCCCTAACAAAGACATCATATAAAAGACACCTGGAGGACACTAACAAAAACTTTACAAATACATATTCTTAACACCTGGATCTTGAGGAAGGAAGATGAATAGAAACTGGAACAAACTCTCTTTGTTGTTGTATGTTTTATAAGGTAAATGTCTGCTCTCTCACCAATAGTGTCATTCAATTATCAGAATCCTTCATCTTCCGATTCCTACCCCAGTTTTAAGAGGTTTTCCGCAGTTATTGTTCGCGGCCTATGTAAGAGGTTGGTGATTTTTGGGGAGAGGTAAGTGTGTGTGTTGTGATTGAGTGTGTGCAGTGATTGAGTGAGTGTATATGCGCGTATGTGCATTTTTCTCGTCATCTCTACAAAATGACCCACGGCTCTGAAGAAAACACAAACATTCAAATATATGACAAACATAACTCATCTATGGTTGGCTAAGGGTGAGGGTGTCTAAGGATGGACAGTAATAAGAACATGTGTGGTTCATTCACATAGGAGGGATTCACTGCTTGAACTTCCCATTATACTTTCTCTACCTAGTCAACCTGATGACCAAGCCAACCTGATGACCTAGCCAACCTGATGACCTAGCCAACCTGATGACCTAGCCAACCTGATGACCTAGCCAACCTGATGACCTAGCCAACCTGATGACCTAGCCAACCTGATGACCTAGCCAACCTGATGACCTAGCCAACCTGATGACCTAGCCAATCTGATGACCTAGCCAATCTGATGACCTAGCCAACCTGATGACCTAGCCAACCTGATGACCTAGCCAACCTGATGACCTAGCCAATCTGATGACCTAGCCAACCTGATGAAGCTACAGCCGGCACGATGGAAAATAAAGATGTGTTTTCTTACAACGAAAGGTACCGTATCAACTAGACCTAACTCAAAGTATTACTTATACCAATGGGTCAAATTTATCGACAAAGAGACATTTTTCATCAGGTAATAAAGACTTGAAAAAAAAATGTTGGCACTTAGTTGTTAATGAGGAATATATACAGATGGGAGTTGAAGGAATGTCTACTTAATAACTTACTACTGGAATGTGCATGGTAAATATTCTAGAACCTAGAGAGAGTGAGCAACAGCCACAAAGAGGTTAACTGTACCTGGAATGCTCAATAACTTAACAGATGCACAAAATATTACATACTACTGTACTGTACTGGAAAGTAGTGACAATTGAACAAGTGAAACGATTTAATGTATCCAATTACAACCGTGCCTTTTGGGCATTTAAATTATCTTATTGCATGAAATGTTCAGTGATAATTATTTCTGATAGGAACATCATTTATTATCAACAGTGATTATACCTGTAGTAGTATACAGTTTGTATTAGGGAACAAAAGCACCTCTGTGTTAATGGCCCCATTATCCAGGGAGTTACTACAGGGCCAGAAAGGTTGTATAGAATTTTAATACATAATAATACCTAAATATAACTAGATGTTTTACATATAAGGATCAATTTTAATAATTTATCCATAAAATCTGAACATACTGTGGAATGCTCAAGGTCGTAAGAATGTATTTACGGAAGGAAAAGTGCAGAAAATCTAAATAATTTAACCTAATATTTTTGCTTTAAGATTCGCATTGGAATCTCAAATGTCCAAATTGCACAATCGCGCAAAATGGCATTCCAAATATATGTCACAACCAAAAACTTAAGACAACTCCTTATATTCAGTCAACAGTTATAAATGACCTAGAATGTGGGTTGACATTTTGGTAGTGACATAACCCTCATTGGAATACCTCACATGACTGTACATTGGTCCACAAAACTTAAGCACATATATATCACATTGTTCATCGATCACAGACTCAGGCTGTACCCCAATTACTGACAAGCAGCAGAGTCTAGGCAAGAAGGTATCAGAGGTTTGAATGGAGGCCTAAGGTAAGACAGGTAATAACACAATCACGTACAGGTACCAACAGAGGACAAACAAGTAGTGGTGGAGCAAACACGTGATGGGGTGGCCTAGCAAACAACATGATGGGGAGGCCTAGCAAAAATATGATGGGGCGGCTGAGCAAACACATGATGAGGTGGCCAAGGAAACAAAATTATGGGATGACCAAGCAAAAACATGATGGAGTGGCCGAGACAGAAGTAGCAGCACATGACACACATACAATGGTTATGAGGGAAAAATGAAGAACTGATCTTGAAATATCCTCTTGTAACTGAGGCCAGACTGAGTGACTCATATTAGTATATTCAGCTAAGTATCTAGGGTAAGAACTCCTATTAACTCTGGCCATGTTCCTATTTACCGTAAAGTTTCACCAGAGTGTAGAGCTGTCTATAAACATATTAAACACCCCATGAGGTTCGCCAGCTCTCCCCGACTACAAAATGGCCGCAGGTATCCAGTAAGTGGTGTCATCTTCCCGCACCAGGGTTAAGGTCGCAGCATACACAATGGTAATGTTCGACCCAATACACAAACTGCCTTCTGGCATAAAGAGAATAAAACTGAAACACAGACAACTCACAAAACTATGCTGGAAGGGTAATCATGTTGTCAACCAATGGGAGTGACTGCAGGTACTATAATACTGTGTTCGTAATAAATATAAAAAAGGGATAGACATGGTGATAAACCATCTGCCCTGGTACTGTATTATACAACAGTACATGGGAGGTGTTAACAGATGTGCTCAACAAGAGAACAGTACAGCAGTGTGGTACAGTTGCCTCCATTTATAAGGGTTCAGTGGCTGCCGTGTTTTGTGAGATGTGGCACCACTGTTTGTTTACATCGTAGTAAAACTTGCAGAATGGGCAGAACTACCCTCAAGAGAGCTCAGGCTAACTGGCTCAGCCGTGTTAATATTATGATTTTTAATCGACTCTGTATGTGTGTTCTTCTGGCTAAATAAACTGTAACAATATATAGAAACCAGACCAAGATGCTAAATAAGCAGTCCTCCTCTACCTGTAAATGTATGTATTTCCTGTACAGTAAACCCTTGATAACTCGGCACATGTGGGACTCTGGCCTTGCCGAGTTCCGACTTATTGAGGCACTTCCCCCTCCTACAAAAATACAATAAAAAATTATTGACCCATATATTTGTACAATGAAAGACAAAAGTCGTGTCGTGAAATTTGGTGATAACATATGCCAAAGGGCTAAACTTTTAGTGCGCTCTGCCTTGTGGTAGGGGCGGGGCTCTCATAATGTTTCCCGAGTTATATTTAATCTTCGGACAAAACGGCGACATGACTTTTGTTTTTGATTGTACATGTAATTACTAAATGTAAAAAAGTAACACTTACCAGCACTGCAGGCAAAGAATGAAGCTTCATGGTAGGTGACACAGATGGCTAGATTTGCAGAGATTTTCCCAGATAATTTTATATATCTCGGCATTTCCCAAGTTATACTATAATACATTCCGAGTTATATGAAATTCCGAGTCATCGAGGGTTCACTGTAGTTTTAATATAGATTACCAAGTAGAACATCATTGGCTCCTATCTGGTGGGTGGTGGTGCCACACCTCACACAACACGCCAGCCACCTGTACCAGTTATAAATGGAGGCAACTGTACCAGACCCACATTGCCATCCTATACCTTTGTGTTCTATAGTTGTACAAATAGAAATGGCAAGATTGTACTGTTGTTTCCTTTACCTCATGTCAAGCTGAACCAAAAACAAATATACTGATGAATTTTTACCTAAAATAAAATACAGTACAGTACACTGAATCTTCACTTAACCTGAATTATTGAAGTTATCACACAAAAGAAAGATAGGAAGAAAATACAGTTCATATTTCACAATATTGAAATAAGTACTACAGTATAATGGTATAAACACATACTACAGTACTGTACATGTTAACCACTTGAGATCAGGCCCAGAACAGCATGAATAGTACAGTCCTGTTGCCTTTAAATGACCTACCTTCAATAAATCAATCGATAAGCATTGTAACGCATAATAAAAAAGAATCAAATAACCAAACGATAATTACAACAATGCAGCAACAGTAATAAACAAAAATTTTGTATAAACAAAGTTACCTGACAAAAAATTTTGAATTAGCCCATAACATCAAATTAGTGAGTGTTCAGCGACTATGGTCAGTACTGTACAGTTATCCGAAGTATTCGCAACTACCGTATTCAGTGTATCTGAAACGGTTATGGCCAATTACTACAGCATTAACTGAAGAATCCATATATACTGTACTATATTTTTAAATAAAAAATAATAATTTAGACCACAAAAATATCTTTAAAAGAACAAGTGGAGGCACTAAGTAATTTATATACATTATGAAACAATAGGACTCAAAGTTGGTACCACAAACTGACTCATCGAATTGGGTCATACCAAAACAAACTGATGCATCATGAAGGCAGTAAAAACCTTCTTACCTTGAGAAGTCTTTGACTATATTGACCCAACCATGAATGTTATACTGCACCTACATGTACAGTACATTAAAAACAGATACCAAGGCACTCAGACACCTCACTTGGAGCCAGTGTATATGGGGCAGCATCACCACATCTAATACTCAGAGAGCTAGGACTGAAAGTTGTCTTGTTGACATGACTGAACAAAGGACTGGATTTATGGAGAAATATGGCTTATTAGCTTTCTGCTTTAAATGGCAGCAGCTACTTCTAAAACACCTTTCACAGCACTCTGGTAATAGCCAGACAAAGTGTCAATAATCCTTAGTCCCTAACTCGTGCTTCATGGTGTTAATATGGGCTCTAACCCTCCAGATTTAGCTGAATCTTTTATAAATAAAGATAAAAAGCAGCACTGATAAAAAAGTATAAATTAAAGGAATGATAATTATTAGAGGCTGAGGAAGAAGGTATTATAAATATGCAGACTATGTATATACAGTACAAAGGTATGTATGTCCTGTTAACTGTGGTTCAACAAAAGGAGGAACTATACTACTTGAGCCAAAGAGCACTATACTGTACAGGGAACAACAAATAAAATGAAAGGCAGACAGTTTAATCTTAAGCCATATATGTGACTATTTACCTCAAACTGTCACTAGAATAAGGTAGTAAATATGTTTGCAATTAAAATGTCAAAAAATTGAGAATTGGTACAGTAAACATAATTTAAAATTTAGTGAGCAGAGATGTGAAGTGTTGGGAGTAATGTGGGAGTCTTGGTTTACTTCATCTAACTGAAGATGAAGGAAAATACTCAATTATACTCATCCTTGCTCTCTCAGACTTGGTGCCCCTGTGAAACCACATTTAACTAGAAAGAGATATTATAATGTTTGAATAACTTACACATGACCAGGTTGGTAGGAACAATCCTTCACCGCTGTTATTGTTACTGTGGCTTCACCCAATAACTGATGAGTAGCTGAAACTTGCATGATGTACAACACCATTAATGGCCAACATCAAGATGTAAGAGAGTATAGAAAAACTAAACCAAAATAGGGGAATGATTCTGAAATTCGTCTTCCAGCTGAGCCCACCGCCAGGCAGCACCTGTTCCTACAGATGTCTGGAATAGAGGTTAATCCATGACACCTTTCCCCACAAAGTAGCTGAGGTTGAGCTTCTGGTTAGGTATCCCTCCCCATCACACCCAGTGGCCTCAAGTGGGAGATTAATTGGAAAGGTTGTCATCTAAAGGCAAGAGGTCTGAGCTCATGCTTTCAAGGGGTAACTTTTGTATTTTTAGGTTAATGGGTGTGATGGGGAGGATCACACCTCAATTGCCTTGGGGGTTAAGGCATGGTCACCCAACTCCCACATACAGGGAATGTACAGTAACATAAACCACCTGGCAGAAGACAATTACCTAGAATGTGAAGGAATTGATGTTCAAATCCTGTTTTCTAGTAAAGCTAGGTGGCCTTCATCACAGCACTTACCATGTTTAGCTTGTCAAGGTAGTTGTGGCTGTTCATTTAACATAATTCAAGATGATCTGATTGCTTTGTCCTCTGTCTCACCTATAGCATATCCTACAAACAAAGGAAATCAGGGATAAAGTTTACCCTGATAGGCAGAAGGCCATCTAAAGCCAAGCCTGACCAACTAGCTCTCGTCATACCAAGGCTACTGTCCTCCCAATTAGTTCCAGCAGAATACTCCACTAACCCAAAGAAGCTGGGTGAGTATATGAACTGCCTGGTTATTACGTTTACTGAAAACAAGCATTTCAGGAATGGTTCTTTAATTTTAGTTATGTCCTCCAACATGCAGCTCTTGCTATAAAAAATCAGCCAGGTGTTAGTGGGGAACAGTCAAATATTATCTGATTGGATGATAATACTGTACTAAGAACTTCAGTAAATTCTGCTGACCATTCTTTATGTCTTTAGTTTAAATGGGATTTGATATTTTGATTTTATATAAACAGGCAAGAGATAGTTAGACTGGAGCTTCAATTTTAATGAGTGTCATTGAAGGACTAAATTTCAAAGATGGCAGATTGGAAGGACTGCAGCCTTGGTGCCATGAGAGCTGGTTAGGTAGACTCCCTTCTAGAGAACCTCCTGCCTTCTGAGGCAACCTTTGTACTTGACCTCCACCTATTTAAAGGAAGGAGATGGGAGTGATGAGAAAGACTAATAATAAACTAATAATATTGCTGCCATATAAGAGTGTAGTTTACTACCATCAATACCCACACAAGGCAAGTGCTGCCATGAGTGGCATAGCTAGACAACAGTCAATCTGCTAATATATAATATTTTAGAGTACTGTAATACAAGCACACTGACAAGGACAGGGAATGATTCAAAGAATGACAAAGTGGGTTGATGATTGATGAAATGAGTGACAACCATAAGCACTGTATATGTGGCTGGATGAGTAAGTGGACATGTGTGTATGTATATATATATATATATATATATATATATATATATATATATATATATATATATATATATATATATATATATATATATATATATATATATATATATATATATATATATATATATATATATATATATATTATTATTAAAGGAATTATCTCAAGTAATGACAAGACACTGAATGAATGATATATGAAGATGATATGCATCATTTTTAAATATAAAGAAGGCTAGTTTTTCACACCAGTCAGCAGCTTTTCAACTCCAAACGGCCTAAACCACGACTAACAACGGCCTTTTCTCATTAAATTGAGAAAATATTTGCCTTGTAATGAAAATAATAAAGTGTATTTTAACTCATCCCCTGGGAGGAGCTCGTCACGTGGAAGTGCTACTACTATAACTTTACGGTTCCTGGCGGGAGACTAGCATTGCAGGTGCGGTAGTAGCGGAGATCGTTGATGAACCGCTGCACATTTTGCGTAAAAGTTGGAAGGTCCTGTTAAAAGTAAACATATGGAGGTCAATTTCTAACACTGGATATAATCTTCAATAATATTTATAGTTTATCAACACACATAAGTAATAAGTGATTAATAACCAATCAAGAAAAAGTTCACACATACACTACAATGTATTAAAAAGTACAGTACAGGTTTGTGTATCAAGAGCTACAGTAACCAGATAGGGAAACTTACTGTATCAGTCTTGAAGTTTTGTTTTAATGTGGTTCTCTGATCATTATCCAGACCATCCATGTTCTGTAGAAAGTGAGGGACAAATGCAGCAAAAAAGGTGTTGAAGTCCACTGATGCCATGTTGTATACTGTGATGGTGATCTGTGGAAGGTGAGAAACAGAGGGAATAATTATACTCTCAGACACCAGACCACTGAGGCGAGAAAGCTCTTTTTAAGGAGTGATCCTGCCTGTATTCTCCTTGTCTTCATATAATTAAATTCTTTCTACATTATACTAACAATGAGTCTTTAGTTTTGAAGTTATATCCACATATTATGAGTGATTTGTGTAAGACAAGTCTGTTTAATAGGTATGTACTGCACCACTAAAAAGAGTACTGTACTGTACCTACAAGTCCTAAAACACTGTACTGTAACTTATGTCTCACCGAGGTACCAGGTTCACCACCGAGCTTAAATTGCATTCACTCCGAGTATTATTTAATCATAATGTAATGACTATATAATTCCCAGTCCAGTCTTACAGTATTCCATATGTGCAGTGACCCAGTAATTCAATGTATAATAATGTCCTGGTGTGACTCAATGTGGAGTGTGACTGCTGAGTGGATACTGGACTAACCTCCTGTTCTAAATGTTGGTGGTTCAATCCCGGGACACTTCTAGTTCACCCCGTTGTAATGTCTACCTACTGTAACTTTACATGCAAATGAAGTAAAAGTAGTCAAGTGCAATGCTGGCCAGACTGTCTCTTTGTGTGCTGTATCCACAGTACACCTAACTAGCAGTCATGCCTTGGGTTCCCACTTTAATTTTCATGCACTGTAACTATTACAGAAATATCCAATGAAAATTATAGTCCTTGGCACCCTCCTGACACACTCTACCACATATGGCACTGTCTATATAAAAATCTGGACAGCATTAAGCAGTTTCTCATTTACCTGACCTTTTCAGTACTCCCCGTGTTGCTTTACACCTACAGTACTCCATCATATGTTTTTTTTCAGGTCCATAAATGTAACAAATTCTTTCCCATCACCAAAATTGTCTTTCATTCTTGTTCCTTAATGCAAAAACTTATTTTATTATAACAAAACTATAAAACTAAACTTACTTCTTCCTGCAGCAGATCCTGAGAGCGATGAACCAGCACCTGCAGTAGTACGGTGATGAACTGACCCAGCATCGAATTACGGAACACTCCCTGTGGGGGGGAAACAGAGGTGTCAAACTGACCATCAACCTATAATGTAAAATGTATCCACTACCATTATTCTAGTCATTAAGGTAATGTCTCCATACTGTACCACCTGGACACAGACAGACCCTGATCCTCTCTCTGCTCAATACTTCCATATCCACATTTCCTCCCCATTTCTGTATTATTTATTCAAGAAACTACAACTTGAGAAAGAGAAACATAAGTCAAACATAAGTCTGATTCTAACCTCTTCTTTCTTTTACAACTAATGGAGGGAACTTCACCTGACACAAGAAGGTAGAGTACAGTTTTGTGATGGGGTCGACTTCTTTCTTTTACAACTAATGGAGGGAACTTCACCTGGCACAAGAAGGTAGAGTACAGTTTTGTGATGGGGTCGACTTCTTTCTTTTACAACTAATGGAGGGAACTTCACCTGGCACAAGAAGGTAGAGTACAGTTTTGTGATGGGGTCGACTTCTTTCTTTTACAACTAATGGAGGGAACTTCACCTGACACAAGAAGGTAGAGTACAGTTTTGTGATGGGGTCGACTTCTTTCTTTTACAACTAATGGAGGGAACTTCACCTGACACAAGAAGGTAGAGTACAGTTTTGTGATGGGGTCGACCCTTCTCTAGCCTTCCCGGATGTAAAATAAAAACACTTACCTTATGATATAACTTATATTTAGAATTGAGAGATTCCAGAGCCTCCAGGTTATATTTAAAGATGGTGATATCCGGCTGCATGAAGGACTGACCAAACGCCTGCATGATCTGAATGAACTGAGCCTCGTTTTCTATAGAGTCCCAGTTCCCGGCTCCTAGAGATGTGTGGACTGAAGGTCTGCAAAAATATATTAAAATGACTAAATATATAATACATCGTATATAAAAAATTAATAATACACCAATATATTATAAAATACCACTTAAACCATTCTTAGATCTTCAACAGTTTCATTTCAATCTTATGTTATTAATTCTCAACACCACTTACCTGCAGCAACACCCCTCCCCCTCTCCTCCTATTGCACCAGCCACAAACAACAACCAAATACAAAGAATGTATAAAAAAATTTTTTTTTTTTTTACCTTTGGTCATATTTGACTTCTTTACTACTGGTTACACTCACTCTAGTTCTATTAAATGAGTCTGGTAAATATACATATTGTACCATCCATATACCTCCTTATGAAAGGGTTAAAGAGGAATATGTAATTAATATATAATCAAAATAAAAGATGTTTTTCAAAGTTAAAAAATCAATCAAAAAAGTCACTAAATACTCACTTAAAAAAGTATTTCCAATTATGTTCCAGAAGGCATCGTAACAGCTCAAACATTGGCCCCTTGACCTCAGGAGACGCTCGCTCGGACACCACGGGGTAGATGTGGTCCATACACAGAGTGATGGTATTTGGTATGAACCGCTTGAACGACTGCCCCGGCTCACTTACTATCAGCTCCAGCAACTTCAGAAACCTACGAGCAGTAGAAAAAGTTGAATAACTGTCTAACAGAATATAACTTATGTACAGAACTGTAGGTACAGCTGTCTATATTGAATGTATGTATCTAAATTTCAGTTCTAATACATTACACATTATAACATTACATTAATTATATAAAGCCTTTTAATGTGAGACTCAAGAATATAATTATACTTAAATAGTAACAAGAAAATTAAGGAATAACACAAACTAATACCCCAGTCTATGCCCTTGTAAGTTTAACCCAAATGATATAATCTTTTATCTTTCCACTAAACCACCAATATATTACTGATATTAAATGCAAAAAACAAAAGCCTCACTTGTCAACCACTCTAACAGCAGCAGGATTATCTGCACTGATGGCAAGCTGGAGGTGATGCCGAGTGGTGAAGACATCGAGGAAGGTCTGTATGGTGGCCTCTACCCTGCCAGGTCCCAGCTGAACCCTCAGCACCTGCATCACTACCACCATCAATGACAGTATCTCCTCACACACACCTGGTGGATAAAACCAAGTCAGTCACAGTGTTCTGTTTTCTTCAATACTCTTATCATTAAGTAGAAATGATAAATATTGTAATCATTGTGTATAATTTAATTAACTCTAAAATATAATAAAACAAAGAATAAAAAGGGTGAAACTTTCTTTTGAAATATAAATGAATTGTGTGACAATGAAAGCAGAATAACCTTTGATTATTTATTGCTGTTTTACTGTAAATTTATCACTTAAATGAAGAGTTATTAGTTTATATTAAAAAAAACACTTTAAGCTTGGATATTATGTAAGTTAAATTAAAAGCATTAGCCAGAAATTCTGGATGACTATGCAAACATTTGTTCTCCAGGTAGAGCATTAGATCGGAACACGTTATCAAATATAATGTCAGACTGTTGGCTTAGTTATTCTGACAAAACAAGGACAGACTCAGAGTCATTTATTCCTGTGTGGGATTAGTGTTAACAAAACAAATAGCAACTGTGTTATGATTCAGAAAAAGTCACATTTAATCTGGTTGAGATGTAAAATGCCAAGAGGATTTAAAGCCTGATGACCTCCAACAGGTAGTTTGAGTACTGTAATCCACTCACTTTGCTTACCAAGGTGGCTCTAAGTATTAATGGAGGGTGGGTACTATCCTGACTATATTTACCTTTGGAACAGTTCAAACATTATTTCTGCCTCCCCACCACAACCATCTCCCACAAAATAGGAAAACTGTACTGTACTAGAAGCAAAGGTTCCCATCAAAGGTAGGAGGCTGTATAGCACCTCCTCTATCAGCTGTTACAGGTCTCAGTATACTGTATTAGATCTGGGCTCAGTCCTCCCTCCTTACACTGGCAGCAGATGCTTGCTACCAGTCATCTCTTGCTTCTTGCAGCAAATTGTCAAAAGCATCTTTCTCAGCTCTTTGGAAGGTTATAGTTGAGGCCACAAAGTTCTTCAAGGTGTATCAAAACTAAGACTGAATATTTTACATAAATTTATGCCATTTTGCACTTGTTGTTTACACATTCACTAAAACCCTTCTTGAGTTTACGACAGTGGGCAGTCAAACACCTGGCAGTGTTAGGGAGGAAATCAGAGACTCAGACTGTACCAAGGTGTCCTCCTCCTTGATAGTTGTACTAACTAAGCATCTAGGATTAGTACCATGTCATTTCTACCTGTTGTAAGCTGAGTCAGGTTGTCAAGAGGGTTGTGTCCAGTTTGGGGGTTCACTGAGCAACCCCTGGTGGGAGGGAGCACACCTGCATATAACACAACTCACTTAGGAATATTGTCTGCTTATTTCTGAACTTTGAAATATAGTTTATGAACAAATTCTCAAAGCGGTCTACTATCAGGCTTAAAACAGTAATCTAACAGGCTTAAAATAACATTGGTTGAATCACACAGTAGAGCAGAGATGACCCAGTACAGTATAAGGCTATATAACTGTTCTTACCCACAAAACTGAGGGAGGAGACTAAAAGTTATCCAACAACAGGAGGATACAAGGGTACAGTAGTCTCCATGTAGATTAAATTGTTCTTATTGGCATCAATGTTCACTGGTTTCTCTTGGGAGACTTGTCTTACTAAGTTTGTAAGGTAAGTAAACTCATTGAGCTTCTGGATAACTAATAAACACTATATGTGATTGGATGTAGACTTTCATTTCAGCCAAGGTGAATTCCCCACAACTTAAGGGCCAGCGTACACTTGTCCCTCAAATTGCACAGAGTTACCAATACGTACAAGCTTTGTTTCCTAATATCAAAAATTTGCAACAGGACTGGAAAGTTTTCAATTACACAGGCTTAACGGTCAGAGTCTGTGCTTCGGCCTGAGCAAGATTCAAACGCACGCCAAGCCAAGCATTGTGGGAGTATGGTGCATCACAGGGTAAGGGGTACCAGATGTACGATGCAAGGCCACGCTAAAATCAGTCCATATGTTTTATCTGTAACATCAACTGGTTTCTCACTCACCCGCCCACCCGATCACTCGTGTACAATCGAGAACAAAAGCTTTATCGTCCCTTCTGCTGCTTCACAAACCCTCGGATTTAACTCGTGAATCCGAAGCATTTATGGACAGAATAATGCATCAGCGTCTACTGCTTTGGGTTCACGAGTCTTAATTTCGGGGGTTTATGGAGCACAGGAATGGTGAATGACTTTTGTTCACGACTGAACCTAAATACACATGTTCTACTTACTGTGATCACATACTGGCACCACCTAAATGTCTTGCCAGTACAGTACTTCTCCTCAGTGAGATGTAAACCTAGCAAGGGAAGCAACACAGTATTTATACTGAAATCCAAGTTAGAAATTGAGGACTGATACAAATTGCTTCTCCCCTGAATCTTGTTCCTCAAGACTCACATACAGAGAGCTCCTTCCCACCTCACCCCAACACTTCTCTCACACAGTAACCTCACTCACATCCCTCCCTCCTCCTGACCACATCCTGTCCCTGGCAGCCTTCCTCTCCTGAAGCTAAAAACATATTTTATGACGACACATTGTTCAAGCCAGTCAAGGATTGCATCTGTGATTGTCCTTTCATTTTTAGAATTATATCCCGACCATTTTTTACCTTGAATAGAATATTTCCAGCCGCTCTTAATAATAAGACTACAGTGACTAGTTTTAAGTTCACTCTTGTATCAACATTATCTGGAAGAACCACAAGATGAAAACATTACACAGGACCCTATACAGTACCAGGAGGAAAAATTATCACCACTGGGACTTACCGGCATGTTGGACATAGATAGGGAAGAGGAGGATGGCCTGGTGGATAAGGTCTTGAACACAGTGGTAGTAAAGTTCCCGGCTGGTTTTATCTGTGTTGTTCAGCTCCTCCACCTGGTACCGGATCACCGACAGAGTATCACACAACTTTGGCGCCACTGATGAGGGAAATAAAGTGATCAGTCGGTACAGTAATGCATAATACCAATACCTAAATTCATAATATCTGTATGACTTACATGCAATGTCTAGTGTGGTTACAGTATAAACAATAACATAGTACAGCTGAAATACCTTTGCTTCTGTTCTAAAAGAGGAACTTCCTAAAATTAAAAAATATAAAAATACACTACTCAAAGGCCCTGTAACTGAGGGACACCTACACTCAACAGAACCATACTCAGAATACACCCCAAGAGCCACACTCAGGATACACCCCAAGAACCACACTCACTGTTCTCCTGCATGGTCTTGTCATCTACTAGGACCTGTACGTCGATTTTCCGCACATCTGAGGTGAAGGAGTTGATGAAGGACGTGAGCGAATGTTTTCTAGTCTCTAAGCGGTGGTCGACGACGAAGCTCGGCCACGGCAGCAGGAGAAAATTGACTAAAGCCCTTAAGATTAATCCACGCACCTGAAATAGAACAGCAATAACCAAGAAAAAATTACGAAAAATATAACAACTCGTCACAAAATCCACGAGTTTGGTATTTACAACACAAAATTACCACGGGCCAACACGAACCTTTACATCGGAGGAAATCGACGGAGCTTGGACGTACAGAGACTGGACCTGGTTCATCTCGAGCGCCACGGGGGATCGCACCATCACAGACAGAGAGAGAAGAAGCTGTACCCCACAATTAACGATTAGCAGAGGAGCCTGTGAGAGAGCAAGCGAGAGATAGTTAATACTTTATCCATCAATAACAGCGAGTTAATTACAAAATAAAATATATAATTATTTTTTCTAATGCACAGTAGAGGCCATTAACTCACCCCAACATTGAGAACATTAGTGGCAGCAACAAGCATCTGTTTATTTATGGTATGACAAGTGTCTTGGTGTTGGTGCGTCTGTGTTCCTCCGGGAAAAACCTGAACAAACTGCTGCCCGTACAGTTGAGACAGCCAGTGCACCCACGCCCTCAACGTCGACAAAACTTGTGCGTGACTGAAAAAAACATAAGTCGATTTTCAAATTAATGGGAAAAAAGTAATGCATCATCAGGTAAATGTTTGCCATGGGTGGCTTTCACTTCAAAATTAACCACCCTAACACTAACCTAACACTAATCTAACCTAACTCTCCTAACACTAATCTAACCTAACAGTATGATAATGGAAAATACCTCAAAATACATAGTAAAATATGTTCATGGGGGAAATTATAACATAATTAGGTACATAAAAGCCTCAAGTAAGTATACAAGTTACATGAAACGTTCTCCATAATGTCTTGGAGAGAGAGACATCATACATCAGCAGTACTGTATAGGTCTTGCTTACAACATCAACACTAAAATCCCAAATACACTCACTAACATGTTGGTAAATAAATAAAATATATAAATTAAAGTTAAATGAGATTCACATACATCAAAAGGCCATAAACCATGACTATAAATGTTAAATAAGCGATAGGGAAATTATAAATGGATATACGAGACTCACACTTCAACAAAATCTGAGTGCAGGACGTCAACCGCAGTTTCTACTTCAAATAGCTTCAACCCTGTGCTGTAGTTTGCCATCTGAACTAACCTGAAAGTGAACAATACAAAATATAAATATGTAATAATCATCAACCTGCCAATAGAAACACACAGACACTGTCTTTATCCCCGAGATGGTTCCTTCAACAGAGCCACTATGGAGCATCACTGGGAGGTTTCATGTATATATCTCCAAAATCTTCTTTATAGTTTAGGTAAATACTATAATACTCCAAGCTCTTCAATGTTCAAAGTTACTCTAGAGTGATGAAGAGTGTTTAGACAGTGTTCAAGTTTACCCCCACAGTCCTCAACTAGTGTACACTTATCAATACACAACATATGTTATGGAAAAATAAAAATCAAGTAATTAAGACTCCAAAGTAAAGATATGTTTTATCTAAGTTATTATTTAAGCCTGGTTCCTTCTCTAAAAGCAATGTTGATACAATTATTAATTATGGAACACAATATTTATGCCCTAATTAATTCAACCTTACTTTTCAATAACCTCAATTGCTGTGGTTGATCTCTTAGGCAGTTCCTCTCCCAGAAACAGCGTTGAGAACCTGCCGATGGCCTGAAGGAGGGACGACAGGTCTCTCAAGAGGCAGTGAAGCCGCGGACACTCGTGTTCTGCCGAGATGTTGAGACGACGACGACCATTTTGTTCTATCATGTTAGACTGGAGGGTGAGGTATATCTTTGTGGCTTCGTTCCAGGGCTCGTACTAGGAGAGACCAAATTGGTTTTGTGAAGTATTGGTCTTAAACATGTAAACACATTCATTCTTAATAGTTCATTTTAGAGTTTTCCATTAAAAATTAAAGCTCATTAAATATTCAGTACACACAAAAAAAAGAGTCAGTTTTCACCTACCACCAGGGTAAAGATCTGATCTGGTAAAAGGTCAGCAATTTTGGCCAGAAGTTCAAGGTTTCTGGTGAAGAAGGAATGCCACTCAGACACCTCCTCACCGGTGCCTATTTCCCCATAGTGACAAGTGCTGTTCTCTGATATTTCCTCACAGATTTCATGATCCAATTCTTCCAGTTCAGCCTAGGGGAAAAAAATTTAAAATAAATTAAACAATCAGTGATAACATTCCTCCATTTTAATCACTAATACGACTGACTTAAAAGAACTGTGCTAACGTGTCTGTAGCCCCAAGTAACCCCCTGCTTGTGGCGTTGGGCCGGGGCTACACTCCATAAATCCAATACAACTACACAACTGTACTGTACTGGAAACACAGCCACAATATGTAATGATTCTGTCTATTCACTATAATATCCACGAGTTTTAACGACTGTATACATAATGAAGGCCTAACTTGTGATCAATGCAGGATCTAGGCAGTTGTCCTCAAAGGTCACATGGTGTGGGAGAACAGTGTTAAGTTAGATTAGACTGCACCAGGAGTGACCATAACATAAGCATCTCATAAATCACAACTTCTTAATTTAATAAGAACAATAAGCTGACCTGGTTGTGTCGTAGTTGTATCTTGTGTAATATTCCTTGTGCTAGAGATATCAAGGCATCCTCGTACCTGTCAAAAAAAAGAAATAAAATTAAATATTACTCCATTTTCTCTTATCACTCTCATGCTTCTTACTTCCTTAACTACAGAATGGCCAGAATAACAAGCAGACGCATACAGAATCACGCTTCATTTGTTTTCCTTTAGTTAGTCTCAGTTTTGTAACATATTAACACAAATAACAAAATACTTTAATAATTACTCTCGGGATTAAACATCTCACGTGTACCACAACCCAACAGTGTCAGACCCTCTCACACCTCAACACCACGATACGAAAAGTAAATAAAAATGGATCATGAATCTCCAGCTCACTTCTTCTCTATCCACTGAAATATAAGCTAACAAGAAAGGATTACAGAAGAAGTAATACAAAAGCAAACACTAACAAGCAGCTCAAATGAAATACAAAAATAATTACAGGAAAAATGTAATGGGAAAGCAACGATGACAAGACATTAATAAAAAAAAAAGTAATAAGATAAGTTTGTGTTCATTATATACCTTCCCTCTCCTATGTGATCTTGTGTCCCCTGAACCTTGGACAGTAAGTGGTCCAGGAAGATACTCCACACGTCGAGACAGTTGAAGTACGCCTCCACACAGTGCTGGTGGAATGTGTAGCGGAAGAGGAGCGCCAGGAATTCCAGGACGGGGAACTGAGAGTTGTTTTCAAATCTGCGCAGGTGAACGCTGACAAACAGCCTCAGAAACTCCGTGAATTTATCTATATAACTGGAATAGAAAACACAAAAATGTGGTTATTCACAAAATTCAGCTAAATATTCTGGCTATACTGGTATAATATACACAAGTCACTCAACAACGCCTGATTACCGATGATTATATGATAAGACAACCACCACTGTACTGTTATATGGTGTAAGGAAAATGAGTTAGATTACTACAAGGTTTTGAGTTCCCACCAAATTATGACCTAGTTCAACATATTGTACTCACTAGCAATTAACTGTTAACTCTACCACAGATATTGTAAAAGATAAGTGTTAACTCTATTCTCTATGGCCACTAAAACCATCACAAAAAACAACAAACCTCGGGTCTAACAACTGGAGGCGGGACGTGGTATTTGGCTCATCTCTCACTAATCTTTGTAATAGATGGAATGTGTTTCTAAACATCTGCAAGAGGAAGTCTTCAAAGTCGTGCGGGACACAGTTCTTGCTCATGATCTCGTTGATGGCGCCCATGGCCAGGACCCCGAGGGATTCTCCCGACAGGAAACTCTTTTCCAGCGACCCATTGTGTAGTTTGTTGTGCTGTTCACAAATACACACATCACATAATTTTTTTTGTATTTGAGTGGTAATAAAAAGATCTATTCTATTTGGGCATGTATTTTATGAACGAGACTTATCCATTCATAAAATAATCCTTGTAAAGTAGAGGATTGATTCTCACAGGCCAATTTATATCCAAGCCACCATCAAGCACCTTTGTATTTATACTGTACAACAAGCTAAGGGGTCAAAATCTCAGGCCTCAGACTTGTGACTGAGACCTTAAAAAAGAAAAATAATAATATTCATTTCTTCCTCTTTGTCTAATTTCATATTTTATCCAGACTTTAAAAAGAAAACTTAATGCCAACATACATACAACATAAAGACATACCTGAAATATGTCCTTATTCTATGTCTCAGGAATATCAACAGTCTCTAACCCACCCCTACTTCCACTCATTCCTCCATGGTAACTCACACTCAACCTAGTACATGTGTATCTGATCACTGTGAAAGTTTACACTGGTTTCCTGTATTAAGAAATCATACTAATAATTCCTTCAATGATTCTAAATAACTTAATACAGCTACAAAAATTTAGAGTTCACTGTAGTAATGGGACAAACATCATAAATGAAAAAGAATTGAGTTGTAATTAAGAGCTAAACAGATTGATTAGTTTAGCAGTACTGTAATTATTTTTTGTCCATGTACTGTAGCAAAGGGAAGGTTTACTGTACCCACTCACACACTCATCAATACACACACACACACAATACAAAGGAAGTTTTTAAAATTGAAGGACATAGGCAGAGAAACCCATTTTATAACTGAGGGGACAAAACAATTGGTCTATGCAATACACCACAAATGAACCTCCCTGGACACACCCCGCCACTGCCTATAAGCACACCAAGATCAGTGGCAGGATTACAGTTTCAGCATGGACAAAGTTTATACTCTACACTACACACCAGCAGTCCTCTCACCAAGTGCTGGTCTTAAGAGACTAGTGGGGCTTCAGTTTACTAGTTTTTAATGCTAGCAAGTCCCTCCATTCTGAAACCCAACCTCAATTGTATCTAATCATGTCTTTCTGCTCTTTTCAGTTTCCTATTAATTTTGAACCCCACTTTAAGAGAGGAAATTAAAGTCACATAATTCCTAAACTTGAGCATATTGGAATTTGTGCCTCAATTCATCATTTAGCAACTGTAACAGAAAGAGCATCAATTACAGTACTGATCTTGATGCAAAAACTCTGGCTGATGATTGAATAAATTGTTCCATTATACACTTTACACACATTCCTCTCAAGAATGTCAAGGAAATGGCCTTATATTATGTGGTCTGACTGAGCAACTTGTTAGTGTGATAATGAAACCTTCCTCAACTTTATCATCAAATGGGATCTATTAGAACCTTTTCATCTAATTATACTTAGACCCCACACAGAGAAGGCTGCTTGTGTCACAGCTCAAACAATGTCCATTTAGATGCTGTAATCATCCCACTAAGCACTGATTTATTCTACTGTACAGCCCTGTAAATGTATTCAATGCATATTATATCATTATGTCTAAATCTAATGTAAGTCTGTATATTTTCAGCCACTGGCTGCAACTCTATTAATAAACCGTTTATTATTTTTAGATGGTTCCTGGGAAATGGCAAGCTCTGCCTAGAGGTATTTAGTGGTCATTAATAAAGGTAATTATGACATTCACCTGTGGATCAGCTCCCAAAGAAGCAAACATGAATATAGTATTGAGCAAATGTGGTGTAATGAGAGAGGAGAGAGGGATCCAGGAGAACAGATGCGTCAGACAGTTGAGTGACAGCGATGCTATGGTCTCACTCTCAGTGTCCAAGGGAGGCAACACCCAACCAGTACGTGAACTAGTGCCACTCTCTAGGTTGTGAAACATGTTGCTCAGTAGTGTACCTGTAAGAGACAAAAATTAAAATATATTATACTTACAACAACACAGTTTGGTGATTTTTTGGATATATACAAACAATTCCCTTTTTTCTCCATATAAATAATCCCCAAAGAATACTCAAGTCTGAATAAAGTGATGTTATCTCTGTGAAAGTACGTCCCACAGGCTTGATGGCCCACTTAAGACAAAAGGAAGCTTGGCCAACATGGTACTTGACCACCCCAACTATAAAGTCAGATATTGTACCTAGTCACAGCCCAGCAGATTAAGGGAGTTTAAGGCACAACCCAGTGTCCCATGAGAGAGGAAATAAGCACTTGTATCCTCATGGCTAGGATGTCTAATACAGCTTGTGTTCCTCAACCTTTCACTGTGTAAATCATCTCCCACCAGGATACCAGCTCTGCCCCTCCTGATAGGTCTACAACAGCAGGAATATGACATGTGTTAATGCTGTTCATGGAATCTAACCGTAAAACAACTAGGGAATATTTTGTTATGAGAATTTACTTGTTTAATGCAAAATCAAGGCCACTGAACTACACCACCAATCATCATCATCTTACCTGTTTGTATCGGAGAAGACGAGAGGCCAGAACGTGTAGGAGAGTGGCTGTGGGAGTGTGTCGGGGAGGGTGGAGGTGTAGCAGTCACAGCGTTCTTGTGTTTCTCGACTACACCCTCTAATAAACCTGAAAAAAGAACCACACACCACAATTGTTAAAGGAATCGTCTACTTATTCATTAAACAGTACCGTAGCTATACTGCTTAAGACACGTTCGCTACCCAGTTAGTCCTCTGGTGTTAGTTTTGTCAGAGTATTATTACTAAAGAGTCCCCTGTCAGTCTTATGATGTACACATGATCAAAAACTTCCCTTACAAAATTGTATGAAGATATTATGACAACAGACGACGGACTTTGACAACCCTACCAAGACTACACGAGTCGGTGTTCATTCTGAAATTCATCGACCCCCAAATACAGAGTTGTTTGATCAACTTTACATGTGCTGTAACTAAACACACTACTGTACTGGATAATACAGTACTGTATATCACCAAATTGAAGTTACACCACTCACACATACACCTTATACTGTGCTGTACTGGTTTTAAAATGGAGTAAATCAAATAAATAAATTAAAAATAACATAATTACTGACTAGATAACAGGGTGAGCATAGTTGGGACTTGCTGGGACAAGAGGCGCCTCAGTTCTGTGCGTCGGGAGTAAGACAGTTCTTCACGGGGACACGCCAACTCCTCACTGATCGTCTGCAGGAACACGATGCAGAGAACAACTGTGTCGGGATTTCTCGATAACTGGAACAACATAAAACTATTAGATACAGGTCTATACTGGCTCATCATGGTACAGTACAGAACATTGAAACCTGTAAACCAACCCTACCAAGCAACACATCTAATATTAATGTTCCTCACTACTCACAGACAATACATTAGTGAAGAAATCTGGGTAGAAGTGTGGCCAGGAGAGACGAGCGATGTCCACGACCAGCTTGACTAGCTTGTTTCTGATATAATAGGGGGCGGCCTTATGGTTCTCCAGCACGAACCGGTACAAGGTGGAGCGAATCTCCGTCCTTTCTTCTGGCATGAGGCCGACCCACTGTTTGTTTATGATATTCTGGGGAAGTAAAAACAAAATCTATAAGAGGGAGAAAATAAGACACGGATTCGTTCTTTTCGGGAAGGGGGGAGGGGGGGGGGGCATAATTTGTATCACACGCTCTAAGAACCACCCTAACGTAACCTAATCTCTCCAAATAGCGTTAGGTTAGGTTAGGGTGATTAAACTTTAGGTGAAATAAGCTGTGGCGGTGATTCTTACGGTGATTCAAAATACTGTGTATGTAAAAACGTGACTCTTGTGGCTATAACTACAAAAAACTGATGTTCCTTTACCTATACTACATCAATAATTAAGAATATTATACCTCATGGAAGAATCAGTGTAGTACTAATCTGTGGAAGGTAACAGGTCAAACACAACTAAGACCTCCAGACACTTTACCTCGAGGGTGGTGAGACAGTACATGGAGACGTAGGAGTTGTGTGTGTGGGCCACGTAGTAGAGACATTGTTTCCAGGCGCCGCGCTGCTGTCCAAAGTTTCCCAAGATTGTCTCGATGTCTCTCTTCCTGGTGTTGGTCGTGGTCGGGCCGAAAAATTCATTCATTAACCCTTCTAAAGCACGGAGAGATTCTTGGTCTGTGGCCTGTGGAGAAAATAAATGTTTGGTCCCGGAAATCGCACTTTATATTAATCCTCCACAGTCAGTCATCCCCGAGGCAAAACCCTTGGGAAAAATCCTTTACTTGACAGCTCCAGTCATGAGTCAACCAGCTGAATGTATGTAATAAATAAAAAGACAATAATAATATTTTCCCTATTTTACTCACCATTTTTATATTACAATCAACTGGCAGATTCCCAGGTAGATTTGGCTAGCTCCTGTAAATGAAGAGAAAATATACAGATAAGATAATAATGATATACCGTGTAGTTATATACGGTAAACGTTGAACACCACCGTGAAAAAGTTGTTTGAGATAATGGTATTTTATGTCGAGAATTCAGTGTGTTAAAACAGTCACACAGGGCAATAATCCATAAATTTACTTCAATATTCACAAAAATATTGGTGTAAACATAAACACCAAAAACCCGTCAAAAAGTAGTAAAAAATAATTGGTGATCGGAGAATTACCAGATTATGACGGAGGCCAAAGGAATGGGTGAAAATAGGATATCGTCACTTTCTGTATGACTTCCCTTGTGGACGCCATGCTCGAAAACATCCTCTGTACGTCCCTATCATGTGTGTGAAATAAATTGGACCAGCCCTCAAGTACTGTAGCTACATTAAATTATATAAAAAGATAAAATAAAATTAATTAAGGTTCATGACTTCCCTTGTTAGGCACATTCAGAGGTGGCAGACCAATGGGACTTGATCTTTAAATTTCTTAGAATTATGCTGGATAAGTAAACAAGTTAAGAAAGACAACACAAATGAAACTAATCTATCTTTACTAACCTAACTTAACCTAACCTAACCTAACTTACCCTAACCTAACTTAACTTACCCTAACCTAACTTAACTTACCCTAACCTAACTTAACTTACCCTAACCTACCTTAACTTACCCTAACCTAACCTAACTTAACTTACCCTAACCTAACCTAACTTAACTTAACCTAACTTAACTTACCCTACCCTAACCTAACTTAACTTACCCTACCCTAACCTAACTTAACTTAACTTACCCTAACCAAATCAAAAAGTACAAGTAAGTTAAGATAGTTGGGTTAGCTTAACTCTTGACATCATTTATAATGCCAGAGCGTCACACATCATCAATTGTCATCGAGTCAATTCCTCTTATTCACATACATAGTTAAATCTGAGGTTAATCCTATGGCTGATATCCCCAGGCTAGCCATACAGACATATAAGCAATAACCAAGACCCGTTAAATTATTCCCGAGAAATGTAAACATTAGAGTGAAAACATCGAGTATTAATTTTCGCCCGTTGAGAGAATCAATCGTCACCCCATAGAATCCCGCATTCGTGAGGTTATCCGGGGAAATTGTCCGTACGCCTCCGTTACCTTAGTCACAGTGCCTAACGGTAACTAATCAAACCTGTCAATTTAAACACCTTTCATTTACCTAAAGAATTAATTAATATTCTTGGAAAGTTTCAAGTTGACAGATCAAGAGATAAATGACTGATATTTCCTTTCCAGTACCTCACCAACCTAACCACTACCACACAACCACCACACCACAGAACCACTATACCACACCACCACCACTATACCACACCACCACACCACCATAAAGTACAAACTGAAGACAATCTCACATTAGTTCATCATTCATAGACAGTCTCAGTATATATAGTAAATTATTTAAACAAGTGTAAATTATTAAAGACATTACAATTTCATTTCTACTACAATATTTATCTAAAGGTTTGGATAATTTACCGGATAATAAATAAATAAACAAGAACAGACAATTACACTAGACAAAAACACTGCCTTTAGATTATGTCTTGCAAATACTAAATAAATTATACAGTTTTATGATGGTAAATATTTCATAAATTAATTAATAACCAGTCAGGAGGTGTTGATATTGTTCACCAAATTTAAAATATATTATTAGTGAGGGAGGGCCATACAGGTGCCATCATTAGCAGGCACATGAGGTAAAGCTTGTGCCAATATAGTGCCAATTATACCTAACAACCTCATACCTATAATCACCTCAATCATCATAACTACCTCTAGAGACATTATACACCAGTTAACACCAATAATCACCACATAAAAAATCAACAAACATTTATCACTACAAATCTATTAGAATGATTATATATATACTCGTTTAGTCAACCTTAACTACCACCACTGTTATCTCTTTCTCTCTTATCTCTAGGGTCTCTAAGGTTATATATCTAGTGAGTTAATATCCCCTAGGTGTATTAGAGTAAGATACCTGCTAGACTGGGACGAGGAGAGTCATTTTAGAGGTGTAATAACAGGTTTAAACTGTAAGGTAGTGTGTGTGAGGCTGTACTGGCGTCCTCCTTCTGACAGACGACAACACCTTTATCTCTCTTACTCTCTATTATTTCCACTATCTCTCATTTTATCTTATATTATTTATAGTTTATTATGTTAGTTATTAATATATATCAATGTCTTTTATATAATTTGATTTATGTGGATATTTCACACCGAGGGATATCTACTTGATGGTAATTTCCTGGGGTTTTTTTAGTTTATAATCGTTATTTAGTGATTTATATAGATATTTAATTACTCTTTATAATTTATTGATTTAATTTTGTGATATATAATGGATATAAATGTATTAAAACAGGTAGAGAGAGTTATAATAGAGGGGGTCATGAATGGTGGTGTCTCCTCCGCCATATTGGACTCGGCCAAAACAAAATCAGGAGCCTCTTGTCTTTTCCACGTTTTTGTAGGTGATTATTGCCTCCTTCAACTACCTACTGACCAATTAAGGAAGTAGTTAGTGTTGGGATGTTAAATAGTGATGGTATAGAGGAGTTAGGGAGCTAGAGAGATATAATAATCATATATAACATATTTTACCCAAGAGGTGATATTGGTATAATGTTTCTCCTTGTGTTTGTTGCTAAGTCTTTTTGTTAGTGGATTTTTTGTGTTTATTGGGAGGATGTTCCCTTAGGTCTACCACGCCATTAGTGAAGTATTTCCTTTTATTGACCCTGGTGAGGTTGTAGTTGGTGGTGCATGACATGACAAAGAAATGGCCAGGGTTCATATTTTCCATAAGTCAGGATTTTCAATTTTTTCGATGAATGATGAGAACTACTCTATTGTGTCTTGTCTGAAGTGGTTGTTAGTCCTAAGGCCTCAGTTCTGATTTAATTGTTCCAGTCTGGTATATATTCTGAAGAAGGTAAATTTAAAGGGATTATTACTCACCACATTCTGCTACCAAGGTGCAGTGTTCCTACAGTAAGAGAGAGTTTTGAGTACTACACTGACTTGGTACATTAGCACTTAGGGCAGCCATTGTTTATATATACAAACAGTATTATGGTAATTCAGGATGATGATAGCTTATGTTATACAACGACTATGGAAATTTTTCAGTAATTCTGCCAACAATTTAAGGTCATTTGCTGGTTTTTGCAGAATGTCATCTTAGTTCTCCAAAGAAGATAAAAGCTGTCTTACTTCACAAAAATTTCCCATTAATGGTCATTTACTTTCCTTTCACGGTTAAAGTATCGTTTTGGGCATCCACCTATTTGGAAGTTGTTCAAAGCCCATCAAAAACCATTGGAAAAACATAATTTCAACTTAACCCAAACTTCAAATCCTAAAATTCGCAGGATGACCGAAACAAAAATAATGCCCCTTTCACATCATGATATACAGTGTCTTGAATGTAGCAAAATATTACACCATAGGCAAACTTTATCATCGCCGGGGAACAGAAAAGCTTACCTGACCCGGGACGCAGGAAATAGTGTAGTAAATATTTGTCTGTTGAATGCTGTAATGATGGTGTTCCCTTTGTCTCTTGTAGAGCCAGTGGCTGACGGTCAGCCATGTCACATTTCATCGACTCGGAGGCAGAGGAGAGTGAGGAGGAGGAAGAAGAGTATGAAGAAAGTGAAAAGAAGAAACTGAAGAAGCTTAAGACTGCCATAGCTGATTCGTCGGAAGAAGATGATGAAGATGGTAACTTTTTTATAGTATTGAGATTCAGTCGTCCGGTCGTTGTTGAGGATCTTATTGTTATTAAAGGAAACAGTGATGTGTTTAAGGACCATATATGTAATACAGTTTTATGATATTGAATTAGCTACTGGAATAAATTTGTAATGTAAGGGAAAATAACTTGAAAAATTTGCAAACTTAGTCATGTTTGATTCTCTTGTTGAAAAGTTAACTCTTGAGATCTCCACCAATAGTATAACTCATATTAATATTTTTTCGTGACAGATGAAGAAAAGATCCGAGAAGAAAACAAAGACTTTATTAATGACGATGAAGAAGAGGAAGAGGAAGGGGGCTCAGGGTCGGACAGTGACATGGAGCGTAAGAGAAAACGCCGTCACGATTACGACGACGACGACCTGGAAGCTGACAACCTCGATGAAGACGACCTCGACCTCATTGAAGAGAACATTGGTGTAAAGCTTGACAGGAAGGTTAGTTACACCGCCACCACTAACAGGGAGAACATTATGGACTGATATTCTGATAACAAAATAGAATTGAGATTTGGTATTACTGGATGATTTTGGGTTGAATGTAATATGCCTCTTGATTGAATATTCCTTCATGGTGTAATTAGATATTGGACAAAGGATACAGTGTACCTGCCCTCATATATTAGCTTAAGTATCAACTCTAATATATTTTACAATAACCAGATTAATGGTCTGTATTTCAGAAAAAGTTCAAGCGTCTGAAGAGAATCGTGGACGAGGACTCCGACGCAGAAGCAGATGACGTCCAGGGCCAGATAAGAAAAGAGATCTTCGAGGGTTCTGATGTATGTATATTAATCCACCTTACTCTAACTTCTGCCTTGTTTCTATGCATAAGCAGACGAGTGTAGAGAGGGCTTCATTGTCTTGTGTTATTTATATTAATAGGCCAGTCCTATAGCATAGAACCTATCTAAAATACAGGTCCATTGGTGCTTAATAACCCAAGCTAATTAGACATTACCCTCTGCTACACGAGATGACGAAACGTACTCACACAACAGTACTGGACATTAAATGGTGTATAAATGGAAATTGGTTTTAGAATGCAGATTTTTTTTCCTCCTCTTCTCTCCAAAACTTGTCATTTAAGATTGGATGTTTTGATTCTCACATATATTGGGCCAAACTTCCTCCAAATGAGAATGTGAGGTTAGGTCGAAGTATTTTGAGAATTTTTTAGCATTTAGTCATAATGCAGAGGTTGTTTGGTAATAGATGTGGTGTCTGAGCAGGAAGAGACAAGACCAACAGAGATGGGAATTAAAAGGGAATTATTCAGCTGGTACCATACAGGAGCAAAACCTATCGGGGCTTGTGAAGATGGCTGTCCAGTTGTGCTTTGGAGAATACGTATTGGCGAATTTAGCGGACTTTCTCACTGCTGTTGTTGAGAATTTATATCGTAGTGTAAAGGTGAAAGATGTGATGTGGAATGACCATGTTTTGATAGAAAGGTGTATGTCATGTAATATAGCTAGTTGTGGTATATCCTGTAAGATAGTTGTGGTTGTGTTACAGGTATTGGGAAGTTTGGCCTTTGTACAGTACAGTGTGTCAGTGGAAGGAGTGCTCAAACAGTCTAGCATTAGGTTGAAATTAACACAATACAACACAGCTTAATATTGGTTTTAAATGTCATTAAATTCTCACAGTGCAATTAGATTGGCTTTGCATCCCCAATTTATTTTACTTGAATTAAATTTTATTACTTTTTACAAAGTGTCTGATGCCATAAGATGATAATAGTGAGGCTGCTGTAGTAATTTAAAATTAGAAGCTCCAGGGCTGTGATATTTTTTTATCTTGCTATTTTAAATTTCATGCTTTTCATTTCCCCTGCAACTTGCCATCTTTAGGAAGACCTAGTAAGTCAGTGACCTTTATTTTCACCATTTGTCTCTGTGTATAACTACAGTCTTATATATTAGTTATCCCTACCTGTAGACAGATTCTGTTTACTGTACAGTATATTATTGTTTTAAATAGTCTTTGATGTGTACTAAAACTGCACTGTAGTTTATGTAGAATTTATACCATATCACATGTTGCTTCTGCTATGTATAATATCAGTAGGTGTCAGCAATCATGGCCAGTTGTTTAGTGTTTGGGATTTTTTTCAGTTAAAGGAAGTAAGTTTTGCACAATGGTATTTTTATAAGCGAGGTCAGACTTTTGGAAAACTTAACCCAAATGCTCAGGTGTACGAACTCTCTTCTCTTTTTTTTGGAGGGGGTTAAAGAAAATTTTGCAACACTTTTTGATGGGTAACTACTGTACTGGCCTTCTCTGGTAGGAAGGGGATGGGGGCTACTTATATAGTAGTAATGTTAAACAAGGTCCCACTCTTTTACTTCTGGAATTATTGGATTATTGATGTTTTGAAGTAAAAAGTGTACATTTTTTATTAACTAATTTCTGTGAAAGACTTTAAAATTTGTTTTGATTGAATTTTAAATTTCTTCAAGCATAGTTTTAGGTTGAGTTTCTTTTAATAATGTAAGTTTATATTATAGTTGAGATTCAGGAAGGTTCTTGAGGAGTTTGCTGCCTATTGTGAACCCCCAACCAATAGCCCCTCGTAGGTGGAAGTATACTGTAGTGTTATGAAGGAATTGATTTACAGGAAACAATACTACAGAATTTCTTAGCCAGTGGACTTGATATATTGGGAGGAGATGTTTACTGTATTAAGAAGTGTGTGTGTGGGGGAGGTGTGTCTCATCAGATAATGGATACAATGAATGAGTTATTATAAAGGAATCAGGGAAGATAATGTGGTGATCCTCATAGTGGTGTGGGTGACAAGAGTAAATTTATAGGATATGGAAACAAACAATGAGTAATATTGTGGATATAATGTAAAGGGGAAATGGATAAATATTCTTTTAGATGTGCAAATACCAAACAGTACCCACAATGTACAACAGATCAGTGGTAGTTAGAAATGGGGAATTGGGGGGGGGGGATGGCTAATGGTTGTATCCTTGAGACTTGAGGGAGAGAGAGAGATTGACAAATAATAGTGTTAGATAATGGTGATGATGGGAGAGGGTAAAGCAAATGTGTTGGGAAATGAGTGGTTGTAGATAGACATTTCCAAGTTAAGATTTTTGTTTCTTCACAAATGTTTTTATTACTGAAGAGGAGTACTATAACACTGTTCTCACATCAGTACATAATCTGTTGCTGTGTTCTACGGCTATTCTTGTGGTATTTGTTGACGGTAAAACGTGGTTGGCTTAACTTTTACGTCGACAGTCCTAACAGCTTCCCGTAAAAGATGTGATGAACTTTTTATTTATTTTTGTTTATTATTGTTATTATTTATTTATATATTTATTTATTTATTTCTACATTAACTAATCTATGTAAATCACTCCTTGACCTCTCAGGATGAGGAAGATGACGGGGCCTCCATACCACACCCTCCACAGCAGCCTGAAACTTACGCCTCGGAGGAAGAAGAGGAATTATCTGATGGCGAAGAGAACTTTATTGTCGACGATGAAGGCAAACCCATCGCCAGGCAGAAGAGGAAGGCCGTGTTTGAGGACGAGGGACTGGAAGCCGCTCGTGATATCTTCGGTTGTGATTTCGATTATGGGGAGTTCGAGCAATATGAAGGTATGGAGTGAATTAATTAATGTATCAGCCTCTCAACTGTCAGACAGCACCTAAACTAATCCTACTTTACCTTACCTTACCTTGCCTCACCTTACCTTATATCACCTCACCTTACCTTACCTTACATTTCATGCCCTTGTTCTCACACTCCTTCCAACCTTCCCCCCAAGTCTTCCTCACTTTAATCAACAAGCTTTCTTTCTTTATGTTCTCATAAATAACCTAACTGCACTTTCCTTTTTGTCACTACATCAGAATAAGATTATATGGCTAAATTTATTCAGGTTTATGTGGACGGCTGTGGGTCACTATAGGCATAAGACATGTCCTTTATTTTAATTCATATTTTGATGAAATTTGATTGAATGTTTTCCTAAGTAAGTTTTCCTAAGTCCTGGTAACTGGTTCATTGTGAGGATCTACTTCTACTTTACCTTTTATTGTAGGCTGGGAAGAAGGTGAGGAAGAGGAGGACGATGATGATGATTACGAGGAAGACGAAGACGGTGGAGAAGGAAAAGAACATCGTCGTGGCCGCAAGGAACGCAGGAAACAAATCAAGAAGTCTATCTATGAGGTAAAGGGATGATACTATGAACAAGTAATGATAGTTGTTGTACTGTATTTCATTTCTGTCTCACATATCCCATACAAAATAAGGTTGGAATTGTCCAGACAACTTATTTCTTGCTTAAAGATTAATTTTCTGTTGTTAACCTTAATCAGCACAAACATAAAGTTCATCTTTCACATCGAGGTCCTTACCATTTGGGTTAACATCCCACCAAGATAGCTCACCCTTCTCTCTATGAGCTAAAACTGTTCTACACGATATATGTATTTACTCTAAAGACTGAGTCCATAAAATTTGTTTTGACTTTTTCAATTCTTAAGTATTGTACATTAAATTATACATGTAGTGTAGATACAGGTAGTACACTGCAATGCATATAGCAAAAATTGTGTTTGTTTGGCAGGTGTTTGAACCTAGTGAGTTGGAGCGCGGGCATCTTACAGATCAAGATCACGAAATCCGCAAGTTGGATATTCCCGAGAGGTTCCAGCTCCGGCAGATACCCGTGACGCGTACCCGAGGCGAGGGTGACGACCGCTCTACTGATAAGGAGTTGGATCACGAGGCCAAGTGGATATACCATCATGCATTCTTCAGGCCATTTATATCCAATCAGGTTGTTACCTCTTTTTTTTTTATAGATAATGAGTAGCAGGATCATCCAGTCTGTTCTGGCTACCTGCTGTACTAAATAGTGGGGACATCTTTGTCCTTTACAAACTGAAAAAGTGATGGTGGAATCTTATCTTGTTTAAAGAGGTTGGTTTCATTGCTCAGATTTCTTTTTATAAATATCATATTTTACTCATTTATCCAGGTTACTATACTATTATTATATAGGTTATAGAATTATGTGTCCTGTAGAATGTACTCCTGTAGGGACGCTATGTTATACAAGTACTTTAGCTGTATATAGTACCATGTAAATCAGTGATGAGTGAGGGTAGACTAAACCATGATCCACTTGGGTCTTGGGGAAACAACCCTCACATTTTTCTGTTGACTTCACTTTTATGATTATTGTTATTATCATTACTACTACTACACTACTACTACACTACCACTACACTACTGCTACACTACTACTCTACTACTCTACTACTGCTACACTACTACTCTATGAATACTTTCCTTACAACGACATTGGATTTGAGTCTTTGAGCTGATTCATAAGCAGTCAGTGACCACCACACTGTAGCACTGGCTCTTCTCTCCATCATTCTGCATGAATCCCGATACACACTATAAATTTACTGGTTCCCACATTAAGGTTTATAGTAAATTTTCAACATTGACTTGTATTTTTATGACAGGAGGGGCGCGAGGAGGCGCGGCAGCGTTCTCGGCGTGACGTCAACATGATCCAGAAGATCTACAATGCCCTGGACCTGATGAGGAACTCTACATGTGAGGTCCCATTCATTGCCTTTTACAGGAAGGAAGAGGTCCAGCCTGAACTGAATATTCATGATTTATGGAAAGTCTATCACTGGGATGAGAAGGTAAGTCACTTTAGTATGACTTCCAACACACAGACACACACACACACACACACACACACACACACTCTTCCTCATGTAAGAATGGGAAGTTGATCGTTATATTGCATTTTCCTCTATGCAGGCAGGCAGGCAGCTGTCATCAGCGGTGGCACGTGTTCACTTTCCTATAATGAACTATCAAATTATAAAAATATTCAGTTTCATTATTTAGTTTGTATATAATTGGAGTTTCCATTCTCTCATTTGCCTCACATTGTAGTTATAAACCAGTCAGTCCATCATACCATTCACAAAATCTTCATACCTTTAGTCAACTCTTTTTGCTAAGGAATACTAACACAATACTGTATATGTAATATATTTTACTAAAGTATTAGGTTAAAGTTCTGTTAGTTAGCATCATTACGTTAAATTTTTCTCACAGTGGTGTCAACTGAAGCACCGTAAAGAAAACTTGCGGGCCAGATTCCAGATGATGGGAGAATTCCAGGGAGACCTTATCATGAAGGACCTAGATGCTCCACTTCCAGAAAATATGCGCATGCTTAAGGAAGAAGACATTGAAAGGTAAGACAGTACAGAGTGGATGTACAGTTGAAAGCTGCAGTTCACTCCCTGTGGTGAAACTGAGTCACGGTAATGAGTCTCCGATGTTACTTACCCCGACTGGCATCTGGTACGGGTGTGTTGTTTTATTTTAGTTGGGGTCGATGCTGCGACACTTTGGGAGGGAGCAAATTTTTGACCCCGACTTTACATCAACTGACTGATGCTGATGTGAACATTAGTGATATTAATTTTATGTTATACAGAGGAATAGGTTTTGGTTGTGTTGAGAAAACTACGGGGTATATGATTTTGTGTGTGTGTTAGGGAGATAACTCTGAATATGTGAAACAGTGTGTGTCAGTTAATGAACATGAGTCAAGAGTTTGTGGAACATCAGGGTGTAATAAGCTGCAGTAATGAGTGGAGTGTCCTTATTTGGCCCAAATTCCATTATGGTGAGAAAATACCTGAAAGTGAAAACAAATGACAAGAAATTTTTAAGTGACGAATCACATCATGAGTACCAACGATATGATGTGGGTCAAGATGATATACCTTAAGTGATGTCCTGATTAACACCGAACTAAGTGATTGATTCTTTTTTCACAGGATTGAAGAGATCGAGACTTCAGAACAATTCAACGATTACTACAAGTTCTTCCTGCTGTACTATGGCAAAGAACAGCCATCGATGAGAGAGCACATGAAGGCCAAGCGCAAGGAGCACAGGACCATAACAAAAGTCACCAGCGTTGTTAAGGTGAGAGAGTGAAGGAGAGTCGTTCTGTGTATTACCTCCATCACCAGACTTAGCCAGTGTTATCAAATGTCTTTTAACTGGCTCATTCCTAAGACAGCGGGATACATTCATGTTTATGCCTTCATTACACCATAATCCATCAGTGTTTTTGTTAGCTGGCATTTCACGTAATAGGAATAATGCCAGATATCTTTTTCTTCTTTTGTTATTTACACAGATTTTCTTCCCCAGGTCATGAGAAAGGTTATGAGAAAGAAGAAAAAGAAGAAGAAGAATCATCTCGTCATCGAGGACGACGACGAGGACGAAGACAGGCCCAAGGATAACGAGACGGAGAAAGACAAGGACGATGAATCGGTGAAGGACGCGGATAGTGTGATAGAGAAAGACAAAAAGGGCGACGCTGAGAAAGACAAACAGGTGGACGCTGAGAAAGACAAGGATGGCGACGATAGTGACATGGATGATGTTACTGATATAGGCATGGATGTTGATGATGGTGAGAAGGACAAGAGTGATGAAGAGAAGGAGAAGAGTGATGAAGAGAAGGAGAAGAGTGATGATGAGAAGGAGAAGAGTGATGATGAGAAGGAGAAGAGTGATGATGAGAAGGAGAAGAGTGATGATGAGAAGGAGAAGAGTGATGATGGTGCTGAGAAGAAGAGTGATGATGGTGCTGAGAAGGAGAAGAGTGATGTTGGCGCTGAGAAGGAGAAGAGTGATGATGAAGGAGAAGAAAAGGACAAGAGTGATGATGATGAGAAGGAGAAGACTAAGGAAAGTGCTAAGAAAGGTAAAGAGGTTGAAGAGATGGGTATGGAAATAGAAAAAGATAGAGAGGAAGGACAGAAAGACAAAGAGGATAAGGAAGAAGAGAAAGAGAAAGCAAGGAGTGATGACGATGACGACGACGATGATGATGATGAGGAAGAGGTAGAGACAGAAGTGGAAACAGAGATAGAGGAAGAGGTAGAAGAAGAGAATAAGGTACCTGAAGAAGACGCAGAGGCCTTGAAGAAAGCTGTACGGAGGCACGAGTACGAACTGCTGAGGAGAGCTGGCATTGGTGAGTAGCTGATGTGTATGTCTGTGTGTAAGATTGACGAGTAGGTAATAGTTTATGATGCCCACCACATTACATGATTTATTTCAATACGTCTCATCCTCATGTCATTTAGAAAGAATATAATAATAATCATTTAATCTTTCAGAGTCACTCACAAAGAAGTTTGGTCTGACACCTGAGCAGTTTGGTGAGAATTTGAGGGATAACTATCAGAGGTTTGACGTTGAGCAGTGCCCAGAGGACCCAATGAAGGAGGCTGAGGAGTTCCAATCTAAGTAAGACATCCAAGTGTTATTCTCTCCATGGGCCTGTCCTTAGCTCTCATGTGTGTGGGGTTACAGAGTCACACTTACTGGGGGTCCATTTAACATAGGGAATATAGAGGTTAAGCCCAGGAATAATAGCGGTCATCCATAACCTGTGATTTGTACCACTGTATGTACTGTAGTAGAGACCTCACATAGTAGCATCAGTTGTCTCCATGATCAGTACTGTATGTTCTTTACTATTATGTACAGCTTCAGGTTTAGACGAGTAAATAAAGTGTTAATGCATGTACAAAACTAAAAGGCTTATGTTATTACTCCACCCTGAGGCCATTTTGTAAATCTCTCTCTTTCATTTTATATTTATTGTCGTTCATAAATACCCTACAAAAGCCACATTGATCCCATTTCATATTTCATTTGAGTCTTCAGTGGAAGGTTTTAATTTTATCATTACATGAATCTATCCACATAATAATGCCGAGGACAAGACAGTATTAACTGTACTCTACCAATTTAAAATTTTGGGGGTTGTATTTGTTAATGTCCTGTGGTTATTATTGGAAGACATGATATTTTTTTTTTATTACAGAATGTGCAGCACCCCAGAGCGTGTACTTGAAGCAGCTGTGAGAATGGTTGGTTGGCAGTTAGCCTGCGAACCTCTGGTACGCCGTACAGTTCGTGAGGCGTACTTTGAACGTGCTAGAATCGGTGCCAGGCCCACACCACAGGGCGTGAAGATCATTGATGAACATCATCCAATTTATGCCATTAAATACCTGAAGGATAAGCCAGTCACAGATCTGCAAGGCGACCAGTTCCTACGTCTCAAATGTGGAGTTGAGGACAAGCTGATGACAATTAGCTTGTCTGACACCATCGACGGGAATACCACAATTAGTTACCTTGATGAGATGAAACAGCTGTATTATAGGGATGAATTTTCACAAGTTGTTCAGGATTGGAATGATTTGAGAGGCAGAGCTGTAACTTTTGCCTTCAAACGAATTATCGAAGATTTAAAAAGAGAACTGTCTCAACGTTTGCTCCGGGAGGCTAAAGACCATGTGACAGAACAGTGTTGTAGTAAGCTTTATAACTGGATAAAAATTGCACCTTATAATCCTGGTGACTTTACTGATGAGGATGAGGACGACTGGGACACAATAAAAGGTTTTAGAGTCTTTTCCATCGCCTTTGTTCCAGACCTTTCTCAAGCTGCCTTTGGTTGTTGCATTGACATTGACGGTGATTGTTGTGAGTACATTCGACTTCCTCACTTGCTCAAACGGCGTAATGCTTACAACGAGAGAGACGCTATGGCCAAAGAGAACGACATCAGACGCATGCAGGACTTCATCTTTCGTCGTAAACCGCACGTCATCGCTGTCAGTGGAGAATCTCGGGAGGCCATCATGGTTAAGGAGGACCTGATCCAGATCCTCAAAGATCTGGAAGAACAGGAACAGTTCCCCAAAATTAATGTAGAAATAATTGATAATGACCTTGCTCATATTTACTCCATGTCCAAGAAGGGAGAAGCAGACTTCCTAGATTACCCTTCCCTGTTGAGACAAGCCGTGTCTCTTGGGCGCCGCGTTCAGGATCCGCTGGTTGAATTCTCTCAGCTGTGTAATTCTGATGAGGAATTGCTCAACATTAAATTCCACAGTTTACAGGATCAGTTAAATACAACAGAGTTACTCGATGCTCTGTATACTGAATTTGTTAACCGTACAAATGAGGTTGGTGTGGATCTTAATCGTGCTGTAGCATACCCTTATACTCAGAATTTAGTTCAATTTGTTTGTGGTTTGGGTCCTCGAAAGGCCAATCTCCTCATAAAGACTATGAAACAAAATAATCACCGTTTAGAAAATAGGAATCAATTGGTTGTTAACTTCCACATGGGGCCAAAAGTCTTCATAAACTGTGCGGGCTTCATTAAAATTGATACTAATGCATTGGGTGACAGTGACAACTACATAGAAGTTTTGGACTCTACCAGAATTCATCCAGAAGCTTATGACTGGGCCAGAAAAATGGCTGTTGATGCTCTGGAGTATGAGGACGAAGAGGGCAAACCTGCAGAAGCTTTGGAAGAAATCTTAGAAACTCCTGAAAGACTCAGTGAGCTTGATTTGGAAGCTTTTGCAACGGAACTACAGAACCAGGGCTTTGGTAAGAAGAACACAACTTTGTATGATATTAGACACGAACTCAACCATCGATACAAAGATTTCAGGCTGCCATTCAGGTCTCCCTCTCCTGAAGAAACCTTTAACATACTCACCAAGGAGTCACCAGAGACCTTTTATGTCGGTAAACTTGTCCAGGTTTCTGTTACTAACTTTATTCATCGTAAACCCCGCGGAGATCAGCTGGATAATGCTAACCCAGTCAGAAATGAAGACACTGGACTTTGGCAGTGTCCATTTTGTCTCAAGAATGATTTTCCTGAGCTAAGTGAGGTGTGGAATCATTTTGATGCAGGGGATTGTCCCGGGCAAGCCATAGGTATTAGAGTGCGGTTGGACAATGGAATTTCGGGTTTCATCAGCATCAAGAACTTATCAGATAAAACTGTAACCAATCCAGCTGAGAGAGTGAGAAGAGATGGTCTTGTGCTCTGTCGTATCATGAAGATTGATCCTGAAAAGTTTTCTGTGGAGCTGACGTCAAGAACATCGGACCTGCAAGACCGAGACAACAAATGGAAAGTTCCCAAAGATCCTTATTATGATCCCGATAGTGAGGAGAAAGACATGAACGTAGATAAGAAGAAGAAAGAGAAAAAGAAGACCCAGTATCAGAAACGTGTTATTGCACACCCCTCCTTCAGGAACATTGATTATAATGAAGCAGAAAAGGTGATGCAGCAGCTAGAACAAGGCGAGGTGATCATTCGGCCCTCAAGTAAAGGTAACAATCATCTCACTGCCACTTGGAAGGTCACCGATGGGATCTGTCAGCATATTGATATACTGGAACAAGACAAACAAAATGACTTCTCTCTCGGTCAGAAGCTCTGGATTGGAAGTGAGGAATTTGAAGATTTGGATGAAATCATTGCCAGATATGTGTCCCCCATGGCAAGTAATGTGCGACAAATATTAGAATATAAATATTTTAAGGAGTCTATCATGGGTAACAAGGAGAAAGCAGCTGAGTTTCTGAAGGAGGAGAAGAAGAAGAACCCTAAAACTATCCCTTATATCTTTTCACCTAGAAAGGATTTGCCTGGAAAGTTCCTCTTATCTTATTTACCAAGAGTGAAAGTTATCCATGAATTTGTAACGATCACTCCTGAAGGCTTCAAATTTAGACAGAGAATGCAGTACCCAAACCTTGCCGGACTTCTCAAATGGTTTAAACAGAATTTCCGTCGAGCCGTACCGAATGTAACGCCAGGGATGATGTCTGCAAGAACACCCTACATGGGTGGCACAACACCTAATCTTATGGGTGTTGATGCCTCCACAATCCAGAAGGTTGCTCAGAACCTCAATCCACACATGTTACATAATCTCTCCCAGGCTGCCACTAACACTCCTTACGGTGCCCACACTCCCGGAGCGTTCTCTCAAGGCTATTCTAATTATGCCAATACGCCTTATACGCCATCGGGTCAGACGCCGTTCATGACGCCGTATGCCACTCCTGGACCGTCGACCACGCCTCGTTACAGCGGGTCACAGACCCCAGTGTACGGCAGTAGTGGTAACAGGACGCCATCGCACAGATCTTCCAGTGGACACTCTGCCCAGCCCTCTCGGTCCGCGCCCCCGGTCAGTAGTCGATCCGAGCAGATGGATTGGAAGATGGCAGCGGCTGCTTGGGTCCAAGCAAAGGGTGGAAGCAGCGGACACGACAGTGGAAGGATGACTCCGCGACACCACGACGGCGGCCGCTCCACTCCGCGGTATTCCGACTCCCGAGACTCGAGGTACCCGTCTAGTCCCAGGTATCCCGACGACGGGTCTCGCCGCACGCCACGATACGACGACCGCACGCCTCGCCCCTACCACGATTACGACAACCCCCGCACCACCCCTCGCTCGGCTCGTTCTACGCCCAAGACCATCCACTCTCCCGCTAATATGAGTATTGGCGGAGACCAAACGCCACTCTATGACGAGTAGCATCTTAGACACCCTTACTTGTGACTATAGATCCTGTCCTTACTATAGTTTGTACTGTACAAGGCAAGATTAGAAATTTGTATTTAAGGATTAGAAATGTAATTTAAGTTAATTATTCACATTTGTATGGGATTTTTACAAGGGCAGTCTTGTTGATGTGTAAAAAGGTACAAGTAGTTATCTGTATTTTCATTCATTATGATTTATTATTGCATGTAAACATCATCATACACTTCATAATTTTTTTATATATAAACTTAAATTACTTTGGATATATCAGTTGTCCAGTGGTGAAAGTCGCATAGCTATAGCCCATTTGGGTGCTGTTTAGCCTTTGCTTCCAGATGAGAGACTCTGTATTACCTGTGCTCCTGTAAAACCGCTACTGTGATCTGAGAAATAAAGTTAAGAAAACACAACTTAAGTCTTTACATTATTGCCAGGAGGAGTGAGTGAGAGGAATCCAAGTAATATAGGGAAGAGAACAAAGGATTAATATTTTTAACTATCAAATTAAATATCGTAAGTTGAATTAAAGCAAAATATGAGGATTTATTCAACTGTACCTCAGAAATTGAAGGTAACTGATCATTCTCAATTAAATATCCCCAAATTATGATACATTACAAATACATATATACATCGCACTAGATTACTAATTATTCAGTAGTAAAAACTGAGAAATATATAAGTCCATGAGTTTTCATTTATTTAAGCAAACTATGTATCATCAGCGTTGACAAGGAGATGGATACATTTATTCAGTGTAGTTAACAAAATGACAACAGCAGTAAGTCAATTGAACATAGGTGAGCTGAAGAAAGCTATTTTAATCCTCTACCATAGATCTTAAAAGTTGTATAGTTTAGTTTAGGAACAATAATGGTAATATGTGTCAGCTAAGTTTCCCTATTAGATGTTCTATAAGAGAGTTAAGAACATACATCTGGCAACTGAGTCAGAGGTAAACATGTTCGTTTACCTCGACTTTATTAGTTTCACCATTTTTAGTTTAACGAACAGAATTTAATTGAAATTTAAAAAATATAAAAATATTTCCTTTTTGTAATTTAATCCTTGGATGATATAACCTTTTTATTATCTAAAACATATTTCTTAGATATATAAAATAAATAAATAAGTTTCGTCAGGAGAAACGAACACGTGGACGGTCGGTGTAAACATTGGAGTCATGTCGTCAGTGTGAACCTCGGCGAGATGTTCCTGATGTGAGGAAGAATATTGGACAACTGAGGAAGAAAGGATCACTCAACCTCCAATATGATGGTGAGAAGGTGTGTCCTGCGGTTGGCTGACCACTATAGCCTGGCACCATCCTTGTTCACTCGTTCCGGATCATCACTACCTGGTCCTGGGGGTGAGTGTCAACTGTGTTCAGGGCGACTGGTAGTTAGTGTATATAACCAATAGATGTAATGGGATACTTAAATTTTTGGTATATTATATATTTTAAATGAAAATTATAATTCTTCCGTCCAATTTCGTTTATTCTTAAGGTACGTGGCAGGATGACCTGAACCCATGTCTTATAGTATTACCCAGTACAGTGTTTAGCGTTAGTGACATAAACGATTCATATACCTTGAAACTAGATTGAGGAGTATATTAACTTCATTTAAAATTGTTAATTGGTGCCAGTTATATATATATCCAGAGTCTGAGAATATATATATTTTTTAATAATGGTTAGTTTTTATTGTAGGTAAAATCTCTAGAAAATTATGTATGGCTAAGATAGAAAAGGGAAGGGAAAATTTAAGATGTCTGTGTAAGCTAAAGACTTTATGAATCATTTATTCAGGAGACTTGATGATGTGGGAGAAGATATACCAGCGTGAGGTTCCCAGGACCATGGAGGAGATGGGATCGATGCTTCAGAAGGAGGTGAACTCCCCGCCAGATGCTTGCCTTCTGAAAGTAGCCATTGTGGGCGTACCAAACTGTGGCAAGAGCACACTCATCAACAAGCTCATGGGCTGGAGAGTAAGTTTGGCAGGGATACAGTAGTAAGGTTTTGTGTCTACAGGAAGGAATGGAATATGGGGTGATCAAATAATTAAAAGGCTAATAAGTGATTTTGATGCTAAATTTTGGTGAATTTGTGATATTTTAGAGTAGGGTTTTTTATTATTTTTTAAGTCAACCAGTTGGTCTCTTTATAAATGATATGTGGAGGTTATTACTCTCCGTATTATCTGCAATATTGAGAATTTGTTAAAATCAGTTTGTCGTGGTAGTTCAAAATCTCAAACTTGAAGACTGGAAATTGAGGGTTGACTGTACATTATCTCTGCTCTTCTTTATAGCTGGGCGACTTTAACCATAAGAGAACAAAGTGAATGGAAGTTGCTCTTCATTACAGTACAGTATATCTGAAAAGAATATTAGGCCACAGTTTCAGTAAGATCCTAGAGGAGTTAATTAGAAACATCCGAATTTAAGATATGTTGTATACCTGTACATGTACTCTGTTCTCATAATGATGTGTTGAACAGGTGTGCAGTGTGTCATCAAAGGTCCACACCACGGAGCTGTGTGCTCGAGCTGTCCGTAACATTGGCTCCACGCAGTTGGTCTTCCTCGACACCCCAGGACTGGTCACTCCACAGGAGATAACAAAGTACAGTACTTGAATAATTAGCTAAAAATATTGTCACTAATAAATAAAGTTCAGTATTGGTACTTATGAAACAGGGAAAATTAAGTTGGAGGGAAATAGATGTTGTAAAAGATTACTATTTTTACTGTTACTCCATCTTGTATTCAGGAGCCAGAAACATTTATATTAGTTACAGTGTCTGGTTTACTATTTTACCTGACTACTGTAATATTTTGCAGTGTTTGTATATTACATGTGCAGTACCAGTAAGACAATTGATTTTTCAGACATAATTTGAAACGATCTCTGATGACTGAAGCAGAACTATCACTTCAAGAGGCTGACCTAATGGCAGTGGTTCACGATGTGTCCAACCATTTTACCCGATACTGTCTCCAACCTAGGGTGCTGCGCCTGCTGGCTCTTTACCCAACTATTCCCAGTGTGTTGATTCTTAATAAGGTAAAACTTTGGTGTCTGTCATTCACCCACACCAGTATGAATTCCATAGTCTTTTTAAATTAGGAAGGAATTAACATGACAGCTAAATTAATTGGGTATTACTTAACATTTATTCAAATATTTGTGCTTGTGGGTAAAATACTGGAGAGCAAATGAAGGCATAGAGTTGGTATAGAGTGACAACAAAATTACTGGCAGTGATATGTGATGCACCTGTAATGGATATAGCTACTGTTGTTACTGTATACTATATTGTATGTAGAGTGAAGGAAGACTTTAATTTTATTTTCTTTACAGGTGGATAAATCAAAGTGCAAACAGAATCTACTAGAATTAACACGAATGTTAACAGAAGGTGTTGTTGGGGGTCAGAAGTCACATTTGGTAACGAAAAAAAATGAATCATTAAATAAAGAAAAATTGATAAGAAAAACTCTTGAGAAATTTTCCGAGACCCTAGATCACGACAGCAGCTTAAGTTCTCGTTCTGTATGTAAAAGTGATACCTCGAACAATAAGATTAATAACAGTGGAATACAGAGTTTAGAAAAAAATTCACATGTGTCTCAAGATGAGTCATTATACGGAGATGGACTTTTAAATACTTCATCTGACATCAGCCATTTGAATGAAACAGACATTCTGGAGGGAAGAGTCCACTTAACAGAACAACAAGTTAATGCATTTATTAAGGATCGGAAGTCATGGCCAAAGTTTGATGAGGTTTTCATGATTTCTGCACTGGAAGGAACTGGAGTTGATGACTTGCAACATTTCCTCTGTTCCAGTGCCTTGAGTAATCCCTGGATTTTCAGTTCCCAGGTATGTACTTTCAGGAGTAAGTTTATTTAAGTACGGCAACAGTTTTGAAGCAGAGTTTTTGGGGATTATTGTGTAGACTTTCACCTTATAATGAAGTGGTGGTGTAGGTGTTCCAATTCTCCATTTTCTAATATATTCACTACAGTAGGTGACTAGCAATACTGGGTAACTTGCCAGAGGTCTTCGAGTCCTGAGATATAGCTTCACAATGTTAGTCAGGGTAAATCTGTTAATCCTTTTGATAGATTACTGTCGGTGCTACTATAGCATGCAGGCTACAAAGATATCTTCAGGCTAATCTAACCTAACCTAAATATCTTGTAGACCACACGCTATAGTAGCATCTTATGTCCTTCTTTAGAAACTGCATACATGGTGGAAACCTGTAATTTTTTGGAGTGTGAAGTAGAGTGCTGTAGGTGTTTCAGTATCAGGAATCTTGGCATCTAATATCAAGACACTAGTAACACTAACATCTCTACAGGTGGTGACTGACCAGAACCCACAGGAGATAGCTTTAATGACAGTGAGAGAGAAGTTCCTGGACACCTTCCATAATGAGATTCCATACACACTTCGCTTCCAGGTTGAACACTGGGATCTCTCAGATAGTGGTAAGTTATAAATTAAGAATGACAATAAAGTAGTAGATGTAATTTAGAATAGTAGTGACCTTTCTTCCTTCTGTTAATAAAGTTACTCGGTGTGGTGGAGTTTGACAGTACAGTAATGCCTGATAGAAGTGTACTGTATGTTGTTCAGAGTAATGGATGTAGATAGTTTAGATCATTAACATTATATTCATATTTCCTACATGCACCTTTTAGCTTGAGAATTAATTACACTGCTGGCCTTCCTAAGTCTTTGTCCTGCACCCTATTGTGGCAGCTGTACATAGTTGATTTATAAAACGCTTCCCCATGGTGGTGAGATAACAGGACTTGTATACTGGGGTGTACCTAAGCTGATGTAAGAGCTAGGTGATGCCTGTGTCGACCGATGAAAGTAAACGGGAATTTTTGGCAACACATTCATATGGATAGACTAGTTAATGAATCATGTTACAGAAAACGTCATATTAAAAGGGTTCACTCTTCTATTTTTCCCAGTCTGTAGTTTCCTTTTATATTTGGTTAAGTTACACATCAACACATTTGGCAAACTTCACACAATAACACGTCCTAGATACAGTATTGGCCCCTTATGTTGTCTTTCACTTACAGAGTTGCTCTACATCATGATCAAGGTATCATGCAGGAGACGTGGTTTGACTCGCTTGATGGTGGGAGGAGGTGGGGGCACTGTGTCTCGGATTGCCAGGGAAGCAGAACAGTCATTGAGGAACACATTTAGGACTGAAGTCAGACTCAAGTTAAATATTGTTTATGACGCCAGGTTGAAACATATAAAGTACTAATATCGTCAGTCTTGTCTTTGTTTTAATACTAATATCCTTTGTATGATAACAACCATGTTTTATAGTAGGTGTAAAAATAAATGTAATTATTATGTTTACTTAGTTCCATCTTTTCCTCTGATATCTCACATGTAGATCTTTATTAATTATCTGTAGTACAGTATCAAGATTTTACAAAGCTGCTTCATAATCTCTTTGATAGCTTGAGTCACCTGTAGGTCCACTCTAAACATGAACTGTGATGGTTCTTGTTTGTCTGCTGGGCTTTTTTTTATTTATTTTTTTTTTAAGGTTGACACTCCAACTTGTAGTAAGGTACCGTACATCCCAAACAAGAAAACCTAAAGTTGTGGTGTATGTGTGATCACCACCACCATTATCTGTTCTAAGAAGAATGGTTTTTAAGAGTTCCTTTTAGTGTGTTGTGTCCTGCACTCAGCCATAAATGAGTACACAATAGATAAACTTTTCAATGGTGGTTCAACCCGACAGTTGACTAGCATTCTGTTAAGGGGTTCGGGAAAGCCAATAGCTGTTGAATGCTAAGCAGTAGTTGCTCCTCAGTTGCCAAGAATTATGAGTTTACAAGAAGGGCGATTCCTGTCTGGTGCAAAAAGATATACTGTACATATAATCTAACACACACTCATACATCATCAACATTTTTCAGCTGTGCTACACACTTGCATGAGTTAGTCATATCTTAAGGCTGCACTATCTCTTGCAACATTTTTCTAGTCGGGGCTTTTCCAGGAGATCATTTCTCAACCTCTTATACTGCCAGATTCTGGGGTCACTAATTCTAAAGGGATAACTTAACTATAGTCTTAATTTTAAAGGTTGCTGCCACCAGACCCCCTCTGGGTAGTATGTAGCTCGTTAGGTAGCGGCCAGAGTGGACTAGGCATAGGGTTAGGTGTTTCATTGACCAGATCGATAAGGGGAAAAAAGGGTGAAACCATAACATGTCTTAACTAATTTATTCCTTATAAAACATACTGCATTCCATTAAAATACAAGTGAGTTGGCCTTCCTCAGAAGAACAATAATGATTCTGGTTACCCTGCTCGACAACAGACGTCGTACATTAGTGGCGTGTCATCCACATACTTATTGCATAACAATGAGTGACCTCCTTACCTCGGTCATTTCTTCTTACAATAACCCTCAACACGTCAGACTGCTCCACCTGTATGGAATATAGCCCCTTAGGTTATCATACATAGTAGCACCAGCTCACCACACCTGTTACACTCCACACCTGCAAGTATGGGACTCCTTGTAATTTCTAGATCCACATATCAGGCACCTCGTTCGCACACCGCCCTCGGTGGGTAGAGACGAGGGTTTCACCAAGAGACATACCAGTACTGTACTGTTTCTACGCCTGGTGTTATAGGTCGCTCCAAGTGACGACCGTGGAGTTTCTCGCTTATTTCATTATGTATTCCTACTCATTTGGGGTGGTATGCCGGGAATCCACAGGTTCACAGTGGAATAGCATAGCTGGGGGTAGTCCTCTCACATGGTGGGTCGCTCACGGGGGTAATGGCCGCCGTGCTGGTGAGGTCAGAGCGCGCGGGGACCTGAGTTTGATGAGAGAGCGAAGGATACTGAAAAATAATGCCTGATGGGCCGTTATCACCCACCCCAACACATCACTATTTCACTTTATACATCAAGCAAAGTTTTAAACTGTAATAACTGCTATATAAGTCTCTTTTTAGGGCTGAATACAGCCCAATGAAGTTCACTGACCTGAGTTTGATGAGAGAGCGAAGGATACTTAAGGCCGATGCCCCCCGCTCCTCTCTGTTTAGGCCTACAGTTTCCAATCTTTAATTTTCCCTTTGATTTCTTACGGTTCTCACATGAACACTTCCCTGCCTATTGTAACCTCATGTCTTATAAATACATATTTTAATCCTAACTTACATACTAGAATACGGTTCGGGTTTGACCGTTCTTGGGGAAATTAATTGGGCTATATCGTCAACCCACACCTGGAGTCCAGGTGCAAGGGACGCCACCCTGAAACAAAAGCCGAATGTTCATAGCGTGGGTATATCCACTTCACTTAAAACCATAATTAGGGATCCTCCTCTCACACATTGCACTACTTGAACACAGACATAAGATTCTCTGATCACTGTACATGTCGTGGGTATACGTCACCCGAGGAGACGAGGTATATTAAGTTCACACCGATGCATACAAGATATTTCCTTTCAAGTATAGTTTCTGGGTCACTTCCAACACCTCACATAGTTCTGATACATTTATCCTTTTTCCAGATCATTGTTCTCATGTATTTTCATATGATATCTGCGGAAGTTATGTTCGCTACAGGTTCACAGACGCAAATAGTATGACCTTCAAACCACGGTCTACACTTAGTCCTAAAGTACACTAGTCCGGATCAACTGGACTTTCCCAATCATCTTATAGATACTTTGAGTTCTCCTTAATGCTATGAATACATACAATTAATATTATATAACCATACCTGGGTACAATTCAACAAATGATTCAGTAACATTGAGTAGGTGAGTTATCCTTTATCAATGTTTCCCGTTCTCTGAGCTCCTACAAGCGCGGTGGATTTGAATGTTATGTAGCGCAATATGAATTAGGGGGGGTTCTTAGGAATGACTATGATGTGTGCAGTACACTCTCCCCTTATCATTCTTGGTCTACCACCTGGCTCTCCTCCCCTCCAAACTCCACCATTCTCTCTACATGGCTGAACCAGCTCTGCTATGCTCTCAATACCCAACTGCCCTCATAAGTGATACAAGGGTTTCCTATCTCTTAGTGTCACATTACACACCCAACTCACCCAATGTTGGGTTCAGTACAATTCTATATTTACTGTACATTTAAGGCAATATGTAAAGTCTCGTGCATTCAGGCAAGGACAAACTAATTACTGTGGTATAATAATTACCAGTAGTAGTATTAGCACTGTAGTACTGTACTGTACTTTAGTATTAGTAGTAACATAGTACTGTACTTTAGTATTAGTAGTAACTTAGTGCTGTACTGTACTGTAGTATTACTAGTAACAGTACTGTACTGTAGTGTAGTAAAGTAGTACTGTAGTATGACTTTAATGGTTCCCTTTGCTACCATACAACAACCAATGCTGTATAGACATCTACTTGTGCTCAGCCATCATCCAATTACTTGTGAAGTTTCATTACAAATTGAAAAAAATTTGTCCACAGAAATATGTCCCCAACTGACGACATGACATAAGTTAAATATACTAGCAGTAATTCCTTGTTTACTATATACAATACTAACAATAGATGTAATAAAATATAAGCAATTACTGTACATCTGGTTGGTGTGGATGTGAAATGTTCTAAATGTGATATCATGTGCACGTCACACCACACACACACCGTCCAACCTCCCTCACGGCCTGCCCCACACTCCTCCATCACAAGGAATCCAATAATCTCTCGTTGAAAGCCAATTATCAGAAAACTGATTTAAGTTTAATGTGGCCTGGGGGACGGGGATACCTTGGGGTGACTAGGGGGCATTCACGATGACTAGGGGGGCACTCAGGGTGATGGGGGGAGGGAGGGGCCACTCAGGGGAGGCTGGGTCTGGGGGTTGATAAGTACTGCCTTCATCATATGGTGAAACTCTTAACCCAAATTTATCAATGAAAATCTATCTCTTACGACACGCCGTCAATTATCATTTAAGAATCAATGAATGCCTCAGGCTGTATCGGGATAATGCCTTTCATGTCGTTATTATTTTATTTTACATCGATAATAAGATAGACAATACTGTACATCAATAACACTCTACAGGGAAGATTATAGACACTACAGCAATGACTACAGGAAAGATTATACACAATACATCAATAACACTCTACAGGGAAGATTAAGACTCAGAGAACATGACAGAACACGTATACTGTTACACTACACCAGAATTTATTGACGAGGCATATTATAGGGCTTCAGGGTGTGTGTGTGAGCCGCCCACCAGTAACACCACCACAAGCGGCTCTTCAAACACACAAACAACCATTCATTATAACTACATTTCAAGATCACAATAGGGTGATTAAAATAAAGATAATAATTAGTGTCTTATAGTTTTTAGTATATATGTGACACTGAAACGAAGAAGGTGAAGAGATATCCAATAGGAAGAGATAAAGAGAGAAAGAAGAGGTGGAGATAGGAAATGAGAGAGGGAGAGAGAGATAAGAATAGACAAGGCTAAACAAATCTTACTGCTTGTCTCTCGTTTCCTGTCCAACTTAGTAAATTATATTGTTTTCTCCTTTTGTGTGTAAGAGAGAGAGAGAGAGAGAGAGAGAGAGGACAGAGAGAGAAAATATATACCTAATATTTTGCTTGTGTGTGTCTCTACATATATACATACATACGTACATACTTACATTTAGATTAAAGTTCAGAAATCATGACCCAAACCTAACCTAACCGAACTTAACATTAACCTAAGGTAACCCATAACCTAACCTAACCCAACTAGGTAAAGGAGTGTGTTTCGGTAACATTAGCTAACATTACCTTGGGTCGGCCCTCCACCACATTTCTGGGGCTTCATCCACCAAGCTGACCTACTCAAACTTCATCCACCATCCTACCCTACTCAAACTTCATCCACCATCCTACTCTACTTAAACTTACATCCACCATCCTACCCTACTCAAACTTCATCCACCATCCTACTCTACTTAAACTTACATCCACCATCCTACCCTACTCAAACTTCATCCACCATCCTACTCTACTTAAACTTACATCCACCATCTTACCCTACTCAAACTTACATCCACCATCCTACCCTACTCAAACTTCATCCACCAGCCTACCCTACTCAAGCTTCATCCACCAGCCTACCCTACTCAAGCTTCATTCACCATCCTACCCTACTCAAGCTTCATCCACCAGCCTACCCTACTCAAGCTTCATCCACCAGCCTACCCTACTCAAGCTTCATCCACCATCCTACCCTACTCAAGCTTCATCCACCAGCCTACCCTACTCAAGCTTCATCCACCAGCCTACCCTACTCAAGCTTCTACGTAGATTTAGC